AAAAGTCATGCGCCTAGAGCTCCAGTTTTTGGAAATGGTTCGAATGCAATAACGTATGTCGCGTATAGATATGAGATGGTGTCTAGAGAGCTTTCTTTTGCGCTCTCTCCGACTAGATTCCTGCTTAAGAATGCGGCGTACTGTTCTTCGAGGGATATGGGTCTCTGAGACAATCTCGCGTTGCGACTTTCCCTGGCGCTGTAGGGATCGAATGACTGCACGTGCAGGGGTAGGCCATTCATTATTCTCTTTCTCGATAGGATCACTTAGGATAAGAGGTGTCTCCATCTTGAATTATGGACTGATTCCTAAGAGGGTTGTTGTGTAGTAAGGGTTTTAAAATGGGGTGTAGAATTTTTACGCGTTACCGCGTCTCGCTTAAGTGGGCCGTTCCCGGTGGCCTCAGCTCTTACTTGGCGGAGCCCATCAGCATGAGGTACGCATTTATCTTCATCCTTTTGTAGTCTAAACCTGTAAGCTGATGATCACAGGACCCCAAGTCAGGTTTTTGGGAACAGCCTTGCAGTAGAGAGGAAGTAGCTTTCTTGGCGGTTGTAGTAGCATGGGTAGCAGCGGGTGCAGTGGTCTTTATGGGCCGTAGAATGGAAAGGACGATGATTGATCTGCACAAGTTTCACACTTTGTGGTGGTGGTAGGGTGTAGAATATCGAGAGTCGGTTCGCTTTTTGGTAGTTTCTCCTGTGGTTGTGATCATGTTCGTGCCTGCCTGATGAGCATTCCCAACATGCAAACAGGGCAGGAAGCACTGTGTAGAGGTAAACAAAACCGTTTCGCTTCTCGTCCTCTCCTTTCTCTCTTCACAGACTTATCATATCAATCGTTAAGATGTTTAAGTCTATTTTTACCAACTTTCGCTTGCCCCCTCGCTCCGCTATCCTTATTGAACAGAGGGTATCGAGTGCCTTCGGCCGCTTCGCAAACGCCCGCCCCGCCAGGATTCTCGCGGATCTAGTCCGGTTCGAAGGGTGAGTTATCCTCGTCTTTTACTGTGCAGGCGTTGTGCGATTTACAGGCTGCTGCTGTTTTGACTGTATTCAGTGCCCCGGATAGGAAGTGCAGGTCTAGTGCCGAGACGTCCCCATTGCCGTCCTCGAATTCTAGCCAACCTGCCATACACAATGATCAATCGAGCGATCATCGAGCGCGAACCCTTACACGCACACATTCCAAGACATCATTTTACGCTTGTCAATGACTATATCATGCGCTTGTTGTTTATCGCTGGCTTCATTGTCTCACACAAACTGCTGTCCCGCTACATTGGAGACGATGAAGTTTCACGTTGGGGCGAAAAATATTATATGGCATAACTCGGACATTCATACCATGTTTCTTTGTAGAACATAGCACAGTCTTATGAAAGTGGCAGGGAAGATATTAGTACCCTCAAGCCAAGTGGAGCGAATTGGGCATGTTTGCACATCACAATCGTTTGAAGACTATAAATTTTGCGTTGGTACGGCTCAAAGATATGGTAATTGAGTGTTTGACAGACAAAGGATCCGCCTCCTGCGCAGGGCGGTCGGGGTACTCGACACCCTCTCGGAATATTGGGAGTGGTTTGTTGCCATTCGTTATCGAGTATCCTTTATTTTTTTTTTTTTTAAATAGTCATGGCTACCATTATCATTATACTGTATTTATAGCGGGTGGAGCAAGGTTCGCGCCCTTCGGGGCTGGTGGGAGCGACGTCGGGTAGCTCCATAGCGTTATTTCTTTGTATAATTATCCATAGCGTTATTCTTTTGTATAATCAGGTCCCTTCTCAATATCTTTATTTTTTCGGGGAGGGCCAAAAAAAAAAAAAAAAAAAAAAAAACCACACCCGTTGTATAAGCTGGGACGGGGATCTTTCTTTGTTGTACTTCTTTCTTGGATCAACGAGGACAAAAAACACACCCGTTGTAGGGTGGGAGCGGTGGTGGTATTCTGATGCTGGAGTTGAGCGGAACGTTGGACAGAAGAGAGTTGTTAAATAGTAGAGAGAGGTCGGACGGGGACGATGGGGACTGAGAGATTATCTTATTGGGCAGGGAGACACTTTCACTATCGAGAGCTTGGAGAGGAGAGCAACGAGGAGGACGAATATGGAGAGATGTGGAGTGCTGAGCTGTGTTCCTCGGGGAATATAGTTACTGTGGAGGAAAAGAATCAGCTTTGAGAGCGTGGACCTAGGTCGAGAGCTATCGAATATGTCACATTGGATGAGGGAGAGTTGGACGCAGCTTCGGGTCTACCCTGACCAAGCTCTCCTACCGAATAAGAAGACGATACTGCAACGAAGACTAGTGCGAGGCTCCGAGGCCTCACTGTCAAAAGCCACGCTTGATGAACTCGTTGGAGTGGAAACGATCTCAGAAGATTGCCTTTCATATCAATCAGCAGTGCAACAAATAACTCCGAATCCATCAAAAGCTATCTGAGCTGTCACATTCGCAAGTATGCGTACGGTGTCGAAGACGACTCCTAGGCCACATTCCATTGCCTCGATTTCGTTCTGCCGACACAGCTCTATATATGATCTTTCTACTTCTGTCACATAGCGGCAGATTTCAACTTGGATCATATCGTCGACACTTGGCACACAGGACCCTTACCTCAACAGTTGAGCGTCTTCGAAACTCCTCCTACTGCTAAGCCAGATGCTTCCAATGACCCATCCTACTCAAAGCAACTTCCCATCTCTGTTTCTACGGATAGCACAGTAACAAGTGTTTCACAATCCATGGTGTGGACCATGAACTGCTTCGTCTCTGCAAGAATATCGACTGGAATAGGGGAAATGGTAAAATGGAGTAGCTTGGGTGGGGCGGAAATTGCTAGATAGTACTTACGGAAGGTGGGGACAGTTTTGGGAGATGAATGGATAGATTTTATGCTGATTTTTGAACGTTCTGAAGATCAGATTTGCCTCCTGGTGATATATAAACTGATCAAAAGACGATTGAGACGTGAAGTGGACTTTTAAGTGTGGAAGCTAGGAGGGACAAAAGCGGGAGCCATTCCATCTCGCTCGAGATTCGAACATGGACTAGCATCGATTCATACCATTTCGGTACTAAAAGAATCCTTCATCCTATAAAACTTCAGAAGAATCCTAATGTATCGAGAAATGTAGAAGAATTCAAAAGTCCGACAAAGGAACGGGGATCCACGATGGCCTGGACTTCGAAGTAGACCACCACGAATGCAAGTATTCCAGGTCGTAAGGGATGCGACAGTGGTAACCCCATTTATGTTTAGCTCCCTAAAAGTCCCTAAATTCAGAGTAAAATAGAATTCCCTCTGTTCTTCATCCCAAAGATCGAAGTCTTGTCGCGTGAGCTTGAAGAATTCGAGGTCCGAATTGTGCAAACATGGCCCGCCGCACTTAGCTTCCGCTCAGTGTACCCGCACTTCGTAAAACCGAAGTACACTTCTAGATGAACATAACTAAGGGCTTTCTAGGTGGCCTTCGAAGTCTGATGCTGCTTTGCTTTCATATTTCATTTCGCACACAGCCTGGGTACTCTCGCTTAAACCCCTTTCATTTTCTTGGCGTTTGAAAGGAGGGTGTATTTCAAATTTTCGTTGCGTTACGTGTCGCTTAATTTTCACACCAGTCTAATGTGTTTAGGGGGCTTGAAGTTTTCGTTGCACTACGTCGATTACCCCTATCTTTCACTTCTAGCGTTTGTAAGGAATGTGTACCCAAATTTCGTTGCGTTACGTGTCGCGTAATTCACTTCACAATGTGTAAAAGGGGTAGAATTTCCTTTGCGTTGCATGACGTCAATCTCACTCATCTATTCCTCACTTATAAAGAGCCTATACTGCACAAAAAGATTTCGTTGCATTACGTGTCGCTTAATTCACTTGATAGTGTGTAAAAAGGGGTAAAGTTTCCTTTGTGTTGCACGACGTCTATGGGTCTATGGCTCCTCTTTCATTCTTCACTTCTAAACGATTTATATACACTACAAAAATTTCATTGCATTACGTGTGGCTTAATTCACTTGACAGTGTGTAAAACGGGGTAAGGTTTCAAAGGAGGTCAAGTGCTTTGACAAGTCGCTTACAAGTAACTTCTTTCTACAGTGAGTCTGCTAGAATGAAGTTACATCTTTCTTTACTTTTGGCATAAAGAACTTTGTTTGCTTCTGACTCTGGTTTGGCGATAATCGAATGAGGGTATTGTGGGATGTGCAGGATTGCTAGGTATGGGCAGCAGATTTCTTTCACGGAGAGCTCAATAGGGTGTTTGGATTTATTCATCTATGTCATTGTTTCCTCTTTGAGGCATTGTCATTTGAATGTCAAATTTCCGGCTCTCAAAAATCATTGCCCTGTGGGTCATTTGCCAGGCTTCTACTACCCAAACACCCCCAACAGACTCAGAGCAGCAAGATCTCGATTTCAAGTGATTCTCTGCATAAAGGTATTGTCTCATCATGTAGTACAGGCCTGGACACGAGTTCATCGAGTCCTTTTAGCTCTCACGTGATCGATATTTTCAAAGAAAAGGGGTTCAAGCGAGATTTGGATTCTCCGCCCGCCATGAATCAATCTTCTTAAGCGTAATGCCCAGAATTCCAACAATCGAACAAAAGTTACTATGACCTCTACGCCCTTCGAGACCAAAGAACTTTAGGGTGTGATATCCTCAACAAAAACCGTAGAAGTAGGAACAATATTACGAAAGATTAAAATATCTTTCTCCATCACTCGAGTCCAAACAAACCACCATGTCTAGCATCGAACAACGACACTTTCCCGCTCTTCTCCATGGATGAATACCAATTCAACTGCCGTCGTACTCAGTCTCTTTTCCATCTTTTCGAGCAGCATACATAACTCGAGGCTCTCCCGAAACTACTCTTTTTCTCTCCCTACAACCATTCGTTAGCACCCACCTTCTCCAAAAAGCTAGCTTCCCCATGCATGTCCTCCTCCCTGTTCGTCCATCATGCTCAGCACTCCACTTCAAACCCTCTCGGCCATAAATCTACCCCCATCACCCCAAAAACCCAAGATGCGCAAAATTCCCAGTTACACAGGGCCCCCACAACTCCCTCTCCCAACAGCTCCTCCAACCTCCCAACATTCCCACCACAAACCAAACACCATGAAGCGTGGCTTTTCGCTCTGCACCTCTCCAACTGTCTAATTAATATAAGATTCCCACTACTGCTGCATGTGTCACTCGAGAAGCGCGGCATATCTGCTGTTACACACCCAGCCAAGCCAAGCCACAATTTCGTTCCGTTGAGTGAGTGAGAACTGAAAAGGGAAGGCCAGGAGGCTAGGAGGGGTAGCTTGTGACGAGAAGGGAAGGTGGGCTTGCACGTGGAGGGCGGATCGGCTGTCATGTGATCGGTGTGAGAGGAGCGGTAGACGGTAGACGGATTTGGGGTTGGAGAATGCCGTGCGTGGAGAAGCGGGACGGGAAGGAAGGGAAGGGGGAGGGTTAGCATGTCACTGACTGGCAGAGAGGAAAGAGAGAGGGATTGGGTTGAGATGAAGAGGTCGTAAAGTGGTGTATATTCATTCATCGATCGATCCATGCCTTCCTTCCTAAACACCATCCTCCTTTCCTTCCTTCCTTCCTTCCAGTAGTCCTGTATATATAAAAATATAAAAAGAGGTTGCTCATCTAACATTATGCATTAAATCCCCACATGCATGCATAATACCCATATCCATAACCGTTGTTTCAGCCGCCCAGCGCCTAATATCCGTGATGTGATGATGATGGTTCTTTTGTGAGATATATATCCTCCTCTTCCTCCTCCTTCTCCATGACAACAAAAGGGAAGATATAAAATGCATCGTGATTCTTCGTCGCTTATCATCATCCTCATCTCAAACCATAATCCACTCCCCTTCACTCCCCTCCATGAACCTGGTCCACCTAAACGGGACGCCGAACGCACCTCCGCCTCTCCCCTCCACCCCGCCTTCCTCTTTCTCTTTCCACAGCTTCTCGAGGACTTCCAGTCCAGCGAGGTTATTCAGGTATCCGCTCCGCCCCATAATTTCTCTACACTTCGTCCTTACAATACTCTGCTGCAACTCATTCACGCACTCACTCCCGCTAATAAACAGCGGCCACAACAGGAATTTCTCGCACCCGGAACCCTGGTCTAGAGACGTGACGTAGAACAGGACCTGCGAGACCAGGTTCTGGAAATTGAGGTGCGAGGACGGCAAGTTCGGACAAGCCAGACGCTCCGTGTACAGCAGAGCCGCGTACCGGAACGCTTCGGAGATGTATCCGAAGTCTCTCAGCTGAGTCGGGGAGGGAGCCGTCGGGAGCGTGGCGACGAGGCGCGAGGGGTCGAATTCCCATTCCTGGAGCGCGAGACGGGCGGCTTTCCATTCGGTCCAAAAGGTGGTGCGGAGGTCGTCGTGGGAGGTCGGGGACGCGAGGTGCGGGAAGGACGCTTCGTCGTCGAGGGTGGATGCGAAGCCGTTCCCGTCGAAGTTGTGCGCGTGCAGGTTGTAGAAATCGACGAGGGCTTGGCCGGCGAGGCCGGGGCGAGGACGAGGTGGGGCGGGGCGGCGGACGGGGGCGATGGGGGAGGTCATGTCGTCGAGGACGGGGCGGTGTTGGCAGAGCATGTTCAGGCGACCTAGTTTGCCGATGGTTTTGAAGAGGATGGAGTCGCAGCCGGCGAGGTTCTCGAGGGCATGGTTGGGGTTTGAGGGGTTGGCTATCATTTCCAGGTAGCCGCCTCGGAGCTGGGCTTCTCGGTCGTTGATGCTGGCTGCGATGCCATCGAAGTATGTGAAGAGAGTTTCCATCCAGCCCCAGTTACCGGATTCGACACCCGAGTCGCGCATGCCAAGGATCTTCTTCACCCCTGCGAATTGAGTTCGGAATTGTGCGACACCAGACTCGCACATGCGATAATGGCACAGAATGAACAAAGTTGCAAGAACGCAATCATGACGGGCTTTGGTCGGATAGCTCAATTGCTGGTTGAGGAGATGGACCGCTAATGATCGATGCTGGTACTCCTCTTGCAGAGACGAGTCTTGAGGTTGCGCCTCGGGTGACATGGGGTAATTTGAAGTTCGTCGAGAAGGTACAGGTCTGAAGGTGCCGCCATTGATACGATCCTGGAACTCCAATTCCAAAGGTTGACGCCAGTGATCCTGTCCGAGTGACTGTTTGCGCTTCATACGAAGATTGCATGCTGCCAGGGCGCAGATAGCATGTTGCAAGCTCTTACTCGACGAAGCGAGGCTCAAGATGTGCTCTCTGTATGGATTACTGGGACTGTCGATAACGACCACGGAGGGACAGATGATCTTCTCATAGTAGTCGAGGAAGAATGAGACCCGGGGTGACATCTCGGCCGTGAGTGACGACGACATTGATTCGTTGCCCGCCATGTGGTAGTTGTCTGCAGCATCGGAGGCAGCTTGGGATGCGGCATCATCTTCATTAATCGACGTCCATCCGAAGTGACTTGATCGAGCGCTGGTCGCATACAGCTCCATGTCGTTGGGCCCGCGAGAGACCCCTGGTGATGTGGTTAGTGTATGCAACAATACAGGCTGAATGAACTTACCCAGCATATCGTCATCATAGAATAATTCGTTTGCAGATGGCGAATGTTGCTGCTGGCGGCCTTCAGAGACATCGTACTGATTCTGGTGAGAACTGATGCTCGAACTGATTTCCGACTGCGCGTAGTAGTTGTCGGGGCAGGACGTGGGACCACGTGAATCTCCAACCAACCCGGCGACTGGGCTGTCTGCGTTGGAATTTCGAGACGAGTAGCTGTTGTACATAGGAAGGGGACTGTGTAGATATGGAACTTCTTCAGGGAATGACTGGCTGATGGGGGATGCGTAGTCGCTCTCGGCGTAGTTGCTCATGGAGTCGATGGAACTTGAGAGTCCCAACCCTTCGTTTCTGCCTATGCTGAGAGTGTGAAGTCGGTGCAACTGTGGGAGCTGTCTCTGATGGTTCATCGCATCTTGGTGGTAATCCTGGAGAGGATATTCATGGGGGACAGCCATATTCCATTCTGGCATTTGCATGGGCGGCGCCACTCCATTGGGCGCCATATTGATGAAATCATAGTTCGTGAAGGGATTCGCGGGGATGGAACCCAGCGTTTCCATCTTGATCTTGACATTTTCGTCGTTACTTTCGTGTATTCGTGAGATCGTGGAGGCCGCTCGTGGTCGATTTGCGGGGGGACTCTTGGGTGCAGGAGCAGACCGCGCAACTGGAAGAGAAAGTCCTCGGAGTTTTCCTCGACTCGCCACACCCACTCCCCAAGTCAATTGGGTTTTGTATCCTGAACATTCCTTCCCTACTTCTAGACATTGTGAACAATATGGTCGTCGTCGGTCGCATTTGACACTTCTCTTGGTGCACGCGAAACAGTCGTCCGAGGCACCGCTAGCTGGTGCTCGTCGACGTCGCTTGCGCTGTGGTACTGTCGGCGGGTCCGACGAACACGAAGAATGAGGAGGACATGCGACGGGTAAAGTCATGATGATGAAAGAAGAGAATAAAGTGGAATCGAATTGAAAAAGGGTTTGGAAAGAAGTGTTAATGCTGCCTTATTGAGCACATCGAAGCAATCTATTGAGTAAGAAGATGGAAGGGGAGGAGACTCGTGGGCCAAACGTCTGGATGCGGATTGTGGTTTGTGGAAGAGCGGGCAAGGGACTCAATTATGAGGAGGCGGCCATCTCACTAGAAATGCAGAAGGGCAACCGGGGCCTGTCTGGTGCAGCTCCTCTCAACCACAAGTTCAAGTCCACAACATGGAGATCAGCACAGCGGCTTTGCAGGGGCAAAGAAGGGGAGGGGACAGGTCGACAGGGGGGGAAGACGAGGGCGACATGGTGTGGCCGTGGATGGAGCGTCTGGAGGAACCGAGGGCCATCAGTATCTGACGGGGGGGTGGATGTCGAAGGCGATGAACGGCGAGGGAGGGAGGAGAAACGAGAGCAACGAGACGAGACAGTAACGGGACCGAATGGTGCTTGCTACTCTGCTACTACAACCGACTACCATTGACGACCTCTGGCTACGACTGGCCACCCGCGACGTAGCTCATCAAAACTCAACACGCCAACGGAGCGAAGGGGAGCCAGTGGAAGCTAAGAACACCGGCATGACCAGATAGATCATAGCACAGATCATGGAAGACGCAGAGGAAGCCCTCTGCAGCCTTCCATACAGACCTCCACACACACACCACACAGAGATTCCACAACCAACCCACACATACTCCCACTCCCAGCAGCAATCAATTAATTGTGGTGATGATGATGATGATATGTTGGTCTGGACAATATGGCATGTCTCACACCGAAATAGCAACGGCCAGATTGTCGAGTGCGGTGGTGATCACAAGCTGCAGCCTGTCCATCTCAACAAGGAAGTTCCACAAGATTTGAGGCTTGTTTCTTTCCAAGATGGCTGATGGCTGGGCTTGGAAAGGTTTCAGAGCAATAAGCTTAATCTGAACTACTTCGTACTTGCCTTCTTCTCTCATTCTCGAACCAGGAAAATCAATCACCGAGCCCGCAACGACGACGCCCTGCCATGTGAATGCGAGTCCCCTGCCGCACGGCGATGATGATGGCCTGCATCGATGAAGGAGCAGCAGCTTCGTTCATCAAATCCATAATCGTCGTATTCGAGAGAGGGTGAGGGTCTGTTTGTCCCCTGGACGATGGCATCACTCTAACTCTGGCATTCTAATCCTATCCTATCTTCCCCCTCTTCCACTTGGAGAGCTGAAGGAAGCGAGTGTGTCCGGATTGGTTGCGCTCGAGATCTTTATCTGATTATCTACCCCTGCAGTACGTACAAAGCAACATAGGCCTTCACAATTAGCTCATCGCGACATCTGCCAACACAGTGACGGTCCTCGACCTGTAGCGCCGTTTGGGAGTCTGCACCAACGGAGATGAAAGGGAATGCGACAAGACGAGACGTCGAACAGTCGACCTACGTACAGTAGTCCACGGGATATATCAAGCCACTGGCGTCAACCAGCTAATGGTAGCCAAGTTTGGTGGGGGCAACAGCGAAGAAAAAAGCCAAACGCAGATGCAGGTGCAGATGGTGGTGGTTGTGGCTCCGGCGGCATTGCCGTCTTGAATGCTTGAAATTCGCCAACGGTCAACGACGATGGAAATTCTACGCCCGTCCCGCCTTCTGGCAAAATAGATGAATAACGGCCAGGGTTCTTGACGAAGAACAGGGAAATGGGACTCTGCTTCTCGGCTTTCCTCTCGTTGTTCCCTGTACTTCAGTACGGTGATGCACGGCACCCATGCACCTGTCAAGGAACAGCATGGTTCGAGAGCAGACGATAAGCTCAACTCCAGAGATAAGACTACCTAGGTATGCGCTCAATGCGCGTCAGGGTTTAGTGACTTGGTGCTTTCGTGAGGAGCTGCTGACTGATGAAAGCGACAACAACTCGTGAGGGGCAGGACAGGCTGTGCCTTGCTGCTTCTCAGCGTGCCAGCGTGCTGAGAGGACATGACATTGCGGTAGGGCAGGGAAGAAATATAGTAGTTGGAGCGTGCGCGATGCGATGCAAGGCCGTAGACATGATCATGAACATCGAAGGGTCCGTGGGACGAGGAATTGGAATCTGCCTGTTTACAAGTCCCGTTTCTTTTTCTGTCTGTCGGTGTCGTTTTCATTAATTCGCGCATGCGACGCAGAGATGGGATCACTCCTAAACCACGGTCCGTACGAAGTGGTACAGCAGGGACAGGCCCGAAACAGCTCAACAAGAGACTTTCCGGAGAAGGGCGACGGCGAGCGACTGAAGTTTGACGAGTGTCGGTCGGTGCGTGTGTGACTTTAGGGGAGCCCGAGAGGATGCTCCCTACTAGCTGACAGGTTAGGAGTTAGAAAGATCCCCCTCGCTCGCGGTCAGCGATCCTTTCACTCCTTTCCTCTCCTCTCGCTCACGCTTCACGACTGTCAGAATTCACTCCTCATCAGAACCTTAGATAAGGCCATCGACGGCTCGTTGCGCTTATCGACGCTTCGGGGCCCTTTTAGTCAATTCATGATTTCCCAGCAATGGATTCCGAGTTTCCAGGCTCGGATACGCATGGTCCATTTCTTTCGATGAACTTACTGCTGCTGCTGCTGAGTCCGCTGAGTCCACTGCGACGAAAAGCGGCCACTATTCAGACCTCTGGTCACTTCTCACCAATCACACAGGCCTCTCGGCCTTAGACTCTGGCACATCTGAACCTAGCAGGGACTTCGACGGGTCTAGTGGCGGGCGATGCAGGCGACAATTGCGCTATTGCACCAGTGGATCACCACTAGAAGGATTAGAATCTGCACAGAAGGCCCCCAAGCCACCATGGAAGCCGGCGAAGAACGACAGAACGGCCACAGAACCAACAGAAGCGTTCGACGGCTGTCGGACAACCTTGTTTCCGGAACTGGCTCCCCAGCTCAAGTTCCCTCCTTGCATCCAATAGACTTCGATACAAGCTCTTCACCCCTGAATCTTTGACAAGGCCTCTCATGTAATCCCGGATACTCTGCCGTTAATCCTCGAAAATCCTCGAGTAATCCTGCCTGCAGTCTGCGAGTCCGATTCACGTAAATCCTGCCAAATTTAGCCCGCAGTAGAGTTCTGACCAGCAGCGGCCAGAAGCTCTTTGAACACCGTCGAACAACCATCACTCATCATCGTGACCTTTTTGGACACCGTCGTTAAACAACACACTTTCCCCACAACTTGGCACGAAACCGTCCAGTGTTCTTGTGTGGTACGGGACGGGCTCAGGTGAGAGGTGCAGATGCCGAGAAATAGATGAGCTGCGGGGGAGCTATCTTTGAGAAAAGTCTAATGATTCTAGCGTTCCCCTCCACATATGACTTGCTATCCTTTTTAGGAGATTAGTCCGCCCGAAACACCCTCGGGTGCAAAGAGCCTTCGAGTCGTCCGAGGTCGCGGTACGGTATCTTCAGTTCGCAAAGCGGCTTCTTCTTTCGATCATGCGAGCGCGAAAACCAGATAGTGCGTGTACTGATTATCTGCATCGAAGTAGATCGTGAGATCTGGATGATGATGTCCAGGTATCTTCGGTGAAGATGATGTTACACTGTGATCTTACCTTGTACGACCAGCTAGAGATTTGTGTAGCCGTTGGATTGTGCTCGTTGCGAGGCTGTCAAAGTTCCTTGGACGAGACGGCGCCCATGACTGGCTCAGTCGCCTTCGACGAACGGACTCCGCCAATCTCACCGCTGATTCGACGAGGGCTTCTCTGCAGACGCTGACGCTGATATGGGGCACATCCGTGATCGAGATTTGTGGCGCAAAGTGGGTTGAGGGGCGGTCGACTCGGACGAATTGTTCTGTGGATGAAACGTTACCTCCGAGCTGGCAGATGGTCTGGATTCCGCCGATCATTATTCGTCAGTGCTTCTATGCATTCTGTTCCTGAGTTCAATTATCGAATTCGTTCAAAGAGGGAGGTATGCTGCAGCTGATGCTAAAAACTACATCATGTCGTTCATGATGTCTGTGTGTAGGACCTCTTAGAGCGTACACGTCGAGAAGTTAATATATTTCCATGCGCTGCGCTCGTGCAAGAACGAGATGACACGATCATGACAGCGTTGGGCTTTTTGCGAAGTGAGACCGTGACACAATGACAATTGCAGCACCGAGGACCGCGGTTGCAATATCCAAAGATAGGAAGACGTGGGGGTTTTCGAAAGTTTTCGAGAGAGAAATACGGCATGAATTGACGGAGGAATGCTGGGGTGACACAAGCAGGCACGTGCAATGGCTGCTTAGGTAAACCCACGTGCTGATAGCAAAAAGTTCCAGGTTGCTATCGGTCGCGATAATATTTTCACAAGTCTCAGATTTCTTGGTTGGCATCAGCTCGACTCCCTCGGTTTATATTTACACCTAGACCAAAGACGCAGTAATGGGTCGCGAATTACAGAAGAAGAAGAATCGGTCTTCGATCTCTAAGGTCAAGCTGAAACCCAAGTCCAAGAAGGTCAATCCTTTGGGCAATGCTATCATTGCGGCGAACTGGTACGTACCCCTCCTTCATCTATCTCATTCTGACTTACAACTACCCTATTCTTCCTATGTTGAGTCTCCATCATTTCGCTAATCATAATGCTTATACAGGAACCAGAAAGAGACCCTCACTCAGAACTACCGCCGACTTGGCCTCACATCCCGCCTGAACAGCGAAACTGGCGGCACCGAAAAGCTCAAACCAGGCACTGAATCCAAATCGTCAACCTCAAGCAAACTTGCAATCACAAATGCCATCCCAAAGACCTTCACGCCCACCGAAGCTAGAGTAGAGCGGGATCCCGAAACTGGCAAAATTATCCGAGTCATCCACGCCAAATCTCGTCCTAATCCCTTGAATGATCCATTGAACTCGGAATCCGAAGATGAAGAAATGGGAGAGGAATTTGAAGGATTCGAGAGCGAGAAGGAAGAGGAGAACGAAATTGTGAAACAATTAGAAGAGCAAGCTTCGATGGGAGCTCCGCCAGCGGAAAGGAAACAAAGTGATAGAGAAAAAGAATGGATTGAGAGGCTGGTGGCAAAATATGGAGACGATTTTGGAAAGATGGCCAGGGACAGGAGATTGAATCCTATGCAGCAGACGCCCGCAGACATTAAGAGACGGGTTGGCAAGTGGAAGGCAAAAGGAGGGGTTGTCAGTGTCGAGAATTGAGGCCTCAAAAGCGTTCTGGGATGAAGTTTTTTTTGGACTTCTTACTGTGGCTGGATTTTTGGCGTTGTGGAGATTCTTGGACCGAATACATGACCTTACGGCCCGTACTTGTCAAGAATGAAGGTTCTTCCCGAGTCCTCCATCGCAAGTCGGACATCCTTCTACCCCTCACCTGAGCATCAGAACCTTAACAGCATTTTGACTTTCTCCTCAATCGTCTTAGAACTGGCAAGTGCTGACTCCTTCCCCTCTTCCATCGTCATTGTCAGAAAATCACCTGACTGGAAGAATCCATTGCCGAATATCGCGTTCTAGAACAGCTTCTTTTCAACCCCACCTTTCTTCCAACTTCGCATCTTATTACAAGCTTCTGTTCTTCTATCGTGCTTCTATGGCTCGGTCCGATTGTTCTCTGCAAGTCTGGTCGTACCTTGCAGCATCACCCCACAATTCTTCCCGCTGCGTGGGTGGTTTTCGGGATTGAGCGACGATCACGCATCGTATGATATGAGACGTTTTTGTCTGAATTCTTACCACGGCCTAGCTTCTTGGTCTGATTGAGATGGTGAGGACCTTGAAAGTTCGGAATTGGTTTCCCCGTGCCCATTTCGTTGTCCTGGGTGAGATTGTGAAGACTTCAGACAGTTCTTGAGTCCATTCCAATCCCTTCGGCCGGAGGGTCACATCCTCTGGCTGCTGCAAAGATTTATGCACGAGGTTAGGAAGATGATAATATATTTGTGCTCTAGATGATGACGAAGTCCTCTACTTCTATTCCGTCCTGCTAAGCTATGTTTTCTGTATCGTGTCTCCCATTGGAATTTGTTGCCCGCCAAAGCGCCTCGCAGCTAACAGTAAATTGCCCATCAATGAACACCCCTTACTTATCTCAATACATCCTAAACTTCCTCATCATCCTCCTCCGCCGTCTCCTGCTCTAAACGAACAGCCTTGGCTAAACGCACAGTTTTCTTCGTAACAGCAGCATTAATGCCAACGTCAGGATCTTGCTCCCCATCGTCTTATCCCTCAACCTCAGATTCCTCTTCCTCAGTCTCTGGCTCTTGTAGCATGACCTTCTCGCCTTTGGCCATCTTCCCTTTCCCCTTCCCTTTACCTTTACTCTTCGACTTCGGAACCTGCTTGCTGCTCTCGCCCTCCTCTTCATCATCGTTCTTGACAGGTGGCTCGTCGGATCCGATGCCCTCCTCTTCCCACTTCTTGCTCAGACGTCGCCACATACCTTTTACAAACTCTCATCAGCATATGCAGGGCGGAGGTAAGGGAGGCATACCCCTCGTAGCTTCAGCGCTATGTTTGCCTCCTTCCGGCTTGTCGGGCATGCAATCTGCAACGTACTGCCATTCTTTGCTACCGGAGGGGTAGCCCTTTAGCTTTAGCATGGCGCAGAGGAGTTGCTCCATGTCTGGGGGAGGACGCTTGGGTGGCATTTTGGTTGGTCTAGGGGTGTCGGAAAGTTTTGTTGTGGACTTTGTTGGATTTCAGGAGAGTTTGGGAAATGCGAGAAGGATAGAAAAGCAGATGAGATGCGTTGCTAGTTATGACTATTCTTTGCCAATAGTTAGTCCTTCTCCCGCTCAATCTCGAGGGATGTCGAAGCTGGGTGAGACCCGAAGGGATCAAGAGCAGAAACCGCTGGTTCGATTTTCTTCCGAGGGAGAAAAACATGCACATGTCAAGCATCAGGCAAAACTGCATGTCATGTAGTTGTCTCGAAGCTGTTTAAGGCTCAACGGTAAAGAGCGAAACGCTCTTGCTTTCCAGCGGATCAGCGTGTGCATGTCAGTCTCGTTGCAATGCAACATGTTTTGTAACGACATCAGTTGCAACGTGGAACGTCTGACTATTTTTGAGGAAAGCAGGCATCTGTCTTTGGACAAAGTGAAGTAGGCGAGTATCTAGTCAATTCTCGGAAACGATGGAATGCTGTGCGGCGGGCGAGGGCTAGACTCTTCCTCCGTAAGTGTCTTGTGCTCCGGAATACGTGCTATTTAAGTAGCTTCGCATACTGTTGTTACCTTCTTTCTTTCCATCATCGACACAAAAAATCTACCCAACGACCCTCGAACTCTCACCAAAAACCACACCTCAACGACCAATCCTCAAGTCCTCCACGATGCCACCAAAGACAAAAGCTCCCGCTACCGGGGTAGAGAAGTATAACCTCCAACTGCCCATGCATCTCCAACTCCTCTACTCCATAATCCTCGAAGTAGGTCTCCCAACCGGAACTGAAGCCTGGGACCGAATCGCATCTCGAATCCCCGTTGGAGAAGACGGAAAGGATGTCCCTGGCACAGCTATCAAGAAGAGATGGCATCGCTTGGAGACCAATTTGGATAAGGGAGAGTTGTTCGGAGAGGATCATAAGGATATTTTGGCTGAAAGCAAGACGAAGGTTGTCAAGGAAGTGAAGAAGGTCGCGGTTAAGGAGAAGAAGGTGGCTAAGGGTAAAGGCAAGGGGAAGGAGAAAGCGCAGAAGGTGGTTGAGGAAATTGAAGATGAGGAACAGGATGGTGATGAAGTGCCTGAAGCAAGTTCAAGCAAGGTTGCTGTGGAAGATGAGGAAATGAAGGAGCCACCTGCAAAGAAGGCGAAGGTTGAGAAATCGAAGAAGGAGCCGAAGAAGCTCAAGGTGGTAAAATCACAGGAGTTGAAGAAAGTTGTTGAGAATGAAGTTGAGGAACAACAAATTGAGGAGACTGAAATGGATGAGATAGAGATCGAGGAGGATGTCCACCCAGAGGTCATGGAAATGGAAGCTGAAGCGGGTCATGAAGTATGATGGTATGGTATCTGCGCCAGATATGTACGACTTAGAGATAGCAGGGGTATTTTGGAGTATTGGTATGGATAGATACCGGATCACTCAATAGTAGTAGCCTCACAGATGTAGAGAGAAGGAAGACGAGATGACCTGATAGCGGAATTGATTTTTTTTTCTTCTTGTACTTAGACCAGACAAACTATTAATCGCTACTACCTTTCCAGAAGGCCATAAGATATTGCTGTTTAACGTCATTTCCTTTCACAGACTTTCTATGTCCTCAACCACAATTCTTGGAAACCCCGACACAATCTACGCCAGCTCATAGAATCATAGTTTCTCACGTGCCAAGTGTTCCAAAGTAGATAGTATCAATTGACAATCATCACTTACCCCGCATCTGGCATCAAGTGAATGGAACAAAGTGAACGCTAGGCTTTATGACAGCGTCTTCGAGAAGATCCGAGATCAGGGAATGAAATCAAGGCTCTTCCAGAGTCTGTGGCGTTCATCAGCCTTCCATTACCTTCTTGAGTTTATGGAAGGTCGACTCATTTTTTAGCGGGAAGCTGACAGGTTTCTTGTCTTATGCGTGAATATATTGTCGTACAGCAAGCCGCTTGCCAGAAAGATCGAGAGCCTCTAGCAAACAAAGCAGCTTGTATCTGTAGTATGTAGCAATCCTCTTCAGTATCGGCGATGTCAGCTTATGCTATCGATAAGTGGAACGTGCTAGACTTCCAGATGAACTAGACGATACGCACCCTTCGCTGCGAACGAAGTCGAAATCCTTTGTGCTTGGCTAAAAGCGCCAAAGCTACTACATTCCGTAGGCTAACAAGATATTCCGCTCTCCAGGCATCTATTTCATCAGGGTATATGAAATACGAAAGGTCCAAATATTGTCATCCTTCATCACTTTCCCTCCACAAAGTCTCGAAATCACCGACACTCTACAATACCTGGAAGACACTTTGTCATTCTCAGACCCACAAAATGCCCCCAAAGAAAGCACCCAAAGCAGCTAAAGATGGTCCATCTGATGGTATGGATTCCTTTGCCTTAAATCATGACGAGAGCGCACTCCTCTGGGCCATGATGGGCGAAATGAACCTGCTGGATCGAACCAAAGGTATCACCTGGGACGTTGTCAGAGGTGCTGTCCATTCAACAACCCCAGAAGCTGCGAAGCGAAGATGGTACACTCTCTGTGCGAAGATGGAGAAGAAAGGTCACCCACTTCCTGAATCGGCAGGTAAAGCAAAGCCACAACCAAAGGAGAAGAAGGCAGCAGGGAAGAAAGGAAGTAAAGTTGAAGAAGCAGACAAGGAAGAGTCTGAGGAAGAAGAGGAGGCCAGCGGACCAGCACTAAAGGCCAACAAGAGAAAGGGAAAGGGTCCAGAGAAACCTCCAAAGGCCAAGCGCCCCAAGAAAGAAGAGCTTAGCTCACGAACGGTCGAGAGCGAAGATGAGGCATCTGAGGAAGCTCAGGAAGTCAGTCGAGAGGTAATCGATGACTAAGAAGCTGGCAATGAACCAGCATCCCACGAAGAACAACTCCAGGGAGCTCAGGCTGAGGATGAGGATGATGGAAATGAGGCATAGGCTGGTAATCGGACAGTGTAAATTGGTGGCATGACTCCATATGAGCGTACTTATGCGGACGAATAGCTGTATTGGTGATGGGAGACGGATTTTGGTCCTTTTTGAAATATGGATCCTGGATGCGTATGCAAGATTTGCTTGTCCAAGACTATTGATACTTGGTGGACTGGTGAAGCGCATTGCTCTTGAGATGAGAAAATATCAATATCATACCCTACTCGAGTCCCTTAGATTGAGATGTGATTTGCCTTTACTTCATTTGTTGTTCTCTTTACCCTATTCAAATACCAGCTACAGCTACAGAACAACTTAGAAATTATTCCAACCTTCTCAAATTCTTTGAGCTGACTTCAAGCTGCAAAAATACGAGAAATCCAAAGAACCCTCGAAGCCTTTGAAGTTGAAAACCTAATTTGCTAGTCGCTCTTTGTCGAAGAAAGGAGTTCGCGGTCAATTCTCCGCATCGGCTCCGCTTGCCCGCTCCCTTCCCTTCGCCTACTCCTTTTCGATCTCAACCACACAACTTCTTGCTTCAGCAACAACACAAACAATCTACAACTACTCCACAACACAACCTTCAAACAACTTCCCAACCTCGCACTTGCAAAGCGCAATCATGACTTCTCTTCGTCCAGCAGAGGTCACCCTTCTGGTCTCCATCACTAAGCAGATCAACTCGACCCTCGACTTCTCCGAAGCCTCCGACAAGTTGGGCATCACCGCCAGCGCCGCTGCTCAACGCTGGGGTCGTCTCAAGGCCAAGATCGTAGGCAAAGGAGAAATCACCCTCAAGAACGGCGACGAGCACGTCCTCATCACCAGCCTTGCCAAGCAATTCGGTTCCACGGATGTCAACTTCGACATGGTTGGTAAGGAGATCGGCTGTACCAAGAGCGCCGCCACTCAACGTTGGGGCCGCTTGAGACTCAAGATCGTCGGCGGAAAGGATGGAATGAAGGGAGGTCCCAGACTCAGGCCCGCTGGTACTACGAAGGTCACAAAGTATGCTCCCAAGGTCAAGGTCACTCCAGCCAAGAAGGCTTTGCTCGAGAAGGCTGTCATGGAGGAAGAGGATGTTGGCGCCAAGTCCGAAGCCAGCAACGTTGTCGAGGAGGAGAACGAGGAGGACCTTCTTGCCGCTCAACTTCATGAGAATCGTGCCACCAATGCCAACTCTGGTTACGAGTCCGTAGCTGAGATGGAGGAATACGTTGATGCTACTACTGAGCAAGACACCCCGATGGTATTTAACCCTGACGCTCCTGAGGAAGAGTTCGTGGACGATGATGATTGGATTAAGCGCGCAGTGTTTGCTGACGAGAAATACGAGTTAGGCATCCGTTGAAGACGATGAGCCCAAGTACTTCGACTCCGACCCCGAGGACTACGAAGTCTGAACAACTCGATCTACACGGTATTCTCTGGTGGAGTGATTTCTATCCTTGGAACTGGTTACTATGGGAATGCGAGCACTGATGACGGAATGTGAAAGGGAATGGGGAAAACAAGCGAGTACATAATCAAGCATTTCTTTATGTGACAGTCTCTTGAGTCCGGTGGGATAGTGAAAGTGCGGGAGGACGATGAGGCTTCTCGATACATTCACTCTGGACATAGCTGGCAAATATCAGGAGACTTTCCACCTTCAAACTGTGTAATTGTGTCAAAGTACTCCACTGGGAGCCACTTTGGCAGTGGTCACCTGAGTGAGAAAGTGAGCGTGTGCGAGGAAACAGGGGCCACTCAAAGTCTTGTTTCCTCTTATATCCTCTACTGTAAATCACTGAAGCCCAATTCACTGGTCTCTAGTCTCTAGCCTCTGCCTTCTGGGACTATAGCTAAGCGAGACACGTGATACTTGGAGCTTTTAAATTTTCGACTTTCCTTCCCGGCACGTCTGGGACGACCTCCAGAAAACTCTACAAAATTCCAGCTCCTCCTTTTGAATGCCTTTCCAACTGCTGTCAAATTAAAGCAGTGCTAGCGCTATGAATCGCAGTTGGGATATTTCATGCACTCAGGGGTAGCGAGGTGGTCCAAGCGTTGCATAATAGGTCATATTCACTTCGAGAATGCAGGCAGTTGACTGCACTGACGAGAGTTTTTATATCAATAGAAGACTTTTCAAACAGCGTAGCTAGACCTGATCGTTCTTCGGTGTTCCTATATCTCTTTGTGTGTGAATGATAGAAAGAACTCAGATCTTTGCATATCAGAGCATAATCTAGAGCTTGGAACGTTGTTTCTCGAATCTTGGAAGACCTTGAAAAACTGAGGTATCATCTCTTTCATTAACCGCCCAATTACTTGATTGATCTAGGATTTCCCCATTACCTCTCGACTTCCAAACCCTTTCGATCCTGCCCACTTCGACAACCAAATACGATACCACTCATCATGCCCGCCGCCGACGATCATTACAAGCTGTTGGTCTCCATGATCAGACAGAAGAATGACTTGGAAGAGATAACTAATGGTGTGGACTGGAATAAGTTTGCAAAGGACCTCGGTTTGCAGACAGCGGACGCAGCCAGAAAGCGATGGAGAAAGTTTGGACGTGAGAACGGCTTCATAGGACCTGCTCGGTCGTATCAAGTGAAAAGAAATAAAGCTGCTTAGAAGGTCAAAGCCAAGGCCAGTGCGGAAGGAGTTCAAGATATCGAGCCTCGGGAAGCAACGACGAAGGACAATGAAGTGACGAATGAAGATACCCTTGATGACACGAGTCATGGTTCAGCAAGTAAGCATGTTCGAGAGAGTGAGGACGAGGCAATGTATGATGAGGCTTCTGATGACGAGGTATAGAGCCTCTGGGCGACATCAATTAGAACCAAGGAAAGGACAGAGGAACTAGGACAGCTAGCAACATAAATTTACATATGATGTACCAATAATACACACGGACTGGCAATTGCTGTGATTTGCCGGTCTGTGCGTGCAGTCTTCATCTCGTTCCCATTTGGCTCGTCTTCAATGCAACCCCTCATTCTGAATATTGGATTTCCACGTAATTTCTTGGAGCTTTTAGCTCTGAGAACACCGAAGACACCCCTCTCAGGTATAGAAACAAGTCCTACAAGCCACAGGCCTACCATATCTCATAACTCTGTGCTGCCATAGCAAAAGTTGCTTTTGTCGCTTGGGTATTTATCCGAGAAAAATATCCCACTGATATTGCTTGCAGTAACCTTCCTCACACCATCAATGAGCGTTGAGTAGAAGACGCAATTGTTCGAGTCTTCCGAAACGGGCATCTGCCACGAGTAGGATTCGCATCTTGACATGTACATGCATTTCAATTGGCATGAAAGAGCGTCGTAAGCGTATCGCATATCGAGGATGTTGGAGACGAGGTAGTCTGCCGGAATGCCTTCTACGTTGCAATTCTTCAAGCTCTTGGTTGGGATTGCAGTCGAGGTGGAAGTTGTCGGAGATGCGGTCGGGCTTTGGAGAGGATGAGTTCTCGTAGGTGACGATAATGAGTGGCCTAAAACTGTGTATATATCCCTTTCCGGAATATCTCTGCGATGGTACATAGGTTGCATTGTCGATACTGTCGTCAATGCCGTAATTGGAGACTTGTCGGTCGATGCTTGAGCTAGCGCTACCCTCCGTACTTCAACTTGGTTTCCATATTCAGATGGATCTTGAAGTGGCGATTGGGTCGATATATGTGCGAGTGATAGTAGGAAGAACGAAAGAATAGATGGAAGGTTCAACATGATGAAGTCACTTTTCTTCACGCAGACCAAGCAGGAATTGTGACGATAATAATGTCAAAAAGAAGGGACGAAGAATTGCGGAATCTTGGGAATCTATTCTTATGATTGCTATTAACGACCACGTAATAAGTAGACCGTGATCATCAAAATGGAGTGATTTGTTTGGTTTCTCGGCTCTATCCATATTGGCAAAATGCATCGCAATTACTTTGGAAATTCATGCAGAACCCGCCAGATTCAATCCTAGTACCTCATGGGACGTAACCTTATGATCCTAGCAAATACAAGGTTATATGCATATTATAGGGTATAGAACGATGGAAAGAGTTCTACTCCATACACTCGACGAAAATTTTCTCAGCCATTGGTACATTATACCGCCTGCCTGAATTAAGGATCATGAGATGGGAGCATAATAGTTCGCACGTGGTACATACCACTATATTGTATCGAGATGAATCTTTTGATCAATTGATAGAAAATACATGAGTAAGTATTCAATCCGGCATCGTGCTCGCAAATCATCACGTGGGCTGCAAGCAAGCGTTTCTATAAAGCCAAGGACAATAACCAGACCACCCAAGCTTATAAATACAAGGAAAGATAAAGAGCAAGCTCTCTTCTAGTTAGACCTTTAGTAAGAAAGTTATTATTCGCATTAATCGTCTGCTTAACTAGGTACCTAAATTATGCATGTGGCGGCATTGATCCTATTTGTACCTACATACGTACAAATGCTTTTGCATGAGTAGTCAAAGATGGTCAAGAACGGGCTTTAAATGCTTAGAAAGTCCAGCAACTCCATCTTGCAAAGTGCACGTAGATCTTCGATGATCTGCATGGGACACAGCGCTCTGCGGTGTGCGACATCTCATATGCAGGTACCGCATATTGATGCAGGAGATGTCCCGTCTGCAGCCCCAACGCCAAGACACTGCTGACTGGACATGGAACTCAATCTTTAGATCTTAATATCTCACCAGATAATATGAGGGTGAGCTCAGAAAATGGGAGAGCAAACCTGGAATCTGGAATGCACGCAATCGCAGTCACGTGCAAACACAACTTTGCCAAACATGAAAGTATCTTCTCTATTCAACAATCTTTAAGTACCATTCAGTTGAATAGATTGACAGGCGGGAGTTTGTGGATCTCACAGCAGACTTGAAGCCGACATCTGCCAATACTGTGCAATATCATGCCAACACAACTTAACAAACACCAAGACATCGATATCAAAGAACCAACGTCAACGTATCCATGTCAAGGGACCCGCTTCTAAATTATATTACTTACGCTTCAAGTTTTGCCTTGGGAATTTCTCAAAGACTTTTCTTGTGTAGAATATCGATCTCAGAAGAGACTTCAAAGAGGCTATTGAACGCAGATGAGTTTTTTTTTACAAGAAACCTTACCAATGGATGTTCGCCTCTTCTATCGTATTCGAGGTCGTGGTTCGAACTTCCGTGAGAAGTATCTCGGAAATAGACGCCTGGAATACAGATCCCGCAGTAGCAAAGATTCCGCTGACAGCGCGGATTCCGCGTAACGCGCAATTCGCGCGGAATGCGCAAATTGCGCTTTCAGCGCGAAAAGAGCCATATTTGAACACTGTCCGCCAACTGGAATGGCAAATACTTCCGACTCCTCGATCTGCTGGCAAGAAGTTGTCATGCCAAGTCTGAGAAGATTACTAGAGTGACGAGTGAAAGAGACGTCCCGTCTGCCGCTTCAATGCCAAGGCGCTGCTGACTGGACATTGGTGATTGAAAAAATACAGTTAATGTGATTGTGTTATACGGTATGAGGTATTTCAAGAAACAATATGGGAGTAAGCTCAGGAAATCACAGAGCAACCTCGGAATAAAATAAGTAAAATCACGTCACGTGCATATTTTCCATTTGCCAAACAACCTGGAATGGTCGACAAGCGAATGCCTGCGTCGAACCATAAGATCTTCTATTCTTCAGGAGTCTGTGTATACTACTTAGTCGACAAATATAGCCAGGCATGAGTTCCTAGGAACTTGAGAACGCTTTCTGAAGCCTTGAATAGGCTGAAAAGGTCGCAGCCGCCCAATCTTTCCAGAATGTCAGATGTGAGCCATCTCTGCAATGTAACCCTAATTCTCAATGTGCGTATGATACTAACCTCGTTCTTCTTCCACTACTATCTCACTTGAACCTCGATAATTGGGCCATCCCATTCATCTTTCGCCCATAACATGTAATAGATCAAGCTGAAAGCCACCAGTCCCCCGGAGACTAGAACATTATAATTCATCGTCGATGGTACAATGGGTGTTGATGGCGGCCAGAAACTAAAGAATAGTATGACGGTTAAGTATATGCAAGCAAACGTATTATTAATCACCCCCAGAACTCCGGGAACATGCCATGGACCTTTGAAAAAGCATAGTTAGTGCTTCCTTTAAGTCAACAATTTGTTATCTTCACTTACCCCAGACTAGTTGCGCGCCTTTGGTATTCAAAAACACTGGTGTTTCCGCCAAGTCTGTTAGTGCATTCTGAAAGCTGCCAGTGAGCCGTCGATAAAGTAACAACACTGCACAGATCAAGTAGGAAGAGTATAATCCAGCAACAGAGAGCGAGACTATATCATTGAAGGCTGTCGAAGAACCAATGGTGATAAGGGCCAAGAGACAAGAAACAGTCGTAGTTGTTGCGACAGCCCATAAGGGAACAGTGGTTCGAGCATCGACCTGCATGAAATGACTTATAATCAGCTCGGGTTGCACCAAGGTAACTCCAATGTTTATGGTGAAGCCGATATCTTAGAAATTATAGTTACCCGTTGCAGAATTCGCCATGCAGGCAAGCCACGATCTCTTGCAAAAGACCAAAACATTCGAGATGTCGAGGCAAGTATGCCAACTGTAGCGCAAAGTGCTAATACTGTGACTATGGAGGCCATCACAGCAGAACCCACTACAGAGTTAGTCGCTTGAAGAAAGATCTCCATGAATGGATAGCCTGTGTTTGTAGACAGAGCGTCTTGCGTATCCCCCATGCAGAATAGAAGGGCTATGAGCATTGCGAAGCCCATGATGCCATTCAATACCACACTCAACATAATCGATCTTGGAACGATCAGGGACGGATTATGAATTTCTTCAGACATCTGCAATGGACCTCAGCTTCATTCCGATCCCAGTACCTCTCGGATTGGAGGCATAATGCCTTTCTTACATGAAAAGCTCCATCGGCACCTATATTGGGCAGAGTCAGAACCATGAAAGTCGGACTAAGAAAAGCAGAGTTGTATCTGGCGTACCAACAAAGGCAAACACATTTCCAATCAAGCCGACGAAAAACGACAGCCCTTGAGTTGGCCAACCACCTTCGTTGAGCCATGTCCTGAACACAAAGGACGTACTGCCATGCGGACCGAGAATGATCAAGGTGATCAAGATGCCAAAAAATCCAATAAGATGAAGGATCAAAATTAGACCTTCAAACTTTGGTAGTGTGCTGCTGATCACTGTGTTTATGAAGACAGCAAAAAATATAACAGCCCAGAAAAGCAATGTCCCTTGATAGCCTTTAGGTGTATAGCCTGGAACCGTTAACGCAATCAATCCTTGTATAAGAGTTCCTGTGAGGTATCCTCCAGAAGCCACACCCCCTGGCCAACCTGACTCAAGAATTGCTAAGAAAGGTTTGAGGTACGGAATACACGCCGTCACAATACCCAGACTCTGCACTATCTGCGTGCTGATTACTGCCGGCCAGGGGTCGAAAGTTGGATCAGTTGTAGGTTGATTCAAATAGTGTAGCTGAAATCCAGCTGCAACAATGACGCTGGCACGAATTTCGTTACAATTTCTGATGTGGGGGCAGAAGGATACCTACAAAATGCGGGTCCCAAAGATCGTAATTATGGTAAGCTTGCGGGTCCAGACAGTCATGATGTTTAAAGAAATGAATGTGATCATCAAAATCAAGCCGGTGTCAGTGATGATGTTGACGATGGCGACTGAGCTCCAGAAGGAGATCTATAATACAGCTTAGAAGAATGACGGCAACCTAGAGATAAGGATATCACCTGGTTGAAGCATGAATCTCCTAAGAAATCCCAAGGCCGTGGTACTTGACATTGAAACAAAACTGCAAAACTAGAAGCAACAGTCAGAGTATTATCACAAGACCAAGAATTTTTGATATCCGTTTGTATATTGTGATTGGTGTCAGACCGATGATGAAAGTGACGATTGATACCTTCGCTAGGCCTATGCTGATAATAAAGAACAGCCCGGCTGCATACTCGGCCTGTACAAGATAATTAGAGCTAAGGAGAGACTCAAATTATAGAGACATGACAATGTGTTTCACTTACTTTGAATAGAGCCACTTTCTCCTCCTCACTTAATGTGTCAACTCGTTGTCCAAACTTATTTATACATTGAATGGCGACAGCAATAGATTGAAATATAGCCACAAGCTGAACAAACTTCTTGTCAGCTACAGACGTGGTTATCAAAGCTCGCAAAAGGTCCTCACCAGTGAAGTTGAGATAAGATAATTTTCGAGTTGCAGCTTTCCAAAGACCACCAACTTCGTTGCTAAACGCGCCAGAACACCGAGGAAGGAGATTGAAAGTGGAATCCATGTGAATATTTCTACCAGTGGGGTTTTATTGGAACTGGTGATAACAGGCTGATTTTGATTCATAGTGATCTTGATTTCAACTGTTGTTGAGGATGAGCGAGTGGAAATTTCGATTCTGCATAGAGATCGCCAAAGCAGGCGAAACCGTCAACTAATTCTCATATGATCGATCCGTTGTACATGTCAGAGGACCGATGATCCTTACTCTTTTAATTGGAGTATCGGAACATTGCCCCTGTACCTCTTTCGAGTTGAATCCTGTGGATGCTAACATGGAAATAATTGATAAAGCATTGGTACTCTTAGGTGGCAACACTTGCATGAGCATGAGATCAAATCCCGCGGGAAATCATTGTTGAGTAGGATTTGTGGATCTTTGGACAGATACAGACAGAGCAACTGCCGACATTAATCCAACGTTATAAACCAACATTTTCGGGCCTACGGTATCTCAATGGTCTCATATGTACTAGGGTGGTATACGAGGCGCATATCCACCCTGTAGCTGCAATGGTACCTCGCCAAGGGTGACAGAAGATGGTCAATGACTTTGCAAGTGTATGTCCAAGTCATGCAGTGAGGGAGTGTCTTTCGCACATTTCAAATTTTCAAGGGTACCATGATTCATGATTGACGTTCTGCACTTTAAGAACTTCTCACATGAATCATCCTGATTTAGAAAACGATTTTTGCTACCGGCTGTCATTTGATCAAGAGCCCACCTTCGATATCTAATACAGTTGCATTTCGACGCTTGGTTTATAAATTTCGCGATGACTTTCCAGCTACAAGACATCGATCCAGAGAAGGATTTCAAGGAGCTTATTGAATGCGAATGGGTTTCTTACGAGGAACCCCAGCAGACGTTCTTCCGCCTCTTCTGTCCAATTATCGGCCAAGGTCCAAACTCCCGCGTGGAGTCTCTCAAAGAGTCAACCGATTGCCAACTTAAATGGCACTTCCGATCCTACGAGCTATTGGCAAAAGGTTGTCGATGGCAACTCCGGGAAGATCGTTGGAGGTGCACTTTGGAAAATCTGCAAGACAAATCCTTTTTAAAGTGGTGAGGACCACTCGGAAGCATACTGGTTTCCCGCAGGCGGTCAGCGAGACTTTGTGGCACAAGCTCTGCACCAATTTGATGCTCCTCGTGCGGAGATGGCCCAACGTCCACAGATCTGTATGTCGAAGCCCACTACGAATAGATGTTCTCTCAGAGGGAGACGGACTAACGGTCGTTGACCTAGATTTGAATATCATATATACCCATCCAGAGTACAGAAGAAAGGGAATAGCAGACATGGTGATGGATTGGGGCATCAAGAAAGCCGATGAAATGGGTGTGGAAATGTGGCTTGATGCAACAATTTACAGCCTTCCCTTTTACGAAAAGCATGGATTCAAATCATGAACGAGAATGATCTTTGTCCAAAGAAAGATGGAGAGAAGGACAACGAGTGGGAGAAGCTCGAACGAGACTTGTGTCCCATGGTTATGTGGCAAATGTGGAGACCAGTCTATGGGATTTATGAGGAAGAGGTGACAAAGTTAACTCTGGATACGCAATAGCACAGACGAATTTAAGGGACTTGACTATGCTCAATGGTGACTGCTACAAATGGTGGTTCGGTTCTATTGATCAAGTTAAACCAACAACTTCTCATCTCAGAGTATTGATTGGAGCAAGGGAGGAGTTAAAAACATTCTGAATCCTGAATGCTTTGAAGAAATGGAATAGATACCTACGTGGAAGCAAAGAAGTCCCGTGAGACTCTAAGTACCAACAACATACCGTAGCAGCCTCGATGCCGGAAGTCTCCTCGACGACGTCCAAGGGGCTGTAATCCTAGTCCCTGTCCTGCAGCAACCAACATGCTAGAGTCCTATGGCTGTTGCAAAGCGCTGTCATGATAAACAGGCAGGATATTGGACTACCAGACGCTGAGTTTGACACTTGGTGGAGCAACCAGTTCAGAGACGACCAGGGTTTCAATCATTGACTACTTCTCGGGCCTCGATGTGCAAGCTTTGATCCAGACTCTCGTACCCTCGTACTCTACCCACCTTCTCCAAGGCCGCTTCTGGAACTCAATTATGGCATCCGATCACGTTTTGGCCGAGATTCAGTTCTTGAAATGGACAGACTTATATCTTTCCGAAAAGCCATTTCAATTGTTCCTTGATTATGACATTCCAGTCGACTTGCAAGATCAACGTACGACGAACTTAAACTTCGAGGACAAAAGAGTCTTTGTTGAAAACATGAGAGGTCGCGAAAAGCTGTTTGAATTGGATAAACATGGATTTCTCGTTCGGGATTTTGCAGTCCCAGTTCCCTTGCAGGGTCAGATCATAGATGAGGACACTGTGATGTCGACTTACGTTCCAGCTGCGGAGAAGCTACTACGAACTGAAGTTATCGGAGTGGACCGTCTATTCCTTCTAGACCGGAGGGTGAGTGTGATCAACTCCAACTGGAAGTCCAGGACTCTTGCGCCATTCTATGACTTTTGCTAATCTGGATCGTAGGCTAGATCGGCTGCCGAGCGTATGGACGACATAACCTCTATTGATCTTCTAGATCGATCTCAAAGACTAAAGCCTGCGAGCTCTGCGCATGTTGACCACACAGCTGTAGCATCTATCAATCATGTCCTTCGAGAATTCCCCGACGAAGGTGAACATCTTCTGCGTGGTCGAGTCAGGATCATCAAGTGTGTTCTGTTCCCTGAATAAGTTGATGAAGATTTCTAGGCTGATCATTGAGTTTAGTGTTTGGTTGCCACTGAGCCACACTGTGAAAGATTGGCCACTTGCACTTTGTGATGGGAGCACCATCTCACTAGAACATGACCTCGTTGATACTGATATCGTGCGACGAAGCTACCAAGGTGGAACTATGTATATGCTACATAGAGCAGTCCATAAATGGTACTTTCTCGAAGACCAGAAAACTACAGAGGCTTTCATCTTCAAACAATTTGATCTCATGGAAGTTGAGGCTCGAGGTTAGTTCTCGTTCATCATTGCAGCCATTTCAAGTCATCGACTGACAGAATAGTCTGTCCACATGTCTCATTTAAACAGAGTGATGCTTCGGAAGACATCCTACCAAGAGAATCATTGGAGATGAGATTCATTGTGTTCACAAATCCCTCTTGAATCTCGCGAGCTTTTCGGGACGAGAGAATACTTACCGTAATTCACCAGTTATATGACTTGGTCATATCTGGATTGGATAAATAATGACACCCTATTGGCTTGATGGACGTTTGGCCCTGCGTCTTGCTATCATACTGCTATCAATTTTATTGATTTCTTCCTTCAACCTCCATTTGCAATGTAAATCAATGTTGGGCGACAGAATAATAAGTGCTTTCAGTACCTTCTGTTGGTGTTTCTGCACGGCCAAATAAACAGTGATATAATCTCCGGAACTTGTGATTGATTGTGCCACACGATTCATTGTTGATACTATATCTAAGATAAAGACAGAATAGCTTCCTAATATCCTTCTTCGATTTCGGCAGAAAGAAAAGAAGAAAAAAATCGACACCATGACTCAAGACCACAGCTAACAGTCCCCCACTACTGACTTGAAGACAAATAATCCATTCAATTTCGTCTGTCTTTCTCATTGTTAGCAAATTGCCACCATCGGCAGAAAGTGACATACCCTTGCAAGTTAAACCCAATGTTTAGGACAAGAAGAAGTTGGTTAGGACTCCCAATGGCCCAGTATTTTCGATGACTTCCTTATCTTCGGAAGAGTTCGGGCCTTGGCGGTTATTGACGAGTACCATTTTTCAAGGCTGTTGGCGCTTGTCTTTGAGCAGCACGCTCAAGAATTTGAGAAACAGCGGTTTGTGTTGTAAAAGCCATGGCGAGTCTCCAGTGATGTCTTGTAGTCACGAAGTTGTCAAAGTAGCTAGTGATGCATTACTAAGTTTGGGATAAAGAATATAATCTTGCGAGGATCGTACCTGTCGTTCTATGTGAGAGTAAATTCTGAGTTCGAATACTAGCGGGAGATGAATAGCTTCAACAAACTGAAACTTGGATATCAGAGAGGCCTTGTCTTTATGAAGTTGCTCTTGTGTTGGAAAGTCAGTTGGTTCCAAACCATCTCGCCATCTCGTATGCCTTGGCATCAAGACCAGGTTAAAGACAAGATGGTCTCAAGGGGGCGCCAAACTTCGAGTTCTCTCTTCAATCCCTGTTCTTCCTGTGAGTTTCCTCCAGCAGATAGATCACGGCAACTAAGAATAGTTCTCCTACCAACGTTAGCATTGATGATCCAATAAATATGCACATATATCCTGGCGAAGATGTTCGGCAGGTTCAATAACGTCCCAGTCTCTTCATTGAGCGATTTGCAGTTTCTCAAGTCATGTCTGGCATTCTTTCCTTGGCGGGAAATTGTACCGCGCCACCAAAATTCTCATGTCTGTGGATGAATTAATCGACCCTAGTCGTGATCTGAGGTTCGGCAGTTGAGAATCGGCGGGTTTTCTTGGCTAAGCGATCTGCAATTTCTCAGATAGGATCCAACATGTTGTATTGCGCAGAGTATTACTGCGGTACCAAAATTATCGTTTAAACGGGTACACCAATATATCGTGTTGCGGTTGTAAGGACTTTTGTGTGCCAGATTATGTCTTAGTCCTGCAAGCATGAATCTTGGGGAACTCCTTCAATGTTGTCAGTACGCACGAAGGCTCTATAGGCATCCAGATGAGGTAGGTTGTAGCACAGCATGCATAGATATGGCTGTTGAAGTGGAGCACCGTGACTGATTGGTTTTTTCTCCTCAAAGTTCCACATCATTCCGTTGCACAGCTCATTCTCCCTAGAAGCGCCATCTCTTTCAGATATCTGTTGTGAAACTTCTACTGTGCAACAACTCTACGTACCAGTATGATGGAAAACGATACGGAGAAAAAGATTGAGCTTGGAGTTGTTGCTGAGCCACGTATCGTGCCGCTCGACTCTGGCAACGAGGCATCTTCGACAGATTTGTTATTGTACGGCTGACCTTTACTCAGAAAGGGAAAAAAGAAAGATTTGTCTGGCAATGTAAAGAAAAGTATGATTTGTTTAGTAATTATGATTAACCTATCTTATTTATTTACTTATTGTGGCCTACTTATTGTTAGTCACTTCAGTTTTGTTTGCTTACTTTAGTACTGTTTGCCGACTTAACGCAATACTCTTTGCTATAGGACTACCGATTTACCTAGATTTGCACTACAGTGAGTGAGTGGGTAGGTGGTGAGTAGAAAAGAAGGTAGAGCGAGTGAGTGAAAGTAGAACTAAGTAAATAAATATTTCATTAACGCTGAAAACTCAAATGAGGCTGAAACACTTTTTCTTTAATTTCCCTTTTTCCTTTTTTTTCCTTTTTTTTATTATTCTATATCTTTATTTTTATTCGGTTATTTATATTTATATAAAGCAATAATAAGAGGTGAGTAGTAGTGAGAAGTAAGCAGCAATAAAAAGTCAGTAGTAGTGAGAGGTGAGTAGTAATGATATGAATGCAATAGTTTATTAGACAAATAACACTTTTTTGGAATTAACAGACAAATCATTATTTTTTCCCTTTTTGAGTAAGGGTCAGCCGTAATTGGTAAGTATACGTGATGATCATTGACTTTTCAAAATATACTCATAAACTTTACAGGTAGACTGGGATGGGGAGTTTGATCCTCAGAATCCCAAGAACTGGCCTAGTGTAAAGAAATGGAGGATGACGCTCATCGTGTCATGTTTTGCTTTATTGTCTCTATTGACCAGTACTATGATCTCTCTTTCAACAAGAGAAATTGCCCGATCTATCGATGCAGACGATCTACTCAAGGTTGATTTGATATCATCCATATTCTTACTGGGTATCGGTTTTGGACCTCTCGTTTTGGGTCCTATTTCTGAGATTAACGGCCGTGTGAGGGTCCTTATCCTTGGCAATTTGTTTTTCATCCTATGGAATACAGTCTCTGGCTTCTCCCATACCGTTGGACAATTGACTGCTTTTCGATTACTTAGTGGATTCGGTGGCAGTGCGCCTCTGGCCATTGGCGGTGGGCTCATGAGTGATCTCTGGCAACCAGAAGAACGAGGAAGAGCACTGTCAATTTATACTGCCGGGCCTCTGCTTGGACCTGCCATTGGGCCTATCATTGGCGGGTACGTTACCCAGCATTTATCTTGGAGGTGGATATTCTGGATTGTGTCCATCGCCAGTTCATGCTTCAGCATTCTCGCAATAAGCCTTTTAAAAGAGACTTACGCCCCCAAAATCCTTTCGAGAAAAGCCAAGCGGCTTCGTTTAGAAACGGGCAACACGAATCTCCATACGAAGTATGATGATACGGATCAGACATTCTACAGATTATTGAAAGGGAACCTCGTCCGGCCTATCAAAATGATAAGCACACAAGTCATCATTCAAGTACTCTCACTATACATGGCGGTACTTTATGGAATTATGTACCTTGTACTTTTCACTTTTCCAATATTGTGGACAAACACCTATAGGGAATCTGTCAGCACGGGAAGTTTGAACTATATCTCGATAGGAGTTGGTTTCACCTTGGGTACACATGGTTCGTATATGCTCTCTAGAATGTTTTTGAAGCAATGTACTGTCTACCAAATGCTTACTCATGACGACCTAGTTGGCGGACGCTTCAACGATTGGATATACGGCAAGCTAAAGACCCGAAATCATAATGTCGGCACTCCAGAATTCCGGGTCGCACTGATGGTACCAGGATCAGTCCTCCTTCCTATAGGTCTCGTCATATACGGATGGACAGGTCAGGTACAGGCACCGTAGATTTGGCCCAACATTGGTTCAGCAATTTTTTGCATGGGAACCATAATGTGTTTTCAAGGTATTCAGACCTACACGATCGATGCCTATCCACGCTATGCATCGTCAGCAATATCTACTTTGAATGTTCTGCGAAGTCTGACAGGTTTTGCTTTCCCTTTGTTCGCGCCAGCAATGTATGACAAACTAGGGAATGGAGTTGGGAACTGTATTCTTGCTTCTGTCCTCATCGCGCTTGCTGCAAGTGTCCCCGCCTTACTGTGGAAATACGGATCATTTTTGAGAAAGAAAAGTGGCTATGCTGCTGGCGATGGGAATTAGTGTGTAACTTTGCCACAGGGAGTCGTGATGGCTTGTGGACCAAGTCAATGAAGATAGGGCAAGCGGCCAGCCAGACCATTACCATAGCAAGAAAATGAACATGTTTTCAGGGCAATCGCTTCCATTGTGCTGTTTTGCATGTTCAGGGGTCTGGTGAATAACGTGACCGGAGCTGCGGGCTCCGTATAATGCTCCATTCAGGTGCGGCGGCCCAAATATCGATCACAGGTCTGCCAACCAAAAGGTATGACAGGGACACAAACATAATGAGAGGACGTAATCATTTACTACCCAAGAAAATATTAGCGTGATTATAGCTCATCATCTGGCGGGTCAGACACCTAAAAGTAGTACTTTGTGCGTTGTTCAAACCGAACGCTTCTTCCAAAAGTCTTGATACCGCTCGTTCCTCATTTCAGATTGACCAGGCATGCATAGGATGCGTTCCCTCCAGGAGTCAATAACAATCATCTTTTCCAACTTTTTCATAATAACCTTCTCATTGCAAGAACTTCAATTCAGCTCATTCCAAAACCTCTCGCTCGCCTCCTCGTTCCAGCCTTCCACCCAGCTAAATTTCATCAAGATGGCTTTTGCAGATGACCAAGCACTCAGTCCAAGCGACTCTTTACCCACCAAAAGCTCTTTCTTGAACCATTCCAATTCTCGACGCCCGATACTCGCACTTGCACCAAGAAACAAAATCCAGAAGAGAAGTTCTGGTGGGTATGCCTTTCTCATCACATGCTGAATGTTTTTCAAGTCCTCCTTCAGCAAATCCACCATCCAGTCATAGATCCGACTGCTAACTTCAATCCTTCTCAGAAGGAGGTATAGGTAAATATAACCCGAGAGAACAACAAAAGCCTTACCAGCCACTATACCCTTGGTGGTCTGATGATTATCAAGCCTACCGCCGCGCAGCATCGTATCGATATACTTCTCGGCTTCGGTGATGCCACGATTCAGCACATTTGCGTTCACTGCACCTCTCCTACGGGCACTATTCGACATCATGGAAGACAACCAGTGCAGGTCTGTGAACATTTTGATCAGGGGAGCATCCAGGCCGAGCTCTCTGTAGAAAGAGCCAATGACAGGATCCGGTTGAACCATCGCGCCAGATGGTGGTGGAGTGCCATTTTCATTTGACTCCTTGTCTTCGGGAGATTCCTGGATTCTCTGGAAACGGGGCTTGACGTTGTTTGCATTCGCAGTGTGTATGTCGGCTCTGACGCGGAAGGTAAGCTAGATGACAGCTGAGCATAGAAGACAGACTTACAAGAGGATAATCCTTTGCGCCAGGCCATTCATATGGGGCGTATGAAGATCCCCTCTCATATGTACCATCTTCTCCAAGCCGCCAAGATGAACAAGTGCAGCTTCATTCGAGCCTTCCAAGCACTTGTGACAATGAGATGTCAGCTCTTATGGAGAATCAGGAAAGCGAGCCTTACCTCCAAAATGACAAGGATGCCGACTGCACTAACTGTACCATCAGTTACGGCAGCTAGAGGATCCGCCAGCCTCTCATTCACAAGACGAATGGCCTCTGATTTGTGCTGGTAGAGCGTGGACTCGATAAATCTTCTGGAGCCTCCGAGAGAGATCCAGTGTTTTGCGGTGAGTATAAGTGTAGCATGAAGCAGTGCTGCATCTGAGACTGCCCATGCAAACATGTCACCACCTGGGGCTTTCCTTACTGGCGCTTGGAGCAGGATTCGATAGTTGTTGACTACAGACAGGATTCAGCAACAATAGCTTCTTGTCCAGATGTTGTCCAATTATTGGGGAATATTCTGCACACTGCAGCTGAGGCGTCTTTGAAGTCAAGCTCAACGTATTGAGATTGGGCGAAGAAGTGTTTGAACTCACAATGGTCAAGTAATAAGTTCGAATTCGCAGACAATGGAATTGGGAACCCATTAAAAGGATCCAACATTCCAACACCGATAGCACTCATCAGGGGCGACCGTGATACGAGCATTGGGGTCTTTCCAGGATATGCTGTCGTCAAGTTCAAGGCTAACGGGGTATCAAGCAGAGAATTCGGTCGCTGATTCAGATGCGGGGAAAAGAGTGACTCAGGCGCTTCATTCGAAGCTTTTACGAGAGGTTGATCCGAAGCAAGACCTCGACCTCGAGTGTAACCGCAACTCCTCCCATATTTCAAGCAGTTTCGACAGATTGGTTTGCCTTCATCACATCTCATATGTGACGATTTGCACGATACGCAACCATTCCTGGATCTTTGGTGATGTCGACGTTTGCGTTCTCCAGGCGCACCAATCTCCGACTTAGTGTTGGATTCCATCGCTGTCTATAGCTGGTATATCAGATGGCCATCGAACGCGTTGGTTTGAGAGGATATTTGTTCCAGCGAAGGTACAGCAAATAATGCCATTGAAACCAAATTTCAATCTCGAAGACCACTAGTGGGCTCGGAATTGAATTGGCCCTCACGATCATCCGCTCTGGCTGACAGGTCTAGCAGATATATCTACTTAGTAGGCATTGTGGTGATCAACGATGATTATGTACGCTGACTAAGTGCTCGGAGGTCAGGTCAGCTAGGTCTCGATCGGTGTCAACGCTGGGCATCAATATGATTTGGCACGTCGTTCGGGAGTTAATGGTCGTTTCCTTTCCATTAAATCATTCGTCTGTTCGTTCGTATTTTGGATACAGTATCATACAACACGAGGTCGGTGGCGAGGTTCTGACGTCTTGCACGTTGCGCCATGGACTGTTTCTTCCTTCCGATGCCTCGAACAATGAAGATGATAGAGCTCTCCAACGAAGATCATGAATGGCACATACGAGTACATGTGAGGGAATGGCCGATGCAGTGCTGACAAAGCACCCCACATATATCGATTACAATTCCTTGTCCCTGCTAAAGACAGGCATTGATGCAGTATGCCTTCTTCAAGCAGTAGATCTGCTCTTCCAGCGCGGTTTTGACCCGCTATCTTGGTTCTGATCTAATTAGGTTTGATCAAAAGAACCCTCTGTAAGGAAAGAATTCCCTGTGTGTTGTATCGAAGCTCATACCTGAAAGATACCCTACAAGCTGAAGTTCAAAGAAGTGGCGGTCAATCCCAACGAGGTGGAAAGTGGGGTATCACACGTGATCTGCCAAAGATGCCAAAGGGCATGTGCACTTCTTCGGAGGCGGCGAACATCCAGATTTTTATTTTTCCATGAGCAGCAAATTGAACCGGAGATCTGTGAAGGCTGCAGAAATTGCAGTGAGGGCTATCAGTACCTAGAAGTAGGTCTCAACGAGAACAATGACAAGCATACTCGATCAGAATGGGGACACCAGAAAAACCCCCAATGTTGAGGAGCCAAGCTGCATTAGCATTGAATTATTCTACTTTAAAGATACTCTCTATACAATATAAGTCACTGAAGGTATGTAAGTCTTATGTCTAAAAATCTCCCCCGCCGGCCACCCGAAAACGCCATTAACATTATCCAGACGACACATCAATCTCATACTTCATTCCATAGGTACCCTCCCACTCTACCACGAGAATGTCATCAAGCCCGGATTCAGCGCGACCGGTAATAACAGATGACAAGCACACAGCATCGCAAGAGGGAAGATAGCCACGAACTGATCAATGTTCCAGCTCCAAGGAATGAATTCTGCTTCTGCCATGATGACCATAACAGCGATGGTGCCGAGGGACATGGCGATGCTGTACTTGAACGTCCGGGCCACCTTCGGGATCTCGATGAAGAAGTTGGAGAACTCGACTTCTTTCGAGGTGGCGCCCCACGACATGTCGATGCTGAACATGTGGCAGAGGAGGGCTTGGGAGATGTGGAGGGACATGCCGCCGAAGAAGAGGACGAACATGAGACACCATTTGAAGTTTTCGATTACTGAGGAACAAGCTGTTAGTGCGAATTCTAGTCATGAAAGTGAAGGGTATACTTACGTGAGAGGACGAAGTTTTTCTCGCTGGTTCGGTGTCTTTGGACTGCCAAGGCGACGTTTCCAGCGACGGTGAAGACCATGATGATACTGATCCAAATCTGCCAACTTTCTACATACCACTTGTCAAGGAAACCATTGAAAAGACCGACGGCGATATAGTTCGACAGAGTCATGATCCAGGCTGCGCCAATGGCATAATAAGTACCAATATACGAGATAATGTTGATCTTACTTCCAATGGGCATTCCGGACCACAAGAAGCGCTTGAAGAGAGGAGTGATAGGTCCTCTGGTCAACCAGTACTTGATAGGGTGGAAGACCAACTCGTTGCAACCATAAGCGTACTTTTCCCAACGAGTAAGCTCGTCGTAGACCGTGAGCGAGACGCCTTCTTTGAATCCATCTCCAGCCCAAGCAGCCATGCGGACAACATATCCGTAGACCTGCAGCCGAAGCGCCATATCGAAATCCTCCGAGACGTGAGCCTCGCTCCAGAATTTCTCAACACCTTCTTCGTCCTTGAACGCTACTTCTTGGATAGCGCTCCATCGCAAGATCGCATTGTGGCCGACAAAAGGAGCGACGTCCCCAGACGCTACTCCGAAACGGATGGCGGTATAGATCAGGTTTGTGAAGAAGGTAATGCCGTCCTCGAAGAAGTTGTGCGCTACTTGCATGACACCACTGCTGAACTGAATGATGGCCACGCGCGGAGACTGCTCCATCTCCGACGCAGCGTCGAGGAGACAATCTTCCGGAACCTGAGTGTCGGAGTCGATGATCAGGATGTAGTCACCGATGCGGATATTGCCATCAGCCCACGCGCGGCCTTCTTTGGCAAGGACGTCTTTCAAGCAGCGTTCATAAGCCACGCTCTCGTCGAACGTCGTCCAGTCGGCAGGACGGTCAATTTCTTGGAGAGCTTCTTCGACGGCGTTGGAGATGGCGAGACCGTAGTTCATGTTGGAGGCTTTCTTGAACTTTCCCTTTCGGAGGAAACCATTGCTGTTGTGGCCCGGGCGAGCCGTCCATCCGATCTGATTGTCGGCGTAGAACTCAATGCGCGCTTGGCGGTCTTCGGCAGAGATCAATTGGAGACCGTCGTCGTTGATGAAGATGTTTGCGGAGCCGCCTTGGAGCTCGTAGGTTGAGATGGCTTTCTTGATGGAGCGGACGGTGGGTTGGATGACGTTCTCGAGACCTTCTTTGTAGACGGGACACTGGATTGTAATATGTGGGAGCTCTCTGGAGCGGAGGCGAGGTGCTGGGACGGCTGAGAAGTATTTTGAGTTCTTGGTTAGGTGCTGGATGGGGCCGATGATTTGGGCGACGGCGCTGACGACAACGGAAGAGAAGAACTGTTGTTATTAGCACGTGCATCCCATGTTTGGGAAGTCTAAGACTTACCAAAGTCAGAAAACCGTTCACAGGAGTCTATTTTTCCGTTCAATTAGCATACTACATAATTTTGTAGGAAATTCAGCTTACCATAATGAGAAATGTTAAAGAAGTCCACTTGTGCAACTCATAAACTTCGTCTGCGATCTTGACGTAGCCGAGACCAATAAGGAGTGTCAAAAGACAAAGACTGCATGCAACCAAAAAGCAATTATAAAGCATGATGGGGCGCTCCTTCTCTGCCATCAAACCAGTCTCTTCATCAAATTCATAGTCAGAGTCGGAATTCTCCTGCTCTGTCGCTGCCGCGTTGGCCGTCTTCCACACGAACTTGAGGAGTTCCGCCTCGATGTTCTTCGCACGTTGCAGGAGGTGCGTTGGCTCATCGTCCCACACAATAAGGAGAGCTTCTGAGGCGATGAAGGCCGCATATTGATGTCGCTTGGCGTTATACAGATCATCGAACGTGGGGAGAATCTGGATACGGAGGCCGTTGAGAAGAGGCACGTCGACTGCATCGGCGTTCCATTCGAGGAATGGTTCGATGACTCCAGAAGATACCGTCATGGCTGCCTTTGAAGTTGAGATGTGTTAGTTTTTTTTTCTTCGGTACTTTCCAGGCGAAAGATGAGATGAGACACCAGTGACATTCCCACAACGGTTCGACAGAAGAAGAAAATCCAAAAGCTTACTTGAACGTTCAACGACATCATCGCTTGCGAGAATTTTGAGGTTGCTAATCCGGGTGGTTTGAATAGGTATTCATTTCGCCTTTTCCGTACCAAGGCACCTTCTATCTGTTGATTGATGTCGCGGATCCAAAGGGAACTGCATTGATGCTGGAATAAGTGATTGAGGACAACTTGATGTTTGATTTCGTCGACGAGTTTATCTTCTTGTGCTGCTCGTGTTGATCGTATCGAGGTCACTTCGGAGTCTGTTCCACGAAGTCTGCCAGGAAGGGCGCCGGCGAAGTTCTGTGCTGCGTCGAGGGCTGTAACGGGATTAAGTGCTACAGGAACCTTTTCGTTGTTGAGTTCGGAGCGAGGAACCACCTTCTTCTCCGGCTTGAAATATGACAAGAAACCCATGATTATAGAATTAGAATATAGAAATGAGTGAATGAGTGAGGTGAATAATGAACGAGTGAAGCTCCACACTACTGAACCAAAAAGATCAAAAGAATGTGTGAGTTGGAACGACTGTGTATAAAAGAGTGTGGTGGTCTTTGAAGATTGCCTTATCTTCACGCAAAGACAGAAAGAGAAGAAGGAAGCAAGGTTAGGGGAGCTGATCGATACATTAACAAATAGAACGGAGCCGCATTGGGTCAGGCCAGTCACAGGGCTATAGTGACTAAGGTACCTACCTTCCTGCAATGCTGAGCACCAGAGCATTGGGCGATACGGTACGGAGCTGGCGACATGGGGCTATTCCATTATCGTATGCAAGTTGTGAATTGCCTCGTTCTCGACCTTGGGTTCAAGATAGTGCCTTGCCAGCCGTGTCCGTGTCCGAATTGGGGAGATTAACATGTTTGAACAATAGCGGAAGACTTTGCTTGGCAATACTGCAGCAGGCATAAACGCCGGTGAGAGGCTGGGGCGGTTGCGGCGAGGAGCTCAGGGGAGTGGATGTAGGAACATGGCTAGAACGTGTTTTCGGATGTCTAAGCATAGCTTCGGACACTCGCGGATTTGCGCAAGTATTCTAGTTCAAATGAGCTGTGATCGGACTATCAACCGTGCCTCACGAGTGACAGGGAGAATTCCACGAGGTAGTGGAACGTTGTGCACCCACACCATGTGTGATTGGGAAATTGAAGACCCTGAGAGTCTCGGTAGACAAGAATAGACAAAGGGACAAGGCAGAGATGCATTATGGTAAGTATTAACATCCGATATGCAGGGTGTTGAATGCTTGCAGACCCAAGCAGATGGAAATGACCCCCATGATGCCGGTGCTCATCGTCCTTAGCGTTGAGCGAGCCCGCAAAACCAGCGCTGTTAAAACAGCAAGAGAACAACAACAAGCGAAGCGCCCCAGATCGTTCAGGGGGGAAAACCTTAACGGACCTCGCCAGTTTTCACCCAGTGACTGCAGTGGCATGCGCACGCCACAAAATACTAGAATCGCTTGAAAGCTCTGATTGAGGGGAATTATTCATGCGCTCACCAATCGTGATGGTAACGCTTTAGCAACAATAAGCAAAAAGGGGCAAGCCACCAGCGAAGAATGGCGGTCATGACGAATTAGGACTTTGTTTTGCCTCGTCGTGACCGACTTCGTGCCTCGGAACCAAACAATGCGATGGCATTGAGCACAGTGCAGATCTCTCTTATCGATATTGTCTGGACCCTGACTTCAGAAAGGCCAGAACAATTCCCCTCGATCTTAGATCCCTCCATCCCCTATCGAAGAACCAGCTGGATGGTACCGCTGTCATACAGCGACGATCCTAAGGCGAAGTCCTCCAGGACCTTGGGGGGAGAAGTGGACAAGATGCCGCTAAATTTGGGCTCAAAGCTTAAATAAACGACCTTGCCTGCCGCGCCTCATGTGGCGTCGATAAGACATGTCTCACCTCATTTCCTTTTGTTTTCTCGGCGCCTCTAAACCCGTTGTGGTCGCATCTCTGGGTTCCGATTTCAAACAAAGTGTGGGGACGCCAAGTCTCATTCAGCTGAGACTTGGGGACGCCCCATTTCCCTTTGTCATCTTTTACTGTATGTTGTCGGACTTGCAATTAGAATCCCTTGGACTCCTCGGACACTGTCGGTCTTAAGCTTTTTTCGTGACTTCAGATCTGGACCCACGCGCAATAAGCTTAATCGACCGGAATACTACGTGGGGCGACTGATCTTCAACCCCTAAAATATAAGCTTATGCAGGTACCCAGACCAGACCATCAGGCCGGCATAAAATTAATGAATTAGTGAAATGGACTCCGCGCGGGATGGACCACCCACGCTATTGCATAAGTAAATTATGAAATGACTGGATTGGGAATATTCAGGAACGCCCTCACGGGAATGGCTCCTTGGCGCTGACACCGACGTCTGGAAAAGTCTGCCAAAATGCAGGAACGACGCAGGTACGGGCGCCACGAAATGCCGTCACGACTCAGCCAGTTACCCGCTGGGCGTCGAGACACTGTTCCTCCCTGCGAGAAGTGGAAGAAAGAGAACAAAAAAAGGAAATTTTGGGGATCTAATCTTTGAGACGCGTCTGTGCCATGTTTACGAGCCGTGTTTGCTATGCGATTCCGAATTCGGGTGTTTGGAAGGGCGAGGGCGACTCGCTTGTTGATTCGGACGTATAACGCGAAGGCATTTGGGAGTGAGCTGAAAGAGTCTTGGCAAACGTGATGGGTGGTGGTTCAGTGGACGGATGCGAAGTCTTGCTGCTTGTGCGTAGCCCAGTGATACGAGAAATCAGGCTACATTGGTTGGAATTTGCGACTTCAAAGACTGTTGCAGGTAGCAGAACTTTAGCAAGGTATCTATGAATTATTGATTATGAAAAAGAAGTCTACCGTGCCCTAGGAATTCAAGTCTAATGACCAAGAAAAATTTACACAGTGAAGCCAAACGAAACGCCAGTCGCACATCCACACTCTAACACTGTTGCCACATCTGTACCCTGTCCACAATCATCTGTCCGTTCTCGCTCCATGTGGGATACCACTTGTCGCGGGCATTCCAGAAATCCTTTCGCGCAGTGGCACTGTTATCGATCCACGGCTTCCCATCTTCTCCATCCTTGAACCAGCCATTCTGACCACCCACAGCGACGTTGAGGATCAGATAGAACTCCTGATCAAAAGGAGTCTGTGGTCTTCCGGTTTGGCTCCATGGATCCACGAATCGGGTACCATTGGCATCCGTATAAGGGAAGCCTCCTTGGTTCCAGAATGGCTTCGAGAAGGTGTTGTAAAAGACTTGAAGTAATCTCGTGTCCACGAACGTGAATAGATACTTTTCGCTCCATTCAAGACCATAGGTGTGGAATTGGTCACCATACTCGGAATGCAGCGAGTTCTTGAAATTGGTGGTGTGGATATAGGCGTCATTGGCAGCATCAGGGCCCCAGTGCAAAGTTGAGGAGACCAGGTCGTTACCTCCAAGACTGTACGTGTGGTTGTTGCCTCTTGATTCCATGATATCAATCTCTCCACTTGCTGGCCAGGCTCCGTACGTATCGGTGACAGGCAACATCCAGATAGCAGGCCAGAGCCAATCTCCCTTAGGAATCTTTGCCTTTACTTCGACGCGGCCGTACTTGATGGTGGCACCGATCTTGGTATTGAGGCGTGCGGATTTAGCTGGTGGGATGATGGTACCGTTGGTGATGTTGGTAGATGCCACACAACTTGACCACACGTCAGATGTGCACAAGCCCGTTGCGGTGAGATTGATGACAGTGTTGGCTGTGATCAACGATTCGTCTTGAAGTGTGGGCTTGAGGTAAAGTTGCCCATCTTTGATGAAGACATTCTCTGCATCTGCTGTCGTCTGATCGAACTGCCCATTCCTGTCGCACTTGTCAGCAAAAGCTAGGACATTTAAATTCATTGAAGGACTCGCCCAAAGCCGCCCACTTCCTGCTCCATTGTCCAAATACTTGGATTCAGTGTGCCCGTTGAGAAGTCATCATCCAGTACAGGACAGTATTGGTGAGATACTATTCGACCAATCTTCAGGTATATTAACACACCCGTGATAGCGACACCGGTCAAGAGGCCAAGCATAGGAATGATACACAGCCATTTCTCTTTCGGATCCTTCTTGAACTTTGGTGGTTCATGACCGACATCGTCTTTTCGAATACGTCTTGAACGAAAATATTGGGCTCCTGCAGAAGAATCTGAACCGTGTTGGAACGCAGATGTGGCACCGAATACCGAGGCTGGCGGGGTTGCGAAAGGGTTTCTTTGCCCGGGACCAACAGAACTATTGTCGCTGAATGCTGATGTCGTTCTCGAATGATCGGGTACTGATGGAGAAGAGAATTTCCTCATATTGAAGGTATAAAGATATCAACACAGCCAAAGCCGACTTCTACTAAATGAGACTTTCAAGTTGTGAAGAACAAGTGAGTTGCCAAAAAACGGAATCGAAAAGAAGTGACAAGCTCTGATGGAGGGGCGGAACAGACTGCGCGCGGGATGATGTATTAGCAGTTCAGAGGTGGCAATTGAGATGGAAACTGAGTGACAATCGAGAGCAGGAAAACGCTATCGACTTGCGATTGCGAGGTAGATTGTCAGGTCTGGGCAGTCCACGGGTGTGACCGCTTTAGGAAACATTGATGACAATAGGAGAGCTGCACAGCTTCAAGGCCGAGTGTTCTAGGGTACGGCCCATGGTATCGCGCTGTACGTGGGACAGAGCGAGTGAAAGCCCCTTGGACTTGCAGCCGCGCGAATACATGGGAAAGTATGTGACTGTGAGTGTGTGTGTTATGATTGAAGGCTGAACTCGATGTGGCGTCGAGATTAGGTAGGGAACGCTAGAGCCGGTATGGCCTAGTCACGTTCCAGATCTCACAACGACTCGTTTTGACGAGCCGCTCAAAATAGCTTCAATTATCAACATGTTTATGCATTTTGACCCATGTGAAAATTAAAGTGAAAGTTTCTAAATTTGCAGATCCGGCTTAGTGGCCCGGCAACTGTCAATGAAGCGCCCGCACCTCTTGACAAGGTTCATCTGGTCAGGCTTTCCGCGGCAACTTGGAGATCAAGTCGAGAGTCGAGCCCACGACGAGAGACGCGGTCAACAATGTCCGTCCCGCACACACTTCGAGCCTCGAGGTGGCTCAGTGAGCCGTAAATTGAGTAATGCTCTATTTCCACGCCGTCGCTTGTCTACCCAGTGAATTATGCTCCTGCAAATGTCCCGTCCATGCATGACCATGTTCGGTGACAAACATGCCCAACTGGTCAAGTGGACAGCGAGAACATTCGAGGACCCAAGAGTTCTTGACAAATTCAGCTCTGAATATTCTGACCTGCTCCGAAATGGGCCAGGAGCGGCTCGCCTTCTCCGAATCCAGCGTGTTGGTATCTAGCTATTCTTGTTTGTATCTAGTTATTCTTGTTTCCACGTGGTCTGCTTGTGCACCGCATGGAATACTACCACACGGCTCCAGCTGCCCAGCAGCTGATCGAAAGCAGCCCTGTTCTCGGAACTATGCCAATATTGAGCATGCAATTTCCATAGCCTCCAATGTCTTAGAAACCAGGCTATCGAGAAAGCATCTGATCTTGGCGGGTTGCTTTTCAGATCGTGACGGCCACGGCCTTTCATGTTGACCACATTTTATGCACAACTCTATAAGATATCTCTTTCCCTTCGTCGCTGTCGATCTCAGCACTCTCTAACAAGCAACATCCAACACTCTTTTGATTTGGAACTTTCACGTCACACTCGTTTACATTCTCTATAATTTAATACCACAGCCATAATGAAGACTTCCGCTGTTCTTTCCCTTGCTCTTTTGGGCTTGGCCACTGCATCTCCTGTTGCACTTCCCCAGGATATCGACTTCGATTCTTACGATTCCATTCCAGTCGCAGTGGATAAATCAGCTCCAGTCAACCCTGTTGTTGCTCCTGCCGCTGTCTCATACGATCCTTCTGCGGCTATCACTTCTGCTGTTTCTGCTGCTACTGCGGCCGTTGATGCAGACCTGAACAAGCGTGAGATTCACCTCGTCGAAAAGCGAGGATCTTGCAATGCTTCTCCTGCTGGCAACGCTCCCGCGGTCAGCCCTGATACCGATATTGCCTTCCTCACCAATCCCGACTTTGCCACTGCTGCGAACGGTGCAACTCCTCCTCCAGGATACTTCTTGGCTGTTGGATACCAGAATCTTGCAGCCAGTGCAAGCAGCCCCTCTTACTTGACATATATCTCCGATCCTTTGACCAGTTACGACCCAGCACAATGCGCCACGGCCTGTAATGCCATGACTGGCTGTGTTTCCTTCAACATCTGTGAGTTGTTCACCCAATCCTGAGTTTACCTGTGCTGACTGTCATAGTCTTTGAGCGTGACCCATCCATCTATGTCGATTCTGTCAACTGCCCAACGGCATCCTCTGTTACTCGTATAAAGTGCTCCTTCTTCGGTGCTCCCATCACTGTCGCAGATGCCACCAACGCCGGACAGTACACTGGAAATTTCCACGGTAAGCCTGCCGCAGAGTGACTTGTCATGCAAATCTAACTTTCTTATAGTCGTCATTGCCGGATCCAACACCTACACCACCGCTCCTCAACCGCTCCCTGGTTTCACCGGCCCAGTTTCCGTCAACAATGCCTCCATCATCTCACCCACGGCAGCTAACACCTATATGGGTGAGTCCTGGATCACCTTCCTTGCCACTTACATGAAACTGATGTGGCAACAGGTGTTCAAAGTTTCGTCATGACTCAACCATTCGACCCCAGCGTTTGCGCTGCTGCTTGCACCGAGAAGAGCGCCTACAACACCCGCCACGCTGTCGCTGGAGTTGCTCCTCGTCTTTGCATGTTCTTCGATGCTTACATTCTGTACAAGAATGGCGCGAATGGTGTCTTCACTTGCACCTACTACACTCAGGCCTATGATAAGTCTTATGCTACTAACTTCGGACAGTACAACAGCGCTGGTGATCACTTCACGATCGGTCACTCTTACCTCTACTCGGTGTCGTCTTAATCCATTAGTTTAGCATTTGAATGGTGGGTGGGAAAATGGGCGGCGGCAACAGGGTTGATTGTTTTGCAAATTATCTTTTATGATTCAATGTTTGCCTTAATTAGATTCTGGTTGGGGGGTGAAGAGAGAGGTCATATTTGCTATCTGCGTAATATTGAATCTAATATCTTTTACCAAATTACCTCTTCTTGCGATGTGATCGCCATGCTCCTTCCTCAGAACTCATTCCTCGACCCGAATTTTTAAGTGATACTTAGAAAGACAAGAAAGAGAAGAAAATCATTGGTAAAACATATAACGATGTCAGCTACATTCAGAAGGACACATGATGTTCTGAAAGTGTTTTAATGTCAGAACAATCAACTACAGCATTAATTTCTCGAGGTCGGTCTTCGGTTCGAAGCCAAGACTCAGAGCAAAGCCAGTGCTATATTTTTCATCTCAGAGAAATGGAAATGTTTTCTGTGCATAGTACCAACTAGCCACCTTTGCATACTCTATTTCATAAAATTTAATCTCAACTTCTAGTTTTAAAAATCCTTTGTGCAACTGACTCGCGGCCTTGAGGCTGAAAATTCACATGACCAGGTGCTAGCGCCGTCGCTAAAAATCCCTTCTTCTCGTCCCATCTTCCTCTCAACCCGAAGTTCTCTCCTCTCTTCCTACTCGTCCAGATACGAGTGTTTTCCTCGCCTCAAAATGCTCTCTCACCATGTCAATATCGGAGGATCGCTCCGACAGCCTGCAGCAAGTGAGCTAATGAGGGTTGGAACGATAGCCTGCAAACGGCATTCGAGGGCCTAGCAAAAATCCCGTGCGGTCGCGATTGGTCTATTTCGAAGTAACCTGTTCCAGTTACTCGGTGTCCTGTAGTCCAGGGGTAACGCGAGTTGCATTTACGGCAAAGCTCGCAGAATCGCATTGTTTTCATGAAATTTGAATTTATTTTATGCAAGACACAGGGGCGTGACGCCCAATGCGGTCGTTCTCAGCCCAGCACGAGTTCTGCAAGGCACACATGGGAACATGGGAGAGTCTCGAGCCCTGGACCTGGACCCTGAAGCGGGAGCGTATTTCGGATGGGAAGACACTGCCTGATCTGGAACTAAACTGTGGTGGAACCCGTTCTGGTGTTACCCTGCGGCATCGAGCGTCCCCTGCAACTTTGGCGCGGAGCCCAGTGAATCTCCCGTTCTTAGCTTCGATGCTGCTTTAAACTATCGTTTCTCTATCAATTTACAACTGCATCCCGCTCGCATCACCCTCCCTCCCTTCCTGAGCCGCCTTGGAATAACCTCTCAGCTGGCGGTGCAAAGCGCCATTGTCTCCCTGAGGGGAATCTAGGCTGTGCAGTTCGACCCTGAATCAATTTCGACATCGCGTTTGCTGTCAATAGTTCTTGGCACTAAGTCATGTTTGAATCGACCAGTCTCGCCGTCCCCGTCCGCTCTTGGCCCTATGGGTCGATCTCCTTACGCGTTCATGCCAGAAGGAGAGCTGAACCAGGTGCTTGGGTCTACATCGGAAGTATGCTCTCGTCGTTGAAATCTCTCAAAGCTTGAGGTATCTTTTCAATTCTAGATGCCAACACTCACAGTCTTTACTTCAAGATATTCTTGTCACTCATTTTGATCGGGTTCTTACGCCCATTGTTCCTTTTTCAGTCTCTCGTTGATCTGTACTGTGTTTTTGTATTAATTATTTTTCATAATGAGGCTCTCACGGGTCTTGGCAGTGCTGCAAGCCTGCCAGTTTGTGCAACATGTTCGTGCTGTGGCAGCCACAGATACCCTTATGGATGGAGGTATGAGATACCAATATTGTGATGAAGCCGTTACTGACTGTCATAGACTCGGCTCAGTCAGGTTATCTACCAAACCATAATATGGATCCGGCTGTTGTTGCTGGTGGGAGTTTTGGACAGATTTGGGCCTATACCACACCTACAGGCGCTTCAGAACAGTTCTACGCCAAGCCCCTCGTCTTCACTCCATCCAGCACTGGTCGTCAAGTCGTCTTGTCTTTCTCGGAGCAAAACAGAATATACTCTTTGGATGCCGCCAATGGTACTCTAGTTGCCACCCGTGATCTTGGTCTCGAGGGTGAAGTACCTTTCCAGGTTTCTGATCTCGGACAATGCAACGATATAAGTGGCACGATAGGCGTGACTGGCACACCAGTCATTGATCCTACGACAGATACCATCTACTTCTGGGCCAAGAGTTACCTCGGAACTGCGACCGGGTATCAAAATGGCGCATACAGATTCCATGCAATTGATGCTGTCACCTTGAAGGAACGGCCAGGATTTCCCACCAATATTCAAGGCACCCCCGCCGATAACGATAATACGCGCTGGTTCACTGGAGGAACTGTTCTCCAAAGACCGTCTCTCAATTTGGTCAATGGAGTTGTCTTCGCAGGCTTTGGTGGTCATTGCGATCAATACAACTTCACTGGCTGGCTCGTCGGCATGTCAGCATCATCCGGCAAGCTCTTGACCTCATACGTGACAAGTGGTGGTGCGGGTGCTCCAAAGCAAGATGGTACTTTCAATGGTGGTGGAGGAGGCTCTGGTATCTGGATGGCCGGTGCAGGAATCGCTTCTGATCAAGCAAATCGTCTATTCTTCGTCACAGGAAACGCATACAAGACAGAAGTCAACCAAAACCAGCCCGCCTCTGGACGTCTCCACCTCGACACACTCAGCGAGACTGTGGTCAATATGGCAGTAAACGCTTCCACGGGTGTCGTAACACAGCAAGATTACTTCGAGCCATATACCTACCTCGCCATGGACGCTGGCGATCGTGATCTGGGCTCAGGTGGTGTTATTCTTCCTGATCCTGGGACTTTCAGCGGTGGTGGAGTTTCCAGACTGGCAATTACGGTTGGAAAGAATGGTGTCTGCTATGTCATGAATGCGGATAATCTCGGAGGTTACAAGCTCGGCTCCGGTGGTACTGATGCCATTGTGCAGACAATCAGCATGCCTGGTGGTGGATCTGTATTCAACAATGCTGGCGCGTATCCTCTTGAAGGTGGTTGGCTTTACATCACCCCAGTCGGATATCCCACCTTGGTCTACTCTCTGGGTCATACATCTTCAGGTCTTCCTGCCTTCACTCTCGTGTCACAAACTCCAGATACTTCCGCTGCACGTGTCGGCACTGGCCCGGCAACCATCACAACTTTGAATGGACAAGCCGGAACGGGAATTCTGTGGGTTATTGATCCTGATGCGGGTCTGAGAGCCTATAACGCTGTGCCCGTTAATGGAGTTATGACGAAGATCAATCTTCCTTCTAGTCCTTCTGTCTCCAAGTACCAGCGTCCCGCTTTTGGTAATGGCCGATACTACATCTCTACCTCCAATGGTAAAATTCTAGTAAGCTTCTTCTATGGTCTAGTATCTGCTTCTTTATTCACGGACTATAGGCCTATGGATCTCCTGTCAATACGCCTTTGACATGCACTTCTCCTGTAGATTTTGGTTCCGTTCCGATTGGCAATACCAAAACATTGAATGTGACTTGCACTGCAAATATTGGCATCACTTCGTTCAATGGCATCGTTCTGGGAAAGTCAGTCTTCTTGGCCTCAAACTCTAGCTTGCCAAAAGGAGCTCTCGCAAAAGGCGCCAGCTTCAACCTCCCAGTTGTCTTTGATTTGACAAATCACCAACTCAACGCTGGGAGTACCTCTTCGCCACAAGTATCGCCCGGTGTGCAGACCACGTCAATCAGTCTCCTCACGACCAACGCCGTAGCTGGCTTTGCCACTCAACAACCCATCACTCTGACAGGAATGAGCATCAGTTCAGCTCCTTTCTTAGCAATCAACCCTCTGATGGTTGATTTTGACGGTGTGGTGGTTGGATCTGCCGCTGCAGTAACAGGAAGCGACAGCACTTTCATTATCAGCAACATCGGTCTCAGCAATATGACCATTTTAGGCCTTGCATACACTACTAGTTCTATTGCTTCTGCCAACGCCTCATTTTACAATCTTACAGAAACCACAAATGCCAATGGGACCACGGTCACAACTTTTGATGCCAATGGATACTTCACGTCTGAGGACATGCCTCAAGTCGGAACTGTGATTCCTGGTGGAGGAAGTATTACCGTGGATGCTAACTTCAACTCCAATGTAATTACTCTTTCCAACTCTGCGATTTACGAGTGTGCTAACAATTCGTAGGTTACAGGAACATACTACTCGCTCCTTGAAGTTTATTCCGATGGTGGAAATGCATACACAATCTTCACAGGTTCTGCTGCTACAGTTCCCGTTGCCTTGCTCGAATATTCCAATGGGGAAGGTGGATGGACCACGATCCCACATTGTACCACTCCAAGCGCTGGCTGCACATACGAAATCGATTTCTCTCCTTCTCCAGGATTAACAAGTCAGACTATCCAGCTTCGAATGTCCAACAATGGTGGATCAGCACTCACTGTCACGAAGTCCAAACCACTCGAAGGAGCTGTACTTGGTGCAACAAATCCTGACACAGATTTCTATGAAGGTTCATCAGTCGTTCCTGGATCCTATGAATTGGCATCTGTTGTCTTCGCACCAGGCGCGTCCGTTCTCAATGCTGGCAGTTTGTTCTATTCTGGAGCATGGACTTTGAATACCGACGACTTGACTTTCGGAGTTCATACCTTAAACTTCACCGGCACTGTAGTTTCAACCCAGACAGGTCCAATGTTATCTGCTGGAAACGCTCGTTACAAGTATCTCGGCTGCTTCCAAGATTACATCAACAATGTCCGTCTGGAACCCAAGGAATATGTCAGTGCAGCAAACAACACGAATGGTCTGTGCCAGACTGAAGCTCTTGCTGCTGGTATGATTTTCGCTGGCACAGAGTACATGCAAGAATGCTGGGTCGGAAACATCATCCCCAGTGCCAGTCTCCAAGTCGAAGACAACTTGTGTGGTTATGCGTGTGCTGGCGATCCAACGCAGGTATGTGGTGGCCTTGGAGGCTTGATCTCGATCTATTACGACTCAACGCGATACTTCCCAAGCAACGGAACCATTGTTGGAGCCTCAGGCCTTGCTCCTTCTATTCCTAAGACTCTTGCAGGCGGTTGGCAATATGCAGGCTGCTACTCCGATTCAGCTACTGCACGAGTCTTGGTGGGCAAGACTTCCGCCGGGTCTACAATCTCGTTGGATACTTGCGCAACATTCTGTTCCGCTTATAGCTTCTTCGGTGTTGAATATGCTGATGAATGCTACTGCTCAAACACCCTTGCGACTTCCAGTGTTCTCCACGCGGACACAGATTGTTCTATGAATTGCGCTGCGAACCAATCCGAGTTCTGTGGTGCTGGAAGCAGGTTGTCTCTATACTACAAGAACGGCACAACAATCGCGGCTCCTTCATCAACAACATCAACGAACATTGCCCTGACTGGAACGGCCACTGGGTCCTCCACCACGAATTCTCCTGTCGCCTCTAGCATACCGAACTCTTCATTCATGACCTTGGGATGCTATACCGACAACACTGTGACATCTCGTGCATTGGTTGGGGCAGCTACAGCAAGTGCAAGCATGACTCTAGAATTTTGCGCTGCTTACTGCGCTAACTACAAATACTTCGGCGTCGAATACGGCGATGAATGCTACTGTGGCAATGCTCTTGCCACGACAACTTCACCTGCTACAGATGGTCGATGCAGTATGAGCTGTGCGTCAAACAGCGCTGAGATCTGTGGAGGCAGTTATGGGATGAACATTTATCTCGTGTCCACCTCCAACTCAACAAGCAGCCTGACTTCAACACAATCTTCGGCGTCCGTCAGTGTTTCCACGTCTCTTGGGCTTACATCGACGTCCCTCAGCAGTTCAGTCGCGACCTCATCACGTGCCACGACTTCGAGCTCCGTTTCTGCGTCCCCCACGCCATCTATCCCTGCTACCATTGGCCAATTCACTTACCTTCACTGCCACAGTGATAATGTGACAACAAGGACTCTTCAAGGAAAGTACATTGCAACAGCGGATATGACTCTTGAGAATTGTGCAAGCAATTGCACTGGATATGCTTATTTCGGAGTCGAATACGCTCGAGAGGTGTGTGAAACCCCGATATCCCCCTGATCGGTTATAATTGTTGCTCTTACTGACGAAATGTATAGTGCTATTGCAGTAACGTACTCACCTACGGAAGTTATATCGCAACAGACGGCAGATGCTCAATGAAATGCGCCGGAAATTCGCTTGAATACTGTGGAGGCTCCAATGGCTTGACACTTTATCAGAACATCACAGTTCTTGGATCGTCTTCTTCACTTAGCTCGTCGATGCCTTCCTCAACAAGCTCTCTATCCTCAAGCGTACTGTCTTCGGTCTCGACCCTGTCAAGCTCGTCGAGTTCGAGCGTGCTTAGCTCGGTGACTTCTTCTGGTCTCAGCTCGTCAACCAGTCTGGTATCCACCTCAAATTCGATCTCAAACCAGCAGTCCTCGACTTCGACACCGCTGTCCAGCACCAGCATGAGTCTGTCGTCATCAGTGTCATCATCGACACCTGTACCAAGCTCCATTTCCTCAAGTCTATTGTCATCATCCTCTTCGACATTGCTCCTTAGCACTAGCTCAAGCGTCCTATCATCCGTCACAACGACAAGCTCCAGCTCTTCTCTTTCATCTCTCACCTCTAGCACGCAGGTCTCATCGACCCAAACAAGCACCAGTCTCCTTTCGTCATCCTCGAGTCTCCTTTCCAGCTCTTCACAGCTATCCAGCGTTTCCACAACGTCTACAAGCGTGTTACTGTCTACAAGCTCCGTATCTACCTCTTCCAGCTCCAGTTTCATGACAGTAACGACATCTTCCATGCTCTCATCAAGCACGAGTCAAGTCCAATCATCCTCATCCATCAGTAGCTCGAATGTCCCAACAGTAACACCAAACCCATGGATATCCATGGGCTGCGCAAATGACTCAACCGCATCTCGCGCCCTCTCAGGATCCTCGATGACAAACACAACCGGAATGACCATCGAAATGTGCCAAGCCTACTGTACATCCAAGAACTTCCCCATGGCTGGTGTTGAATAGTAAGTCTCCTTACCCCTTCCCCAAATTCGAGACTAACAAAATACAGCGCGAGTCAATGTTACTGCGGAACAACCCTCGGTCCCAACTCCGCCACCGGCTTCACAGGCTGTTCTATGGCGTGCGCGGGCAACAAGTCCGAAATCTGCGGAGGTTCTTCCCGGTTGAGCGTTTACAACAATACTGCTTTCGTTCCACCCGTTATCCCGAAGACTGTTGGCAGTTACCAATATACCGGCTGTTACACCGAACTTTCCACCGGGCGAGCAATGGGATCGTTAGGCTTGACAAACACCACTGGCATGACGGTCGAGATGTGTATCGGCGTCTGCGGGGCTAAGGGCACACCGTTAGCAGCGCTCGAATACGGATCTCAGTGTTTCTGTGGCAGTTCGATCTCCCTTTCTTCGTCGGTGGTTGATGATAGTCAGTGTACGTCTATGTTGTGTCCGGGGAATAGCAAGGAGTGGTGTTCTGCGGGTAGTAGGTTACAGATGTATTCAACGGGTTCGTGAGGGTTTCTTGTTCATAGAGCTTAGATCATAGACTGTAAATGATTGGGTGTTCGATTGGTGTTGTAAATGTTAGATCTTCTTATACATTATAATGTAATGGCCGTCCGAACTGTTCGTTCTTCAATTGTACCTGATGTCAAATAGGTCTGAGTTTTATGTCTGAATGTTCTTTGAGACAGAGATTGAAGCGGTATTGAATCACTCACTGCGAGTCTGCGACATTTCCAAAGCCATCTGGAATCAGAAAAGTAAGGCCTTCAAGCCAAAGTGCCTGCTACCTAGGTAATTCATAAGAATTATACACGTCACGTGGTGCCAATTATCTCATTGTCTGTTTCGGTTCCATGAGTGGCTCGGGGTTTTAAAAGCAATTCGGACATTCTTAAGTTCCATTTGGAAATAATTTATAAGCAGGCCTTATTCTGATTTTGAAAGAGATGCCTGCAGACATAGGTATTCTAACCACTAAAATCAACTCGTTTAGGCAGTTCAGATGCTAAGATGGTCTCAGCCCTGCCCTAGAGTACGTAAGAAAGCTGAGCCTCGCAACATCAAGATATTTTATTTCGAGGACGAACAATGTTGTGATTTACCTCGAAGCTTTCCATTACTCCATGATATTACTCTTTGTGAATACACCGCCATCATGAATCAACAAGGACCAAAGAGTGCATCAGAACAAACCACGAATCGCGCATGTGATCACTGTCGCAATCATAAAGTTCGCTGCCTACCGAACCCCTCTGGCCCATCGAAAATATGCCAAAGATGCGCGAGAACGGACCGAGAATGCGTCTACACGGCGCCCCAGAAAAGAAAGCAGAGGAAGCGGACCGACACTCGAGTCGCGGAACTGGAGCGGGAGGTGCAAGCCATGCGCTCATTGTTCGACCGGAAAACCAACAGTGAAAGTCCCGGGACCGCGCAGACATCCAACAGGTCTGAAGCTCGCAACACCGGGAATGGATTTCATCAAGTAAGGACGAACAATTCTGCTCCTTCGTCGAATGGACCTCCGAGTGAGACCCCCGCGTCGTGGATGGAGGAGTACAGCGAAGCGTACCCGCGAGAATGGAGCCCTCCCCCGTTCAACCTGGACTCGGATGTCGTTGATCGAGGCATTGTCTCGATGGATGATGCCAATCGATTGTTTCAGTCATACAACGAGGATCTCGTGCCTCACTATCCTGGCGTGATATTCCCGGCCGAGCTCACAGCTGACGAGCTTCGGAAGACGAAACCGACACTCTTCTTGTCGGTCATCGCTGCGGCGGCAGCAAAAACAGACTCTCATCTCTACAGTATCCTCAATAGCGAGGTTCTGTCGGCGTACGCTCATCGGACGGTCATTCGGGGCGAGAAGAATATGGAACTCGTTCAGGCTATGATTGTCACTTCCATCTGGTACTTTCCCCCTGGCAAATTCGCTCAGCTGAAATTTTATGAGTACATTCATATGGCGACAACTATGGCGCTGGATATTGGACTTGGGAAGAATCCGAAATCTTCGAGACTTCGGAGAGGCATTGGTCTGGAGTCAGAAGGCATGACGACAGAACCTCTCGACGAGAAAGAGATGGAGAAGAGAAAGACTTTCTTGGTTTGCTATCTTATTTCAACAGGGTAAGTACCAGAAGATATGTGAACATTTAACGTCATTTGCTGAACTTAATTAGAGTTTCAATGAGCATGCGAAGACCAAACATGCTTCGGTGGAATAGCTGGATTGGTGACTGTCTTGAGACCCTGGAACGAAATAGCCAAGCTTCTAAATGGGACCATCTTCTCGCCGCCTGGGTGCGGATCTTAAAGATCACAGAAGAGGTTGGCGCAACATTCGCGTTTGACGACTGTAGCAATATGGCAGATTTGTCTGAGCCTCGAGTACAGCTTACTATGACGGGCCTGCAAAAAGTGGCAGAAGCATGGAAGAGAAATCTCCCCTGTGAAGTGTTCGATAATGGTACGTTCTAAAAGCCTTGGGATGATGTCGTGCTAATTGTGTTAGACGCATTGAGATTACAATATTATCATACTCAATTGTATATTCACGAGATTGCTTTACACGATGATCATCCTCCGGAAGACTTCCAACCCCCTTTCTCAATCACAAAGGTCCTATCAATTCACACTGATCCTCGAGCTTCGAATTCCTATATTGATGCTATATCCATCAGCATTGCCTCTGCTCAGGCTGTCGTTGACATTCTTCTTAATATGGATGTCGAAGCACTGCGAGCACTGCCAGTTTACAACTATGTCCGGATGTCATACGCGCTCATCACTCTCATCAAACTTTATGTATCCTCAAAGTCTCCTCAAAGCAAAATTGGAGCAGTTCTCGACCCTGCGAGTCTCAAAGTCGGCATCTATCTCAAATCTACAATTGACAAATTGATCAAGGCTGTGGGTCCAAGGGAGTGTCGAGCACCGTTCACATTTCTAGGAATGCTCATGAGACTTCATGGCTGGTACAAGAGTCAAGAAAAAGAGCAATACTTCTCAATCCCAGTCGTCCCAAAACAAGAAGACGAATGCTGGCTGCCACCCGTACCGCGAATTCAATGGGACCCTGATGCAAAAAAACCTCTACATGGGAAGGATATCCCGTTCGGACCGAAGCATCCGGGATGGCAACCGTACAGCATTCCGTCCGAAGAACTTGAGAATCTGGACTTTGGTGAGAGGCCAGATGTGGGAGACGAGAATCAAATGAGTTTTGATCCCGAAGTCTTGAATAATTTTCAATACGAGAGTTTGGGAGATGTTGATCAGTTTCTGATGATTGGCAGTGGACATGGTTATATTCCTGGCGATGACAACTGGTATTTGACCGAGGACGCGCTCCCAAGCGCGAGTGTCAATAACCCTTACCCCAATCCGTTTGGGTGGGTGCAGAATGGGTCGATACATAATTCGTCATGAGGAGACGGTCTTACTTTGATGGCATAGTTTTCGTCTCTCAACCTAGCTGGGACATTTTGATAGTCTAAGACATTGGGCCTAGGACGGACAATGGCACGGTTCAAATCTATGTCTCGACAACTGCTATCAAGATTTATCAATTACTGTTCATCTCTATTGAACTCCACAGCCATCGACCGCTCAAAGATCAACGCCAGCTACTCCACCCACTCGAATCGAAAGCCCAGCTCCCTCATCACCATCTCTCCCAGAAGACCAGACAATATCAGACATTCAACTGGCACAACACCCCACAAAAGACCATTCCCTCCGCCAATAAGCAAGATCTGTTGCTTCCTGAGATAGTGGAGGAAGATGGCGAGACAGAGTACCAGGAATTGCACTGCCATGGTGCGCAAAGAGGGCATTGGATATTCTTCAAGTCGAGGAGCTTCTGCATCACGTGTGTCTTTGCCGTCGAAATTTTCGTCCCGAGCCAGTTGCTGATTGCGTCTTCGAGACATGTTGGAAGAGTTATAATTAGATACTGTGAAAGTGTTGAGGTAGAATGAGGAGAGTTAATGCTCAAGTTGGCCAGATATCCCAACTATTGACTTTTAATTAATGATCCTCCCAAGTCCTCTCCCTTACATTCTCCATTTTCATACTCCTCCTCATACAACCTAATCGGTGCCGAACAACATCTCGATCACTTTGCTCAGATCGGTGAAGTAAAGGATCCGAGTATCAACGTCGCAACTCAGCCTCACCAACAACACGTCTCTTACGTGTCTCTCCTTTCCAAAACTGAGACATTCTTATCTTGGCAGTGATGAGGCTAAGTATAAGCTTAAGTCGTCCCACACAACTTCGGGCCAAGAGTGAAGAATAACTTCCGATCACGTGATGACCTACCATTTTAGGATCGACAACTGCCAAGTTTCTCGGAGATGTCATTTGTCCGCTTTGGAACTTCTTACTTTTCTCATTGGAAATTTTGAAAAGTCGTCGCATCATAGACTTCGGGGCTGAATGTCGGTATGCTCATGTTTGAAAGTGCTGTCGTGTCGGGATAGGATGTTGCGCGGAGGTTTTGGTGTCCTTGTCCGGAGGGAGGAGACTTGGCGATGGACATGTATATGAAGAAGAATGTCTTAAGACGAGCTGGAAGCTAAGGTACATCAGCAAAGTCAACATTAGACCGAATATTCAAATTTAGCAGAACACAGCTACCATGAGCACCTACCAATTACCCCACGGAGGAGGCTTCACCAACCCCAACTTCCCTAACCCGCATGGATCAGGCGATGCCCGAATAATCATCTACGGGTACCAACCTCTCATCCTCTCCTCACCTCAGTACTAGACTAACACGCCCAAAGCTACACCCCCAGCCTAACCCTCTGCATCCTAGCCATCATCCTCTTCACCCTCGCGTTCCTAACCCACCTCCTCCAAACCCTGCGCTACCGCCTCTGGTCCTTCATCCCCCTAACCACCGCTTGCCTCCTCGAAACAATCGGCTACATCTTCCGCGTCCTATCCTCGCAACTCGACCCCTACCGCATCACCTTCTTCGTCGTGCAGTATTTCCTGATCGTCACTGCCCCGGTGCTCATCTCGGCTAGCATCTATGTTTGTCTCACCAGGATCATCTCTTGGGCTGATCACCACGGCTTGAGAGTCGGGAATGGGAAATATTGGGTTTTGAGGAGAAAGGTTATTTTGTGGTGGTTTATCAGTGTCGATGTTGTGACGACCATTGTACAAGTCACGGGAGCAGGGTTGATTGGCGGGAAGACGAGTAAGCAGGAGGATCCTACGACGGCGAACAACATTTTGCTTGCCGGTTTAGCTATCCAGTCTTTTGCGTTTTTAATCTTCCTTCTTCTGTTGGTTGTTATTATTGTCACGATTTTGAAAGATGGAGAGATGAGAGAGACGATCAATAGGAAGAGGAGTCCATTCTTGGGGGTGCTGTTGGTGGCGAGTGTCTTGGTGTTTTTGAGGACGGTTTTTAGGTTGGTGGAGACGGCTGAGGGGATCTTTGGGTATTTGAGTACGCATGAGGCTTTCTTTGGGGCGTTGGAGTTTGCTCCTGTTATAGTGGCAGTGTGGTTGTTGGCTGCTTGGCATCCGGGGAGGTGGCCTACGAGGGATGTGAGGAGGGGAGTGAAGGCTTGAGGATGCTGTGAGAGATTGAGAGGAATATGGACACTGGTTTTGAGGATTAGGTCATGATTCTGTGTATCTGGGAGTCACTGTCGGTACAATTATTTCTCTATATTTGGTACCAGACTTTTAGAGAAGAGATATAGAGGAGTAGAGTAGAGAAGGTATATAGCATACGGAAGTTTAATCAAAGGACTTCTTGTGTAATTGAGACTATCTCACTGCTGAAAGTGGATTTCAGGCTAGGGACGTCTTCTAATCTGGGACATTCAAAGGGTTTGTTGCACATCGCAACGGCAAAACCAAGAGCCGACAACAAGAACCCGGTTTTCAGAGACTCTCCTTTGGAAGTTCATGATTTTGCAAGATTTCTTACTGCGATTGCCTTATGAGCGACCAAAAACTTTCAGATGATATCTAGACTCTAATTGCTTTCCCGATGGTGGCCAAGGTAATTGTGGTTGTTAGATGTTTGCTAGATATGTGATTGAGAACTTGTCTTAGTCCACTTCCAAAACAAAGTCTATGTCAAAAGTGAGGATCTCCTAACTCATACATGGACAAACCCCCATCTCATGCTTTCTTCACCTTAGCCGGCCTCACCATAAAGACCTCTATAAACTCCTTCTCACTCAAAGGCCCCTCACCCTTACCATCCAACTCGACCACCAACCTATCCTCCTCCTCAAAACCAAAATGCTGATAAATCGGCAATCCATCCGGACTAGCCTCTAAATACGTCTCCGTCCCATCCTCATCACTTTTCTCAATACCCCACCTCAACAACTGCCCCGCAGCTCCCTTACCCTGATACTCAGGCAACGTAGCTAGCAGCTCAAGATACCAATGCTTCCTCCCCCTCATAATCGTCTCATGTCTCCCAAACAAATTCCCAAAGAAATGATTGGCAATCTTCTGATCTGCTCCTTCGGGCCATTCCGGTAGATCCGTCTGGATCAGTGCGTCTGGACCGTTCCATTTTGCGAGGGCGACGATTTTTTGGTCGGGAGACGACGAGTCGTAGACGCAGAGGAGATGAGCGTGCGGGTCGTCGAGTTCTTCGAGGATGGAGTCGTGCCAGAAATCGAAGGATGATTTGTTGCGGGGGAAGACGAGGAGGGAGATGGCGTCGACGGAGAAGGCTGAGAGGTAGATTTGTGCTAGGGCTGATGCGTCTGAAGCGGTGGCTTTGCGGAGTAGGAGGGGCATTTTGAGAGAAGTGTGATAGGAATTCGGATGTATGAAGAGTGGGAGGAAGGGATGGATTGAGGGTATTTATGATAGTTCAAATAAGATGCACGATCCGGTGCATTACTACTTCATGTCCCCATGTGTAAGCGCGCAGGATCCACTATATCCCAAAGTGGAATGTATGAAGCCCTACGAAACAACGACTGATGTAGTCAAAGATTTATGACTCCGCCGGCAAGGTGTTTAAAGCTTACTAATCCTCCGTTTGTCAAAGGTCTAGACCCGTGGCGGCCGACAATGACATAGCTTCTAAATGGCTTCAGTTCTTGAGGCAAAAATTCGAAGGCAATTGCATAATAAAATAACAGAGACGGTGAGTTTGAAAGAGATCTGCGATGAAGAAAACTGATAGGGGGTGGCTTGATCGATCACGTGGCGCCCCTATTTCGGGTCGCCAAACTGAAGGTATCTACCTAGGTACTTACGAAGTTACCTTCAGTGCAACCTTCACACGACCGCTCCCCCACATTTATTATCATAACACAGTTTTGCATGCCCCTTTGAGTATCCGAAGACGGATGAATTGACGGAGTTTAGGTCTATTGAGTTGATGGCACTTAGCGCGCGACATGCGCGGAACGCGCTGGTTGCGCTGGTTGCGCGTTCAGCGTTGACATTGCTCATTTCAACTTTAGTTGATAGAAGTAGGCCAGCGAATGAAATCATAATGATACCTCCTGGTCATCAAGGCTGTACATAGCCAGTAGAGTTTACTCTCCTTGCATTTGACATGAGGGGAACGTGTTCAAGTGTGCCTACACGAACGTGAAGCAATGGAACCAAACCAGATTTAGCGTTTGCTATTACTTTCATGTTAGTGACGATGGACATGGCAGTAGATAGAGTCTAACTTGAAGTAAACTTGGGGGCTCGCTTCTTGTCTCCTGCTTCTTTTAGTACTTTGCTAATTCCCCCCATTCCAAATTTCCGGTAAGTTCGCTTCTGCTCTCCCTAGAAACTGAACTTGGCCAAGACACCTTTTCCTAGTCGTTTACCATCTCCTGGTCGTTCACGCTAACGCTTTTCTCTCTCACTCCTTTGCTCCAGAATAATACGCTAGCTCTCCTTCTACTTTCGCAGCCTCGCTCAGTTATCTCCGTCGTTCTTTCGCCTTTCTCAACGTCAAGATTCCTTCAACCTCATTGCCACTCTAACTTCCAGAGTTGACGTCCTTGATCCTTCAGCCTTCATAGCGCAGCGAGACTTTTGAACTTGTTGCTAGACAATTTCAAAATATCCACAAGCAGGAAATTATCCTTTTCTGTTTCACCGTCTCGAATCACTTTCGGATTTTCCAAAGTCAAAAGCGAATACGACTTCGGTATTATTCCAACTTCACATATCCACACCCTCAACCTGAACACCAAGATCTCATCGCCCGACCAATCTCCGACCATGTATTCCTTCCATGCTCTACAAGCAGCTCAGCGGATAGTCGCAACCAGTCAAGCTTCGTTAGCAGAAGCCCATGCTAGCCTGCTTCAAGTAGCAGTTGCGCAAGCTACAATTCCGGCAGGAGCAGACGAGTTTACCAGGCGACAAGCTGCTATCAACGTTAGTGCAGCCCGCCTTGCGGTCGATACGGCGCAATTGGCAGTTGACAGGGCACAATCGGGTGTCCAAGTTGCAGTTGAAGCAATCGGTGTAGCTATTCAAGACGCAGAGCCAGCTCCTGCACCTGCTGAAGATGAGGTCATTGCTGGTGTTGAACAAGTCGTCCCTCGCCGCCCATCCGATTACTCATACCATGACTTCCAAGATTTGAGGCCGCTCATACCAAGAATCTGGAAAGCAGCAGGTGGCATTGGCACTTTCGATGAGTCCGATGGAAATAACGTCTTGCATGAATTGTTTCGCAGCGGTTGGGTCATCAGACGTAGAGATCCCGGCGATTCTGAAGGTATGTCAATTGGTCCCTGGTGGTGATATGCTAGGATGCTGATATCGCTATCCCCTAAAGGCGGGAGTCCTTGGGTGAAACTATCGCAGGCACATTTGAAGACCCACCTTTAGGGGAACCATTGGAGGCATATTTGAAGAAGAACCACTGGTGAACACCAGAATTTGATCGCTGTAACACCCTGGAGATTAGGGGTATGATCGCCTAGGTTATAGGCTGTGGATCGCTAAAGAACGCTGAAGCTCTGGACGGCGATTCGCACTAAAATTCCCAAGCGAACTGGCGATTAAGGGATAGGAACATGATCTGAAGAAGAGAAGAAAATCCAATCTCGAACTTTCTTCACTGAGCTCTGAAAATCTGCATTGACGAGCTGCATGATTTCTAAGGGAGGAGAAATCAAATGCTGCTAGCATTAAGCCCCTCTCCATTTTGCGCGAGCTTATTACAAAATTTCCCTTTAACAAAATGCAAGCTTTTTTCTCACTTTCCTCTCTCATGCACACAGAATCAATAGCATAGCATGAACGGCATGGATTAGTGCCTCGCAGACTTCTGATTCATGAATTGGCAAGATATTCCATACTATTACGTTGTTTTGAATCAGTAATACGAAATGACTTGAATCCCGAAAAAGATTTATTACAATAGTCGGGATTCGTTTGCTTCTCTGCCCAATACGCATACACTCAAAGCCTCTGTGTGTCAGTTACAAGCTTAGGTAGTGATTTGTGTATTTCTTGAATCCAACGTCTCGTGGCCTCAAAACTACTCAAATCAGGTCCCAAAAGTAACCTTATGTTCAGGGTCAATATTAGTATGAATTCCACAATTGTTTTCGTGATTTCCTTGTCTTTGAGACAGGGGCATTGTTACGCTAAGCAAGTGTGAGGTAACCCTAACCCCGCCATCTCCCCAGCTCAATTTATATGCATCCGCGAAGTTGCGGATAATATATCTACCCGACCACTCAGTTGTTAAGTTGAAATAGATTGAATTAGCCTCTGCATATAGTTTCTGTTCTCAATGCAATGAGCGCATTTAGAGGACACGTTTCTTTAACTTCGTAGACGGGGTGATATCCAGGTCAAATTCCAAAATTATATCTCCAAACCACTCTCACTCCAAATTTTGCTTTCCAGTACATACTTAAACCTAGAATTACCTACAAGCCCTCACAATGAGAACCTTCCTCCTTCTCAGCTCCTTCCTCCCCCTGATCCTAACCTCAAGCATCACCCCCAAAAAATCCGTCATCGACCCCGACAAACCCATCTACCTCGGCGACGTCTTCTGGCCCCCCTCCATGACATTCATCGCCTGGCTCCCCAGCGAACAACACGACCCGACCGAGTGGTGCTACCGCGCGACCGACACCTCGAACCACAAGCTGTTCTCGCTCGGCGGCATCGACGCCCTGCAGATGCACGACTATTTCAACCAGAACGCGTATATCACGCGCGAAGGGAAGCGGTACGCGGATTGCTGGATTACGCCGGAGAGCGGGAGGATGGGGGCCTGTGAGGGCGTGCTGGATTTTGATTGTGAGGGCGGGCAGAAGTTTACGGGGCCCGGGACGAGGAGGTGGAGTTGTTGGGTTGTGGAGGGAGAGAGGAATTATACGTTGCAGAGGGTGGGGAGGGGGGTGGGTGAGGAGATGACGAGTGAGGTGGTTATGACGCCTACTGCGGCCATATTGGGTTCCGTTCATAGTAGTTCGATTATGGGTGCTGCGTTCACGCCTGGCGTTACGGGCAGGCGATGAAGGAGTTTCTGTGCTTTCAAGTTGCGAAATTGCATCAGGTAGCTCAGTCGAGCCGTGGCTTGTATGAGAGAGCCGGCATAGGCAGTAGAAGCGTTTGAATTATTTCTATTATCTTTGACTCTGGGAAATGGTTTCGCTCGAGGTTCACTTCTGGTAGACTTCACAACCTCAACCAATAATGGACTTTCTCAAATCCCAAATCCTGTCCAGTATCGTCAACTTAGGAGACGGATTCGCCAACTCCGCTTCTGCTTCATCCCTATCAATCTTATCAAAGTACTCTGCAGGTGTGAAATCCATTTCTTTGAGAGGCACAATCTTTGTTCCAAAATACCACTATACTTTTGTCAATCTTCTTTGTTCATCTTCCACAGGGTTGTAGGGTACATACCTTGTAAGCAAAGTAGTCAATGATGAACAGCGGCACAGTGATGTAGGTAGAGAAGAAGTTCTCAGCACTCGGCTTCCCACTGAACGGAAAGATAGCGAAGTAGAGTTGAGCAGCGAGGAAGCAGATCACGAGCACAATGCCGAAGTACTGTGCGTAAGGAGCGATCATGGTGTAGAAAGGCAGGGTCTTATAATCGATACCTTGGGCTTTCAGGCCACGACGAAATCGGATATGGGATAGGTAAATCAGGATCCAGTTGCAGAAAGATGCTACTCCGACCTAGAATTATTAGTCAGGAGACCAACATTAAGCATTTAATCTTACCAGACTTGAAAACCACGAGTAGACTTGCTTGGCCGTGCTATTCAGATTCAAATACGTTAGACCACCACCAAGAATACCGCTGACGATCAGTGCCACCCAAGGACGGCCAGCTTCGTCCTTCCGTCCGAAGAAAGAATGGATGATTCCCAGATCAGACATATGCGTCATCGCCCGAGAACAGACGTAATAAGATGTAACACCACAAGACAGTACCGTGACGAAAACAAGACCATTCAGAATATGGGCGAAAATTGGAGAGCCGCCGTCTCGGACAGCGAGGATGAAAGGACTCGCGAGCGTGCCCGAGTTGCTGAGATCTGGGTCGTCGTATGGGATGCACATTCCGATTAGCCAGATGTTGACTACGAAGAAGGTGAAGCTGCGGTAGAAGAGAGGTTTGATGGATCGTTTTACTGTTCTTCGAGGATCTCGCATCTCGCCTGCGGTCATTGCGACCCAGCCAGCTAGACATGGGTTAGCACTGGTTTTGAAAAGAGAAATTGGTGAGATGATACTTACCAGAAGTACAACTGAAAGCAGCTTGAAGAAGAGCTTTACATATACCCTTCAGTCCATTATTGAAAGCAGCAGGAGACTTCCAATAGTGGAAAACGAGTGGTCCATGAGTTGCGGCCAAGCCTCCAGACGCCATGATGAACATAAAGCACATGCAGGAAACAATAGCAAGGACCTTCAAAATGCTCATAAAGATCTCAACGTGGCCATAGAACCGGACTGGGAACAGATTCGGAATTGCCGCGATGACCAGGAAAATGCTGATATATGCCGCCATAGGAAATGCGCGAGGAGCCTCCCAGTACTTGAGGACGGAAATACAGGCGATGACTTCGGCTGGGATGATCATAACCCACGAGAACCAGAAGTTCATGCCCATAGCGAAGGCAGCAGCTTGGTCAACGTATTCCATGGTCTGGCGAATATAGCCACCATGGACGGGTTTGTAGCAAGTCATTTCTCCGATAGACATGAATTCGATGTAAATAGCAAGCCTGGCTCATCAGTCAGTACTCGCAAGGAAGGACTTATTCAAGAAGCAGGACACTCACGCGACTAATGTATAAGCAATAGCACATCCAGCAGGTCCGGCAGCCGATAAAGCAGTCCCAGTACCGACCCAAAGGCCGGTTCCAATACCACCTCCAAGAGACAACATAATGACTGCTCGAGGTGAAAGACCACGATTCCATCCATAGTTCTCTTGCTCTGCTACCTCGACTTGTCCTGGCTCAATGTCCCCAACTGAACTGCCCTGGACGGCGATATCGCCTCCCTTCTTCTCATCGGCCATGCTTGGAATCGTATTCAAGAAGAGGCACAATTCAGGTCTTATGATCAATTATCAAATGAAACAAAGAGCAGCAAGCATCATCACCATGAGTGACCAGGACAATATGAATTGATATGAGGCCCGGTGAGCTCTCATCTAAGTTCGCAGAACAGCACAAAAAGGCAGCGAAAGCGCGGTGTTCGCCGACACCTACCCCATCATGTAAATTCTTATCAGCAAACTCATGGACATTGTCCGAAGTGGATTCATGATCTCCACTGAAGATTGCGGGGCGACAAGGTTCGGTTCGTTCATGGGTGGGATTGAGCACCTGCGGCAGTTACGGAGGTTGATCAGCACGACTTGAGCCAACACTCGAAGGCTGTGGATGCAGCGTTGTTAGAGGAAGATGGAGTGCTAGGCCAGGGCCAGATGTCGGGTACCACGCAACATAGACTTGCCTGGTGGCAGCGATGTAAGATACAGTTGCAGTCCAAAGACATGCAAAAGGTGTGAAGTTGCCCAGAAATCCAACCAAGGAACAAGATAACACACGCATCACCAAGAAAAGACGTTGGGACAGACGCCCGTTCCCGCAAACTTTAGGTATCCACCGTTAGTTACCGTTAGGCTCCTCAACACGCTAAAATCCCAGCATTCCAGGCACTGGCTCGCTAAACACCCCTAACTTCCAGCGCCGCGGCAAAGACATCCCACTTTACTCCCAGAAACGAGATAGGGCAACGTCTTTGTATATAGATACAAGAAAGCAAGATATTCTTATCAGAGTATCTCTTCGATGGGCCTCGTAGCCTCCGACATCACCTGACAAACATGACCTCCTCAGCACAGCAACGCTTAGAAGCCATTCAAAAGACAATTGCTCCAACATCCACATCACAAGCTGAGAATCCACCATTCCCATACCCAGTCCCCAACTCAACGGTCTCGTTTTGGAGAACGGAACTTCATCCTCTGGATAGTCATCGAAGTACGCCTGAGTTGCCGGAATCATGTGATGTTGTTGTTATTGGAGCTGGGTATACGGGAGTGGCTACCGTTCATCATTTGCTGGAAGGGAGGGAGGAGAGGGATGCGGGGAGGGGGATAGTGGTTCTTGAGGCGAGGGAGGCGTGTTCGGGTGCTACGGGCAGAAATGGTTTGTTGTTTTCTTCTTGCTTGATTCGTCTTGCAGAACTACCTTTCGATATGTCGTCGATGCACCTTGTCCGGAGCAAAGTCAATATCTACTGTTACCTGGGAGGTTTTGGGTTGGAAAAGTTTAGCCTGGTGGTCAAACATCCACTCTTAAAAACGGTACCTGCTCTTCCATCCGAACTCTTCCGCTAACTTTCATCCACAAAATAGGAGGCCACCTAAAACCAGACGTATACTTCAACAGCAAGTTCCCCTCCCTCTCTTCCTCCCCTCTCTCACTAACACCCCTCAAGTACCAAAATACCAAAAAATGTACGGCCCCACAATGGCCACCACCATCGCAGCCTTTGAATCCTCCCAAATCCACGCCGTAAAAGCCCTCGTCGACAAAGAGAAAATAGACTGTGACTTCACCCTCACCCGCGCCGTGGACGCCTGTCTCGACCAAGCCCACGCCGACAAAGCACTCGCTGAGTTCGAGGCCCTGGTTGAGAGCGGCGAGCCGAGTACCAGGGACGTGTGTTGTAAGGTCGGGAAAGAGGCTGAGGCGCTGAGTGGGGTGAAGGGCGCGAAGGTTGCGTTTAGTTTTACGGCTGGGCATGTTTGGTAGCTATGTCTCTTCTTGTGAGAGAGGGAGTTGGACTGATGTTGTGGTGATAGGCCGTATAAGATGGTTATGCATCTCCTGCAACGGGCTGTTGATCGGGGCGTGAATTTGCAAACTAACACACCCGTCCTCTCTATCTCGGACACGGCGTCGAAGGAAGGATACTACACCCTCACAACCCAACGAGGACCTTTATTAGCCAAGAAAATCCTCTTCGCAACAAACGCATATACGTCCTCCCTCCTACCCTCCTATACCGAGAAAATCGTCCCCGTCCGTGGAATCTGTACTCGCATCACGTGTCCCCCAGGAACGACTCCTCCTTACTTACCCAACAGCACGAGTGTCCGGTACGGACCTGGATGGTACGACTACCAGATTCCGAGACTGGATGGGAGTATTGTGGTTGGGGGAGCGAGACATAAGTTTATGCATGATTTGAAGGAGTGGTATAATGTTACTGATGATTCAAGATTGATTGAGCCGGCTGTGAGCCATTTTGAGAACGGATTGATGCAGAATACTTATTCTGGGTGGGAAAATTCGGGCGCGAAGTTAGATAGGGCTTGGACGGGCATTATGGGGGTATGTTGTGTTTTTTTGCTTGTGTGAATGGTTGAGAAGCGCTTACTTCGAACCTTGGAATATGCGTATCGTAAATGGGACGAACATTGACACTGACATTTGACTAGTACACTTCAGATCTGATGCCGCACATTGGAGCCGTGCCTGGAAAAGCGAACCAATATATTTGTGCAGGGTTTAATGGCCATGGAATGCCATTAATATTGTTGGCCACGAAAGGCGTAGCCAAGATGATTCGAGAAGACTGCTCGTTTGAGGAGACGGGTATTCCAGGCGCCTTTAAAACAACAGAAGAGAGATTGAAGGACAAACAGAATGCAATCTTGGACTCGAAACCTCAATGAAGACTTCGAGAACACAGAACAGCGCACGCCTCTTTGAAATGGGTCTGAAAGATTCATTCGCTTACTGTGGCATTCTTCGAGGATCTAGCTATAAAAAAGGCGAAAGTGTTAGAAGTGATTCGATTCTACTCTAAAATGGCGGTATCTTGGAAAATAGAGTCGAAGATGTATATCCCTCAAACTTTAGCTGCATGTTTGCAAACGCCTTTAGTCACAGTTGTGCATCTGTGCATGGTTCTGAACTTTTCCCTGAACTCTTTCGGATGGATACCATACCAATATATGTCAGCCCTAGGCAATGTGTAATTCACCTTCTCCGCCTGAATCTTCCACCTTCGTTGGAACTTCACAAGTTCCGAGTCCTCACAGCCCATGATTCGTAGTTGCGGTTCTTGTTCAACATCTCGTTCCCTGGTCAAGATGTCGTGAATGGCCACTCCAAGACGTTTAAAGTAGTCTCGATCCTCTCTATCAGAGCGCAGCCTGATGGTCAACTCCGTGATGTTTCTGAGGCCGGACATTCCATAGGTAGGACAATGAGTCAAAGGATGACAACCCATCTTTGAAAAGTCTTTGAGAAACATGCAGGCTGTTTCCGCAACTTTATTGTATTCACACGGTTGACAGATCTCGATTCGCTGTATCAGTCTGATATTGACTAGACCAATTTGAGTTTCGAAGCATAGCAATCCGGCGGGGTCCGAAAAGGTAAAGAGGTTCGTGGAGTAGAGTATTTCATTAGCTTCTTTGGAAGTTTGTTTATTCAGACGGCAGATGGTTGGGCCTTCAGGTTGCCAGATGAAGTTGCCTCGATCGTCGCGATATTTAATCGTGCACCGAAGAGGTTTGCTCCATTTTTCCACCCGAGCAAGCCTTGGTCGTGGCCTGATCGGCGTCTCTCTGGTCAAAGCATGTGAATAAATCAAGTTCCTGATTTCCGAGGGGAGTTCCAGGAATAGAAATATATCCTTCTTCCGTCTGACAGGTTTAATGGCTAGGTCGGTAGGCCTAGGATTTCTTTGCCATGTCCTGGAGGACTGGCGTATGGGAATAGCTTTACTCATTGGGTAGAGGAGCTTGGACCTGTCCTTACATCAAGAGTTTTTGAGTGGGTTGTTTATCGGAAGTTCGATATTGCGATTCGATGTGTGAAAATGAGAAGTCGTAATGCGTGTAAGTGCGCCTAACGATGACATGCTGCCCGAGTTTGCTTGACACGCTAAGCTTCTTTCGCGCAAGCTAAGCTTCGGCACTTAAGATGACACTTCACTTCGTCCATCAAATTTCTCGCAACACCACGATGTGCCCATGAATCCATATCTTGCATCCCGCCTCATAATTTCGCCCTATATTCAGAGAGAAACATTCTTAACTCTATTGAGAACGGAGCTTCTCCTTCCACAATCCTCGGCGAGTCGTTCCGAGAAAGTTCTTCCATACCGTACCCCACAATGATCGACTAACGGGTATGGCCGCAGAGGGCATTCAAACAAGCTGCTCATTGGGCATGCACCCCTCATGATGGCCCTGCAAGGAGAATCCATGTAGGCGGAAATCGTACCGTGATCCCTTGAAGTTTGGCACGCCACCTTCCCCTGAACGATATTCTATCTGAGTATACCGAGAAGCCATGCAAAAGCTTATTCTTGTCATAAGATGTTTGATAGAAATATTTTCCACCTCACATCGATCTGTTCCAGCTCCATGGGTTGAAATGCTGGCCCTGGACGAAAATGAGGGGTGGAGCATCTCCCCACTTCAACCCGAGATTGAGGATGAAGCGGGCCGACGGTGTTTATTTCTTCCTTGATTGAACTATATACTCTCTTTGAGTCCCCAAAGTTGAGTGACTGCAAGTTTTACTCTTTACTTTCTCTTGTCTTCTTTCATGATGAAGATCTCTTCTCTGCTTTCTGTTTCTTCGGCTCTAGCTGTTGCAAATGCACAGCAGTCTGCTTATGGTCAATGTACGTGCTCAGAGAATGAATCTAGTTATCAAGACTAATACTTCCAAGGCGGAGGAACAAGCTGGACTGGAGCTACCACATGTGTTTCCGGATATTATTGCTTGACTCAGAATGAATATTATGCACAATGCGTTCCCGGAGTTGGTAAGCTCACTTTAACCACAACACGAATAGCCAACTAACAAAGATCCCAGCTTCTACGACAGTCAGCCTCAGCTCATCTACCAAAGCTTCAAGTAGCACCTTGTCCACAGTGACTACCTCGAAGGTCTCGTCAGTCTCAACAACGAACAGCGCTGCAACGAGTTCATCATCTGCCATCACAAGCTTTGCTAAAACAAATGGCGATGTTTTCACAATCAACGGGAAGACCGAATATTGGATGGGGACCAATAGTTATTGGATTGGGTTCCTCACCAACAACGCTGACGTCGATCTCGTGATGTCTCATCTGGCCTCTGTAAGTCTTTCTAACTCATGACCTGCAACTCCTCTCAATGATCCCTCACTTTTGACCTCATACTAACAATCCCCAGACCGGCCTCAAAGTCCTCCGAGTCTGGGGCTTCAACGACGTAACCAGCACTCCCAGCTCTGGAACTGTCTGGTTCCAATCCTTCGTCACCGGCTCCTCGCCCGTGATCAACACCGGCACCGACGGTCTCCAGCGCCTGGATTACGTCGTCCAATCCGCCGAAGCCCACGGCATCAGTCTCATCATCAACTTCGTCAACAACTGGACCGATTACGGCGGAATGGCCGCTTATTGCACGTACTACGGCATCAGCCCCGTTACGGACTGGTACACCAATGCCGCAGCTCAAGCTCAGTATCAGACTTACATCGCGGCTGTTGTTGCTAGATATAAGACCTCGACTGCGGTGTTCGCCTGGGAACTGGCTAACGAGCCGCGTTGCAGCGGGTGCGATACTTCTGTCATCACAACCTGGATCAAGACGACTTCCGCGTACATAAAATCCCTGGATAGTAACCATATGGTAACCATCGGCGACGAGGGCTTCGGACTCACAACTGGTTCGGACGGAAGCTATCCATATACCACAGGCCCAGGGCTGAACTTCACCACCAACCTAGCCATCTCCACCATCGATTTCGGGACCTATCACCTGTACCCCAGTTCCTGGGGTGAGGTCGACTCTTGGGGAAATGGATGGATCACGGCCCACGCCACTGCTGCAGCAGCCATCGGGAAGCCTGTCATTATGGAAGAGTACGGATCTTTGACCCACTCTGATGAAGCGTCGTGGCAAGCTACCGTTCTGTCGACGCAGACGGCGGGAGATATGTACTGGCAGTATGGGGATGATCTTTCGACTGGGGAGACGAGTGATGATGGGTATGCGATTTATTACGGGTCGACTGAGTATGCGACGTTGGTTACTGCTCATGCTGCTGCTATGCTTGCTAAAGCGGTTTGAAAGTTGGGTTGAGATGTGGGCTCTTTTCTTCGGACGGACATTCTCTTGTAGTTGAATATCTGTCCTTGTTTCGGTGTATATATTGATTGGAAGGTTGCACATAAAATGAAAAGTAGGGACACCCGAGGAGTGATTTTAACTTCTTCAAAGAGATCTGTAGATCCCAAATTCCTTTCTTTGATCACTGTGAGCGAGACCACATAACTTTTGGGTGTTCAACTTTGCGTGCAACTCTTGAGTACTTCACTACTGCATTGTGTATCTACGGTTCTCTCATGTATTCATCAAAGAACGACGTTGCCAATAGACTCGCTTCGACGAAGTAATAGCTGCTGAATGTCATGGGCTGGGAGCCGCACTAAGTGTGATGAGGATCAGCAGGAACATCATAAATTGGTGCACTCTGCACTGTAGAATAATGTCTCAATCAATCCATTATACACTGCCATTCAGCAATAGCCTCGTTCCAAGCTTTTCTAAAACTCCGCCTCTGGTCTGTGGATAAAAAAGTGTGAACTGCAGCAATGCCGAGTCCGCTGGCACGTCGTTGGCTGAATTGTGGGCGATGCAACACCTCATCCAGGTGAATTGCGATTCTGGAAAGCAACAGGCGTCGCAGCCTAGCGCAAAACGTTCGTTTAAGCTGGCATTCTTCGACTGCGAGACATGGGCGGCAGAGGAGAAAGTCTATAGAGGAAGCAGTAGTTGCAACTTTGGCATAGAGACACGTCGGATTGGTACATGGAGGCTAGCATCAGCCAGCTTATGAGAGGGGAATGTTGAGCAGGCGAATACCTTTTCAGCTCGTATTACGCTTGCTTGTTCAAGTCCCTCCGCGATTTTGGAACGTACAGTAACAAGAAAGAGCGTCGGGAAGGATCAGGCACAACACTTGTGGATTCGAGAAATTTTATTTTGAGAGCATATCAGCTGTCGCCAAACAAAGCAACAGAGCAGCAAATGGGTATCTCGCAAATAGTACAACAAGCTTCGGAGCCTCCACTCATTTCAATTGCAACATCGTTGTTTTCACTCAGGAATGTCGAGCCCTCAGCCCGGCCATCTCCTTCTCCAGCCTTCTTTTCGTGACTTCATCCTTCAAGACTTTAGCACTACTATACTTGGGTATTGTCTTAGCAGCTGCTTCATACATTGATCTCTCCTCTTCGTTTTCAGATGCAATGCGCACCCTCTTGGGGCGTGTCATCGATTGGGCTTCTGGGGATTCAGGAATGACAGCATCGCTGAGATTGAACCCGTACCCCTTTTCAACACGCGGAATTGGTGTAGTTGGAATAAGGGACACTTCATCCAGATCAACGTCCTCCAATTCATCTCTCACGGCGCTCGAAGAAGTTCCAAATATGTCTCTTCCGTCAACAGATTCGAAAGTCACTTGCTTGTCTCGTCGAGTGCGCATGCTTACGCCTGGTCCCTTATGATGTGCATCCGAGGTTAAGAATCTACCTCCAGAGTTATTAACCTCTTCGAGAATATTCTTGCGCTTGGAGACAACTTTCTGTTGAAGGTGGCGTTCTAGTCCGAAGTATGGGGATGATGAGGCATCGGGGATTTTCCTTCGAAACCTCGGTCCCGGTGTGCTTGTGTCTGATCTTGAGGTTATGTTTCGTCCTGGCAAATCTTCCAACACATTTTCATACTCATCCCTCTTTCTCCAGAATCTGATAATTTTCTGGTAGCCTTCTTTGAGTGCTTTTGCTTCTTCGGCAGGTTCAGTGAACCACGGGTGCTTCCGAGCTTGGTCGGCCGTCATTCGTTTCTCGGGATCGCGCGTCAGAAGATTACGAAGGAAGTCTGACGCTCTGTGCGATAGACCCGGCCATCGCTCTTTTTGATTCTCTGTATGTAGCCCCAAGACGCGATCTGCGATCTCCTGCTGGCTCTCTTGGGTAAGTTCTTCGCGTGGAATAACATTGCAGCCGGTCAACATCATCATTGTCGATATACCAAGTGACCATAAATCAGCAGTAGCTGTGTACCCAGCGTTTGCCGCCTCGACAGCTTCGATTTCTCTGAAAGTATTAGTGAGGAAGATTAGACGCAACAATAAACTTACGGGGCAATGTAGCCAGATGTACCGACCCTTGACATTAATCTCCCGGATACTCGATGTGCGTAGTTCGCAAATCCAAAGTCTGTCAAGACTACTCGAGCACCAAAGTCCAAATTCGTGATCAGAACATTCTCCGGCTTGATATCTCTGTGAACAACTCCTTGTTCGTGCATGTATTGCAGAGCCAACACAATTTGTAGAGAGATGACGCGACTTTGCAAATCATCAAGCATGCCATCGTCGTGTGATGCGATGTAAGAGAACAGATCACCAGCAGGTGCAAGCTCGGTAAAAATGTAGCTGACAATGGTTAGATTCCTCGTGAAAGTTATGTAGCGTATACTGACTAGTGGGTGTTGGAGCAGAAGGTCTTCTTGAGATCGATAATGTTCGGCTGAGCACAGGTCAACACAGTTACTCAACGTGACAATTTCGACTTACATGAGAGAGTTTAGAGAGAATTTTGATTTCGCGCATGACCTTGCTGAGGCCCTCTCCTGCACGCTCTACCCTATCATGCCACGCCTTGCCGACAGCTAGAGAGGAATGTTCTTCTAGGCCGTCAAGAGCCTGTTGGATATCGACAATTTTGCAAGCTAGTTGCCTGGATGTCTCAACCTCTGTTGCCATATACACTGCGCCGTATTGTCCCTTGCCAAGGATACGGTTTGACACAGAATACCTATGGTCGAAATGATGGAGATCTTGGTTGTCGGCTAGCTCTTGAGACACTGTAGTGTTGTCTGGTTGTTGAAATCGGAATCTCCAACTCAATTGATTGTCGGTAGAATGTTTAATCTCGATAATCTCACCGTTAGTGAGCAAATGGCCTACTCGCTGCCCTCCAATCTTCCCAATGCAAACATCATCGACGTATGTACCATTGGTAGATTCGAGGTCTTCGCAATAAATCAATGGCTGAAACTCGTGCAAACTCTCCTTCTCGTAAATAACTGAGTAGATGCGAAAATGACGCTTGGAAACGCAAGGATGAGAAATGAAAAGGGTGCTGTCTTTTTAGAAATTGCTATCTAAAGTTCAAGTTAGGGACCTACGACGTCTCCCTAAGTCTACCAATGTATTCCTCATTTCCCGCAAATATAGGTATCGCTAGTGTTCATAGTTAGACACATATCCTCGAGTTGATGTAGTTTTCACCTACTGATATTACCTCCACGAGTGTCATCTAGGAATACGAGAGTCGCAAGAGGATCTTCATCTCGGAGTGGCTTGCGATTGTAGGGGAAATCTCCTCTCTGAAGTGTCTGCAGCGTCGTGCTGAGCCCGTCCATGGGAGGCATATCTACCTAGGTAAATGGAAGGTCAATTGAATTGTATATTAGTGAAATAGAAGAGTTTGTATAGCATGAGTTCTTCTATAGGCATTGGGCACCCATTGATTACTTTGATAGATTCAAAGTGAAAGTTCGACAAGAAGACGCGTCGAACACTTTCTGGTCTGGGAAGGAGACGTGAAGGGAAGGAGCGAAGGTGTCATGTGATAAGCCCTACCCTTACGATCATGCGGCGCTAATTTAGCGGTGTTCGCTTAATTCCATCATCATATCGGCACGCTCGATTTCCAACTTTTCATTCTGCAACTTCGTCAACACTCTCAAAACTTCGAACAAGTATGTTTCCACCACAACTCATTGATCACATCTAATAATCCGCAGCGATTCGAAGCCATGAGAGCCAAATGGAGAAAGAAGGTAATTCATCAAAAATCCACTTATCACGAATCCGCTTGGCCCTCATCACCTACACCCTCTCAACTCATTGATCACATCTAACAATCCACAGCGCGTTAGGCGTCTCAAGAGAAAGCGCCGCAAGACTCGTGCCAGATCGTAAGAAATACCCCATCCTCTTCACCTTTGGATCCTTGGCTGACTTCCTCCGCAGCAAGTAAACGACTCACAACAACTCGATCACGATCACTCTTACCTCTCGAACAAACCATCATGACAACATAACCTCCGAGTCTGCGCCATCTCCCGCATCGACGTCTACGCCTTTTTCAGCACACAGCCTACCTCACAGCTTGGGACTACCACTTTGTATTACGGCAGCTGGGTGTTCAAGGATGGAACAGTTTGATGACGCGCAGTCTTTGGCATTTGGTGGAATGGATTGGAAGGGAGCAGGATCGGTCAACAACTCTTTGTCGGATTGTCAATTGGGGGTTTGCGAACAAGGGAGCGATGGAATGAAGGCTGCCGAAGATGCTGGACACCATTGACTTCAATTGCTGCTACTGAATGAAAAAAGAAGTCCTACTTCAAACAACTTGCTCTTGTGTGATCTGCTTAATCCAATCGTATTTGCTCCTGTGCGTGCCTCAATCTCGACCGTGAACCTCTGTGATGTTGAACGTATGACGTATTGGGAGCTTGACGCACCGCCCTGCAGGCCATCATGGATCATTTCCAAAGTAATCTTTCATGCTAGAGACTCCTTTGGAGCTTCCTATCAATCTCCCAATCTCCCACTATATTCATGTCTATTCACTCAAGATTCCCAATTTGCCCTTCGTTGTGGTTTCCCCGCAAGGCGGTGAGAGCATCCAGGGTTTCGGCAGAAAAAAAAGCTCATCGAAAATTCACGGCCAACATGAAGATCCTTCAACCAGTACAGACTTGGGTACTGCGCAACTTTCTGCAAAATGGCAGATAAAGTCGAAAAGGTCAAGAAACGGAAGAGGCATATCGATGACTCTTCCAAGCCAAGTAAGAGAGTCGCAATCGATGAGGACAAGCAGATCAGCGTCTCCCTTCTCGAGACAGGAAAATGGGCTCCAGTTCTAGGTATGCGACTCTGCATTAACCTCGATCATATTGTTCATGATACATATACTGATAGTACATAGCTTCGACGCCAGGTCTAGCTATGCCATCAGAGATCAACCTCAGAGCATATACCAAAATGCGCAGAAATGCCCCTTCGAGAGTTGGGAAGAGCGGTGACATTGCAACAAAGGAGCTCATCCTGCACTCTTCCGACCACTCGAAACTCGACTACACGGCCCGAGAAGAAGAGGTAGGCGGCGTGGACTCGCTACTCAAACATTATATTGGCGTTTACGACCCTGAGACTGGCAAGATGGAGGTCGTCGAGGCACGAAAGATGATTGTACGAGGCAGTGTGAGAGCACATCAAGCTACCAAAGAGGACGACCTATCTATGGCGAGTTTGCAGATACCTTGTTCTGAAGTTAGTAAGCTAATTAGTATTCTAGAATATGAGAGAGCGTCGAAACGAGCTTGGACAAACCTTTGGTACCAAGAAAGCACGGAAAGCCATTGCTTCAGTCACGGAGAACGCTATTTCACCCGACAAATCTCTACGTATGCTCGCCAATGGCCAAGCACCCAAACTTGATGGTGCTTCCGCTGCTATCATTGCAAGCATGGCCAAAGCTACGAAAGGAATGTCAACGAGAGATGACCTATCTAAAGCTGCCGACGATGCGAAGCCCAGACCGAAAGCCAATCTGGATGCAACCGATGTTGCGGACGTATATACAGTCGACAGCTTGATTGGCGAAGATACAATGATGCTCATACCTGTAAGGCTGTGGCAGGAAGCTATCAGGAAGAACAAAGAGATCGTCATTTCATCTAGCTACGTGGCTAATCGCATTGGGAGAACTAAGTATGACAACATCGAGAAGTTGAAGATTTTACGATACATGCTTCTATTGATCGACGTCTACAACAATTGCACGATCATGAGAGGCCAAAGGAAGCTCCCAAATCCAAGAACACTCAGAGAGGTCATAGGCGATATGCCAGAGGCAGTTCTCGAAGGTGTGAAACGGAACTTCACAGAGGGAGGACTTATGTCCAAGTACAAGAGCGACTTACTGATCACGCATCTGTGTGCAATGGCATGTCTGGTAGACAACTTTGAGGTCGATATGTGGGATTTGAAGGAAGATTTGAAGCTGGAGATGAAGCCAATGGCCCAGTACTTCAACGAGATCGGTGCCAGGAATGGAGCTTTGGGTGTTGCAGAGAAGCAAAGATTGGGTCTGGACAAGGCAGCAGCAGCACAACGGAAGGTCGCAAAGCTAAAGCTTCCTCTGGACTTTCCGAAAGTGGGTTTTGGCAGGAGGAGATAGGTCAACGATCATACAAAAATGGAGCAATGATTCTTTCACTCGAATAATCGCAGCGAGTAGTCTACTAATCAACACTTACCGTGAAGCTAGAAATGGACTTTCCTACAATTGAACTCGGATCCCGGAGTCGTTGGAAAATCCCTAGTGACCGACGACTAAACCTCCATCCAACTCCAACGTCGTCAGAAACCAAGAAGTCTATTTTCGGAGTTCGGAAACGGTGCGAGCGACAAATAACCTAGAAGGTTGAGGCCCACAAGAAGGCAAATTTCATCTTGAAATTATTTCTGGGTACGCGTCAATGGCCAAGCCTCGCAAACCAAGAATCGAACAGCGATACGCTTGCGAAAGCTGTTCGCCGCTGACGATGCAGAACACCAACAGCTCTAGTAACAAATGCAACCATCATACCTGCGACACATGAATGCGAAACTGTGCACCGTGACCACCAATAGAACAAACTGCCGACCTCTCATAGAAACATTTCGAGCGTTTTCCGCATCTCACACCGCTAAAATGGAGGTTTTAGGGGTCCAATCCTAAAAGATAAGATCGCCAAGATGTAAGACGGGCCCTGCTGAAGAACAAGCAACGGAAGAACCTGCCAGCCAAGCATAGCCAAGGACAACAAGACCATAGGGCGCGATACAGCCTTACACACAAGCGTATTTACCCTCAATGGTCGTCGTCGTCAAATCTGCCTCATGTCTGCATCTCAACAAAGTTTCGTTCTCCTCGTACGGAACAACCGTGGCAAAGCCTTATGTAAAGTAAGGATCCTCGTAACCCTCGAACATGGTCTCGCAGCTGAGCCATTTAATGGGGCCAGGAAACCTTCATGCAGGCCCTCCATCGCAGCCAATCCCTCCCCCGGCATTGCCTTGCCGGTCAGACTTTCAGTGAACTGATTGCGATGAGACACGCGGCCGGATTGGACGATGGGAGAGCTCCTGGACTGCGCCCAGCGAGTGCATGGTTCCCGACGCTCTCTCTAGTGTGATCAGCGAGGGCTGAGGACGACAGGGTCGATACGACGGCGTGCACTTTAAAACGTGGACTTCCCCAGCCTTCTGATCTGACTGTTGTCTCCTGCTTTCATTACTATCCTATCGCACCCGTATATATACACCTTCTCATATACTTCATCGCATATACATCAATCGCACTCTTCGCTATATATCTATACCCCTTTTTTCAAAATGCCTGCCCAAGAAACTCAACAGCCCCAGGCTCAGCAAATGTCCGCTGAAGTCAATGCCGAGCAACCCGTAAGTGAACCTTCTCACCCATCGGTCGCCAAACCTCAATCATCTTACTTACAATTAATAGCGTGTTGCCGAGCAAATGACTGCTGAGCCCGTCAGCATGCGTGGTGGTGGTGAGGGCGAGGGAATCTGCTGCGGCATGTAAGTTCGGCTTCTTTCTTATACATATTTGTCCCAATGGATGCTGACGATCCTGCCACAGCTGTGCCGGTCTTGCATGCTTCGAGTGCCTCGAGTGCTGCTGCTAAATGCACACAGCTTAGTCTGATGACGAACGACGGATTGGATATATACCCTGGAGATACTTGTGTGGATTCGGGGTTGCGACTAAATGGAGTAATGCCTGGATATACGAGAACCGCAATTGAATATTGATGTTCTTCTGAATAATTCCTGTTCCCATTGAATTTATGTTGTGAATTTTACTAGGTGAAGGATAGTACCTCCGTTTTCTGCGACTTTGCTGTAAATGCGCATTAGTCTCGAACTGTCGTGAGCATCGACAGTATTTTCTCTGCGTTGTTCTTACTTCACAGCTGGTTCTATCCATATTGAAGATCCGAATCCTTTGTCTTTAAGCCTTGTGCCAACGAAGCATTGACTAGAACATGGGACGTTCCCCTGCAAAGTATATCTGCGGGTAGTGAGACATAGCTTCAAGTGACCAGTCAGGCAGTGCTTTCCCGCTGTAGAAATTCTAGCGTGCAGCTCAGCCGCACCCTTGCTGTTGAGACATGCTTTGTGGCGTCGCCTGCACGAGGACAGCTTCTGGTTCTCAGCTTCTTACTCCATTTTTCTGGAGCCACACATTGATGATTTATTAAGCACTTGACTTTACCTCCATCTCATCTTGCAAACCTTATGCACTTGTATCGACATGATGCTGCAGCTTTAAACCTTGCGACGAGCTTCTGAGAAAGATTGAATTATTCTTAGCTATTCTTAAATGTTGCTGGCAGAAGGAAAAACAAAGATCTAAAAGTCCCCACTAGCAGATATAGCCTCGCCAAAACATACACAAAAGCAATACCAAATCCCAAGACCCTCGTGACCGGGCCCATATATCCAAGTACCTTTCTCCTCAATCCATTCTTCCTGCTCTGTCCATCATTCTCGACTGGCGAGACAACCAAGGCCCTCGCACCATAGATCAAAGGCCAAGCAGCCGTAACCACCGCTGCAATTCTCCACAGCAATCCCTCTACCGGCGTCGGAAAGTGATAATCCCACGCAGCACAATGCAACAGACCAAACAACATCCCCCCGAGAATACCTCCCGCCCAGCCCAAGATCCCGCCTTCGAACTTTTGCCTCGCACCTTTCAAATCAGAATGCAAAGCATGTCCAGGCATCGAGTAATCATCTCCAGGAAAAACACCAGCGACATACGCCGGACCCGCCCTAGCCAACTCCAGCACCTCCTCCTTCGTCGGACATCTATCTGCCTTCACAAAACGCGGAGCAGCTATGTTCTGCGGTTTATTCCAGTACAGGAGGTAAGTACAAAATGCGCAAACCGAAAACGCTACAGTGACGACTTCAAATTGAGAAGAAGGCAGACTTTCTGCTTTGCGCATGATCAATTGGACGATTTGCCAGGTGACGTGAACGATAGCCAGGATTTTAGCTAACAGGTCGCCTTTGGCTATGTCGTCTATCTCATCGGAAGTGATGCCGGGAATCTTCTTAACGATGCCAAGCTCTCGAGCGAGCAGGAGCTGGGGGCCATCGAGGGCCCAGTGAGTACCTCGCAGACGGATGAGGTTGTAAAGTATGTCTGCCAGATCGGCCGGAATGATGTTTATGTCGTCTCCCGAGTAGAACTGTTGCTTCAGATCTGCGATGATTTCTTCTACCAGGAGAGAGTTCTTGTCGGTCTTTGGCTTGCAGCGCCTGTCCGCGACGCTCAATATGTGTGCCACTCTCTTGTTTGGAGGTTGTTTTGGTTTCTTCGGTGGTGCTTTGGATTCTTTGGACGCTTTGGACTCTTTGGGTGTTGCGACCGCGACCGCTGTTGACTTCGGCAATGCGTTTTCCAGGTCATCTTCATTGTTTGTCTCCGTGGCAGATAGTATGCTTTCACTTGTCGTCGCTTTCGAGATCTGGCTCTCTAACTTGTATGAACCAGAAGAACCTGCAGGAATCTGAGGTTTAACCTGAGGTAGTGGTGCTTTTGGCGTTTCCTCACTGAACAAAATCACAAACCCTCCCATATTAATAAAGAACGAATGAACCAGACTCCATTCGACTCCATCCTTCTCCGCAACGCTCCCAAACTGTTTCGTCAAAGCTATCGCACACGACAAATCGCCAAACGCCGTCAAGAGCAAGAACTCCGGTGCAAATATCGAAAAAATCATCAACTTGAACTGTGTGAGAGTTCTCTTTACGTAGTCTCTCCACCCCCGGTTTTGTATATATGCAGGAACATTCGGATGCTGAATCGACCAAGTACATAAGACTATTGTTGTAAGACATGTTAACAGGATATCGACAGTGCCGCGAGTATTCGGTTGCGTTACATAGTTGATGATATCGGGAGGAAGTGTACAATTAGTGCTGAACTTCGTCATGCCGTCAAAAAACAAATACTAGAACATGAATAGCAATAACGATATACAACAAAAACGACGCAAAAGATCAATACAATAAACAGAGCATCATTCAAATCAACATGATGAAGAGATGTTGAGATGGAGACGTCAACTTCCCAGTCTTTCCAACTCGGTGAGGTGTACACACACGCCACTCACGCGCACAGCCCATAGGCAACAAAGGCGATAAATGAAGCACGGAGACCTGCATTTCAGAAACACACCCAAGCCTTGCCGAACACCAGGGGTACCAATCCAGGGTCGGATTGGACGTTGTATTACGGGATCATGCAGCTCAGGCGGCAAAGTATGCTGGGATGTCGGCCCGTGCAGCGCTTGCAGATCGAGCCGAGAATAGATTCCGAAAAGGATGCCCAGATATCCATAGTCGGATTTGATACATGACTAGGAAATTGTTCGATATGCTCTGGAAACTTTACAGACGACTTTTGTCCTCAGGTACGCTCATTGAGATTGATAGAGAGATCTTGAAAAATTTTGACACCTGGGCAGTAGTGGGAGATCACGTGTAGCCCCTGAAGTTATCTGTATACCTAGGTACCTAGGCGAGTGCTTAGATCAAGCCGCTTGGTCTGGCTTTGAGATACATGTTCCTCCCCGCCAGGGTACACACAAAGACGTTGCTTCTTGATAGTAGTCAGATCGTGGGTAGCATTGAGACGCAACAGAAGCTCGAATAGTCACCGAAGACTCAAAGGTAGTCGTCGATAGAGGGCTGAACAGATTTAAAGTTCAACAAAACTTTCAAGTGAATTTAAATTCACTTGGAGAAAAAATCTTTTGTTGCACATCGCAATTCTTATAGCGCTCCCGGCAGGCACCTAAAGCGTGCGCTGCACCGGGAGATGTTGCTGAGACGCTGCGAGCACAACCGAACCGAAGAACTGCCTCGATCCCTCCACCACTACAAGTCAAACAAGGAAAGGTATAGAAACATCGCACGACGCAAGGGCATCATCATACAAGACTCAAGAGGCATAGCCTAAGACGTTAACAATTGCACAATGGTAGCTTCGAATTACTCCCTATCGAACATGGTGTTCAGAAGCAGTTGCCAATCCATGGCAGTCTATCAATAAGGCTAGGCTATGCGCAACATCTGCGGTGGCAGATTCCTTCAGACTTGGAGCATTGATGTCGTCGATTGTGAAGCCCCTCTCCGCCGTCATAGCTCGTGAGCTGTATCATCATGCCATATGCATCAGCAGCGCTCTGAATGGAACCGTTTATTTAGGGCAGAGTGGCAGGCTTAAACAACATCAATCAAGCTCCGAAATTCTGGATCTGATACATGGCGAGTGTCTTGTGGCATTTCCACTGCGTTGTCTATAAAGAGCTTATATTCTCAGCTGTCGATGTTCATTTAGGAGGCAAGTAAAGAAGTGAAGGTTGGTAATGAGATGTCACGTGCTGTAGTCCCTGAAAATTAGCCGAGGGAGGCCAGTTTTGTTACAATTCGCCTAGGTTTCTGGATATTTGAAATTACAACAAACAATCACACTCGAAATGTTACTTTCACTGTTTGCGTAATGATTTAGGATATGCAAATTCTATTAATATCAAATGCCCAATGCTTTTTGAAGTCAAGAAACCGTGAAATTTTGATAAGAAAAAACCAACGTTATATGCTCAATGCTTTTAGAATGTAAGAAAGCAAGAAGTTATGAAATAAAAGACCAACGCTCTATTCCAATTAGCCACGCCTCTATTCGCCACATTTTAGGTGGCCAAAATTTGGAAACTTTGAAAATGCCAAGTTCGCCCCATCTTCAAAAAGTTTGGGTCGTATCCAAAGGGCTACTTAGTGGCACACCATGCGTCCTTGGATGTCTCTCCCACAGATGGGCGGAGGAGGAGCTATTTGATGCTTGGTTGTACTCGGTACGGGACTCTTGCTCGTGATTGGATAGATCTTACTGGATGTTCCACTCGAAGAAGCATGATGCGTCAAGGTGAGTGAGGGTTGATGGGCTGAAGTGATTGGTGGTGGGTTGGTCGGGAGTAAACTATTCTCCGATGATGGATGGGTCGGAAATATCTTGTTTGAGATCTGCGAAGCTTGTGAAGTTGAAGATTTTGGTGGTAGAGGAGTTAGACTAGATCCTTTACTCAAGGCAGGACGTGGAGTTGAAGTCGGTGGTGGATGACTAGTTGTAGCAGGATTTGAGCTTGAAGACTTCCTAGTAGTCGTCAACAGAGTAGTTGGCGCAACACTCTTGCTACTAATGGCGGTGTTTGTAGCACTCGACTGAGGATCGATTGGAGGTCCACAACTGTTTGGTGCCATATTTGTCCCCCCACGTTTGACCAGTGGATAGTTAAGAGCAGCAGGGCAAACAAAACCTGCATTGGATCCTTTAGGAATAGCACCGTTGTAGACCATACGGACTGTGGGATCTGGGTTGGTGCTTCTCGGGTATGCCCAAGTAGTGACATAATCTGTAACCACCCTTTGCCAATTGAAATAATCTGAATAGTCGGCTTTTTGTCTGTTCGCATAGCTCTCCTCAATAGCTGCACGGTGGCCGTCGACATTCAAGAAGTATGCAATGAGACCTGCAACAAACGAAGTAGCTTTGAGCAAACTTGTTAGTATCTGACAATGTGACGGAGATATCAGCTCTAAGCTTACCAAATGATGTCCCCTTTTTTACCGCAGAACCCCCATTCGCCACATCGACTGTTATTGCAAGCCCTGGTGCATAGACATCAATGCCAGTTCCTGGAAAATTCGCTGGTGTTCCCCAGTTTGAAAAGTAGGTTCTGACGCCAAAGTTGTCGGTGGCTCCAACAACCATGATCGGAGCGGCTTTACGGTCTCTCCATAATGCTGGGATTGAGGATATTCCCTAGAAAAGTTCAGTGCCTAGACAGCTTTTGGTTGATTTGGATGTTTACACTTTGTTGTGCCGCTGTATTTCCTCCACTCTGAACCACAATACCTCCAATAGACAAGATTTTCTATCGAGGTTAGCACCTACTTCTATCATGCTCAATAGCGGCAAGGTCTTGTTTTTGAGTTCTTTCTTACCTGGATTTCCTTGTACCAAACGCCATACCAGAGATCTCCTGGTGGCATTGCTGACAACTGGGTTGAAACGGCGCTCGAAATAATCGCGTGACCCCAGGGTAGAGTGTTCGCATCATACCTCTTTATGATATCGTTAAGTGTTTGGGTATAGGCATCGACAATGCAGGCAATTCGAGTAGATTGAATCAAAGTCCCAACTGGGATTGGTGGATTTTGGGGTTTGGCTTGTTGGTCGGCCAGAGATTGTATACCTTGAGGCAACTTGACTATAGTGACATAAGTGCTATCTGAAGCTGCTAAAGAGCCAAACACCTTGGAAAGTCTGTTCCATAATTAATCCTGGGCATTCTTAGAGAAGCCGAAATGATAGATCCACAATACGTACTGCGTGGTTCCGTGCGCGCTGGAGGCTGCTTTGTAATCGGTTTTGTCCTCGTTATACGCATACGGCGGGATAGTCTCGTCGTTCACAGGCATTTTATTAGGATCTCCTGCGAACAGCCAGTCAGGTTCTACTCCGAACTTTGCTGTATACGCCAAGTACGCCTAGTTTATGTTTAGCCTTGACAGCACCCAACATGTACAATACCACCGCGGTAGCAAATACTCACCCTGCTTCTAGTATCACAGCCACTATCTATGATGTAGACCCTGGTCCCGGGAGTCGGACCCTGCGCCTCTGTAGCATAAGATCTAAGAGAGGATGCAGATATGCCAGGAGGCTGTGAAAGAATGAGGACTTCCTGGGGAGGTTGAGGATTAGGTGATTGAATGAAAGATGTAAGAGGTGGGGGTGGTGGGGGGGCTCTCTTGAGTAAGAAATCTTGTCCGGTATTGAAAGAAGCAGAAGTGAGGTTCTGATATGCAACGTCCGAGTAGGGGCCTGCATCATCATCGTCAAGCAAAATTGAGGCACCAAAATCTGTACTGATACTTGCAACCTACCACCAATTAGCAAAGTCAGACAGACGATATTACCAAGCTCACAGCTGGGTCTTTCTGATACTCCTCAACTTGAGAAGAATCTAGGTGTTGAGTCCAGAAGGCCGTGAATCCTGCGTCAGGTGCATCGGAAACGTAAAATGTTTGCGGATCAGTCTCTGCTTTTAATTTCGCGGTGAATGCGGTGATGACATTTCGAGGTTGATCGTAGTTGGGAACAATCACGTAGTATGTAGGGGTTGCTTCGGTTGTAGTTGTGGTCTTTGAGGTGGCTGAATGAGTTGTGAGAGAGCAAGCAGTTAGAGTATCGCATGCCTTTGTAGTAACAGTTCCAGTGGTACTTCCTTCGGTGTTGATTTGATAAAGCAATGTATATGTGCAATCAGTCACGGTAACCGTATGACAAGCTGATGTACTTGAGGGTTCTTCGCTCTGGTTGTCAGTGCCATCGTCTACCACAATGAGCGGTGGCGGAGCTATCAAATGTCAATAATTGCAGAGGGAGGGAAGTTTAAGCTGATGACTTACGTGGAAATCGATAGGGAAAGGGTCAGTTGGATCTGGAATCCCTACCCCTCCACCTCCACAGCCGATGATACATGGAAATTTGAAGGAGAATAGGTCGATAATTGTTCCCTGAATGTTTAAATTCTTGAGGTTGAACAGCACATTGAAACGTATGCTGAACTTTGAAAACCAGCCCCACAAGACAAATCCGTGGCGGTGCCCTTTGCTGTCATTAAAGAAGAATAAAGGTGCGATGGTCTTATGTCCCGTCGAGTCAGTTGTCGTTACCCACCTATCAAGCCCAGTGTCGGTTACCATTTGGATATTCAGCGAATCGGTAGGAACTGTCGTAGTTCCAGTCACTGCTACAGTTGCGTAGTTAGTCACAGTAGGCGTCTTCAATGTTGACGATGGACCCGACGATTTCACTTGGGAACCAGGTACGGCTGTACTAGATGGCTTAGGTGTCGAAATACTGGCAGGTGGGTGCGTAGAAGATGATGGTGGATGACTCCCTGATGGCAATGGTGTGGCCTTGACGCTGGACTCGATGGAGTGTGACTGTGGCGGATGCTGAGCACTCTTAGTAGAGCTTGCAATGACCGAACCGCTCTTTGCTCCACTGGATATACTGTGAGATGCTGGCGGAATTGACTTTGGTGCCTGTGAAGCAGAATTGGACCCAGCAATGATATGGGAAGAAGATATGCCTTGGGCACTGATGGACCCGCCAACGATGACATGGGATGAAGATGCACCTCTAGACAGTGGGGTAGTGACAGAACCAGGTCCAACAATGGCATGCGATGAGGATGTGATCTGACTTGCAGGAACCAGAGTGCTAGCCTTCGAGGGGGGCCCTCCATTGTTAGAACTCCAAGGCAAAACTGCTGAGCTTCTAGAAGGAACGACGGTACCCGGTGGCACAGGATTAGAAGGAGATTCGTGAGTGACGATCACAGAAGTAATATGAGCCGTGCCAGATGTGCGTACAGTCGTGATGGTATGCAGTGGCTCGGACTGTGGAGCTGATACAGATTCCGGAGGTTGTGCTGTTGGCGCAGACTTTGGTGCTGATAGAGAGAGCGTAGGGACTGGCAGAGAAAATGATGCTGGAGTAACGATCACCGAAGTAATGTGAGCCGTGCCAGAGATAATGATGGTCGTAATGGTGTGAAGCGGCTCAGACTCAGGCCCAGACGCATGGACAGCGATGGACGTCGCAGGCTTCTGTGTACCAGAAAGAACACTTGAAGGTGCTGATGGACCCACAGCGATGGACGTAACTGGCTTCTGTGTGCCAAGCAGACTACTTTCTGATGCTTGTGGTACTGAAGTGAAGACCGAAGTAATACGCACAGTACCGACATTCAAAATAGTAGTGAATGTCTGAGGAAGTGCCGGACTTGGCTGTACTTGAGTAACTCGAGACAAAGTGTTCCCTGGGCCAGTGGCCAAAGTACCAGGATGGCCTGGAGAATTGGCAGAACTGCCAATGCTGCTTGCAGGGTGCTGCGATGAAGGCTGAATAGCAGACTGTTGAATGCTTGAAGCAGGTAGTGGAGCTTTGCTCGAAACAAGTGGTGGGACTTGCCCCGAAGTAGGGCCTGGCTTAAAGGCACCACTCTGCGAGCTCTCGGAAATCACCGCCGAAGTGTGAAGCGAGGCAGTCGCAGTCAAGCTCACAGGATGACTTGCAGGCGCGACACCGATAGATGTGGCGGCAAGAGCTTGAGTCTGTCCCTGCATCAGGCAAGAGCATGCACTCGAGACAGCACCCGGAGAATTCGGGCACTGCGTAAGAACAATAGGTAAATCGTACACATTTCCGGTGTTGATGGTTTGCGTGTAAGTGTAGCAGAATGCCTTAGCCGGAGGACCTGTCGCCAAAAGTTCCAGATAGCAAGCACCAGCAGTACAGATGCTAGCGATTGGATTGCGTGCAGGAGGTGGTGCAGGCGGATGGGCTGAGCTTGGCGATTGGTGCTCTGTAGCTGGGCAGTTCGTGACCGTAGGGTGGCATGAAGTAATAGTGATGTGTGTAGTCTCATCGACGGTGATGGTTTGACCTTGAGCAGCTACCAAAGGAAAGAATGCAAGCAGCAATGTTGCCAAGATTGGTAGTAGAGGCAACTTCATGATGAACTTATCTCATGAAGATAGATTAGGTAGAGAGATTCAAGGGTACTCAAATCTTCAGAGTACCGAAGAGCTATCCGGGCCTTGAATAGTCTTGTTTTTAATAGTTACCGTGTTGCGAATAGATGAAGAGGTAAGCGGAAGATGCTCGTAGTAGTTGTTAAAAAGTTTGTGAAAGACAGTAAAAGGTTGAGGGAGAGGACGAACTCGCGAAGAGTACTTATGCTTTGAAAAGACGTAGTGAATAAAGTTATCGGAGTGTACCAAGACTTCACTGCGTTTGTACTGGTGATATCAAAGAAGAGAGAAGTATTCCGTGGCTTGCTTGAAGTTGTAGAGTCGTAAGACCAAGGGTTCTGCAGGCACAGGAGACTTTGACTTAAGCTCTATGTTGGAGGTCTTGGTAGTTGAGAGTAACGACAGTTGAGAGTAACGACAGTTGAGAGTAACGACAGTTGAGAGTAACGACAGTTGAGAGTAACGACAGTTGAGGGTACTGACAGATGAAGTTGTTGGTGGTTTAGGGTATTGCCAGTCGAGGGTTGTTGATACTGTAGAGTAGTTGAAGATAAGAAGCGTTATCGGAGATGTAAAAAAGGAAGAGGTTGAAGAGTTGAAGTTGTTGTTTGAGGGTGGAGAAAGGAGGAAGAAGAGTGATGGGGAGGGTTCTTAAATAGTAGTCTGGCTGTAGAACTGAGGCAGAAGACTAAGGCAAGAATAGGAAACCTGATAAACTGAAAAAGTGTTTTCTGTGAATTCAATCAAGCGCTATTGCTATGGTCGACTGGTCGAAGCTAGTAAGCATTATTGGAAAAGAACGTAATAGGAAGAAGAGTCGAGGAATGGAAGTTGCTGAAAGTCGAAATTGTTGTTTGAGGATGGAGAGAGGAAGGGGAAGAGTGATGAGGAAGGTTCTTGTATCATTGTTCAGCAGGGGGAGTGAGGCTAGAACAGAAGACTTTGTTAGATCAAAAATTGTTGTCGATCGATTCAAGAGAGGTCCGTTGATATTTTGGAGTAGCTGAAAATAAAAATGTTCGGAGGATTGGATAATCAACAGTCGAAAACTCGAGCTTAATGTTACTGGATAGAGAGAGGAAAAGGATAAATAGTGCCAAGGGGTGTTGGAGTGGTAGTTTGCCGGAAGAGCTGAGGCGGGTAGAAGAACCTCGAAACTCTTGTAAAGTGACAAGTATTCTTTGCGAACAAAGTAAAGACTGTTGATGCTGGAGTAGTTGATACTCTAGGGTAGTTGATGCTGTAAAGTATCTAAAAGCACGAAGCTCTGTCTGAAGACATGTAAAGTGGGAAGAAGTCAGAGTTGTTGTTTGAGTACGAAACAAAAAAAGAAGAAAAAGGAACAATGTTGTGCAGTGAGAAGAAGTCTTCAACTATCAGCTTTATGGGGGAATACTGAGGTAGAAACATAATCAAAAGGAGCAAGTGAAGTGAAGTTTTGCTTTGCGAACTGAAATGTAGTAAGGAGTAAATACCATTAAGCGAGAAGAAGTGAGGTCTGAACCAGAGTCATAGTATTGATAGCCACATTAGCTATAATACATATCAGTACTTGTCGTCTAACTAAAGGGCTTAAGAAGTGAACTAACTTTACTTAAATTTCAAGTCTGTTGACTCTGTGAGCAATGTTAGGCGAGTCCAGATCTAGACTTGGCTAGTCCAAGTCAAGTTCAGCTGAAAAGTGCTTAAACTTGAGTGGGACTCGGACTTGCCTAACTTTATCTACGAGCTATTATCAACTATTTGAAGAACTTCAAAATTGACCCGACTTTGCCTCCAACCAAATGACCCCAATTAAACTAAACAAAAAAGAGAAAAGACGATTATCAAACGAAAGCAACATCAACATTCGTAGCACTTGCTAGTACGTTTTACTACTACTTCGAATGGTATATTCATTGCTATTGCTAGTTTCAAAGCTTGAACGCTTCGAGGATACATGATTTATTCCGTGACATGTACAGATGTTGAGATTTTGTTTTTGGTTGTAGGGGTGAGGTACCTAGTTGCGTGAATGGAAGAACATGTTGGTGCATAAGGAATCTGGATGCTGTAGTGCTGGGAGGCGAAGGACCGGTATAGATATCTTCCGAGGATATAAAAGATGATCTGAAAAAGCATAGCAGCAGTAACAAGAAAAGAATACAGAATCAATCCATGACCACTCGATCATCAAGCCAACAAACTTAACAAAAACCATCACAATAACCCGTGCCGCAACAGAAGATTTCTTCCCAACCCATTTTTGGGCATATCTTACATTCTCAATTCCCGAATTCGCCGTACAAATACCATGATATACATACACCCAACACAACTATTTCCCTCATATACACGTCTGCCCGCTGAATCATAACCTAACCTCCTCCTTCACAGCAGCTTCCTCCCTCGGCCATTGAACCACATTACTAACGCCCCGGAACTTGACGATGTTGTCCTTATACGGATGGGCCTCCCCTTCAAAAGCTTTTAACCTTGCCTAAAACCTTCAATCAGCATTTCATTCATTCATTCATTCTTCTTTACCCAAAGCATCCACCTCTCCTCTCCTCTCCATCTTCATCCTCACACAGGGAAACACTCACAAGCCGATCATCCCTCAACCGATTCTTCGGCAACATCCCACTAACCGCCTTCCTCAGCACCTCCGCTCCCCCAAGCTTCCCCATCAACTCATCCATGCTCACACTCTTCAGGCTCCCCGGGCGTGTATTATGCCGATAGTACAATTTCTGCCACCGCTTCTTGCCGGTCGTGTATAGCTGCGCGCAATCCGTGACGACGACGTAGTCGCCGCAGTCGGTTGATGGGTCGAAGATCGGTTTGTGTTTGCCCATCAGCAGGATCGCGATGCGGGATGCGAGGCGGCCGAGTGAGGGAGGGGGGTGCGAGGAGGGAGAGGAGGGCGAGGGGCGGAGGGGGGAGAGGGAAGGATGGGGGACGGTGCAGGAGATGTGGTGCCAGGTGCGGGAGTAGGCTAGTTTTGTCTGGGGAGGTTATTGTCAGTTTGAATCCTCTCTTTCATATGTGAATAAGAAGGAGGAGTTACCAGGCCATTAGTTTGAGACATATCTGTAGCAGTCTCTTCGACCAATTGGTCGGACGGTGCTACAGCAGAAGTGGAAAGATTGGCGTTGGAGTGTAGTCGCGATCTCGATGAGGCTCAATCGCTGTCGTGACTTTTCCGCCAAGACATTTTTTTGGAGTTGTGGTTTTTGGGTTTAGCTTCGGGAGTCGGTTACCGAGCCGAATGAGGCGATTTCAAAGCAGCTTCCCCACGATGAGAAATGATACTGCTCTTTGACTTCGTTACAACTTTACAATCTCCCGGATTCACTCGATAAACCCATAGTCTATTATTATCTGAAAGTGATAATACCTTCATAGTAGGCAAGATGGTCATCACAACCCCATTCCAGGTCCGTATCCCCCAAATCCGGCATCGGCCGAGTCACGTGTAATATATACTGATGTGAAACAGACACTCTTCGCAGTCCCAATGACGTGCGAGAGCTGCGTCAAAGATATTTCCGGGTCACTGTACAAGCTGAGCGGGATCCAAAAGGTGGAAGCCAATCTCAAAGATCAGCTCGTGACTATCGAAGGCACAGGTTCGTCCCTTCTTACTCAGCCCTCTGAAACACTTCTGTGAGATGTTTCATCAGATTCTCTGTAATGTTTTATAGGATTCTGTTGTTGCCACATATCTGACTGTATCATTACTTAGCGCCACCATCTGCCATTGTGGCAACCATTCAAGCAACAGGTCGAGATGCGATTTTGCGTGGCACAGGTACTTCAAACAGTATGTTTGTGTTTGTTTTGTTTCTAAACACTTTTTCTCTCTTTCCCACATCCCTGCATATACATATATGTATTGACAAGAAACAGGTGCAGCAGTTTGTATCCTCGAAACACATTCTACCTCCGTGTCAGACAAAGTTCGCGGTCTCGCGCGAATGGTGCAAGTTTCGTCAGATCTGACACTTATTGATCTCACGCTGAAAGGACTCTCTCCTGGCACTTATTGGGCCTCTATTAGGGAGACAGGGGATATTTCAAACGGTGCTATCTCCACGCGGGGAATATGGAGCGATCCGAAGGAGAACTCTATTAAACCCCGTGGCGTTCTGGGAACGGTGCAAGTGGGCAAGGATGGGATTGGGAGCGTTTTCCTTGATAAGCCCGTTCAAATTTGGGAGATGATTGGGAGGGGGATGGTGGTGTCGAAACAAGTGCAGGAGGGGAAGGGAAAGTTTGAGAGGAATGATGAGGATACATTGGTCGGTGTGATTGCGAGGAGCGCGGGCGTCTGGGATAATGATAAAACGGTTTGTTCGTGTTCGGGAAAAACGCTCTGGGAAGAGAGAAAGGATGAAGTACAGAAGGGTATGCTATGATATATGGCACAAGATGGGACGATAAATGGCCTGCTGGAAGTCAGTGATGACCTGACCACCGGCTTGAAGGGACGAAAGAAGTAATGCAAAAGAAGAATATGAAGAAGAAGAACGCTCTGAGCGCTTCGATGGCCCTAGGCCTCTAATCTCCTTGTGGTGACTGTCAAACAGACAAGCGTTCATGCGTTTCTGACGGCTGTATCACAGTCGCCTTGGATCTGGGTGGGTACGCCAAGAATTGCTTGTTCGTGGAATGCAAGTCCCGGTCTGACAAAGTGCAAGCTGCCCTGATGGAGATCTATCTGGTGGCCCAAACAACAAGAGAAGGCTTCCGCTTCCAATGGATCCACCATGGAGAATGCCCGGCGGACGTCATTGGAGGTGAAGGTTAAAGTTGAGACGAAAACGGGCGGGCTCCTGTTTTAATGATCGACCGAGCATCATGCGAGCAGCGGGTGCGGTACGAGGCGAAGCCCTCAAGCCTCCACGGCAGGCATTTCAATGAGATCTCTTCATGCCTGAAATGTCCGACCTCTGGGTTCAGCATCGCCGACCAGGAGGAAGCATGTGGCAGTGGTGGGTAGGTTGAGGATGATTGTGGGTCGGTAATGGTGTACGATGTGCTGATCCAGGGCGAAATGCGAAACTGGCTGAGGTGCAAGCGAGTTTCGTCCAGCCTTGTGCAGCCTTCCCTGAGACTGCCAAGCTTCCTGCGCCAGGACCACACAGGCCAAATCGACGGCAAATAGAGGTGATCCATGAGCGTAATTGATGGCAGTGGGCGGCGGATGGGCGGCGGATTCGAGGCTCGCGGGACTGGAGCAGTGGAGGTTACGGGACGCATTTGGTACGCACTCTTGTGGTGTAGGTACGCCCGTACCCAAAAGTATGAGTATGCAGAGTTACGCAGTAGGAAGGTTGGGAGGAATGTGCGCAGGCGGAGTCGAGATTAGATACTTTTAGCAAAGTTCGTGGCGATAGCCAGGGATCTTGAGGTGATGAACGACGCGGCGGGATTCCTCTTCGTTCCTGTTGTTCCTTGGACCTGCAGAGGAATCGAATCTCGAATCTCTGTTGCTATTCTGGCTACTGGCTACTGGCTACTGTGCTGGAGAATCTAGCGAGATCTAGCCGTGCTGCCCTGAGCTAGAGCCCCTATTTTGAGCGAGACGAGGGAAAGGTAGAAGAAAGACGACCACCAACATCATCCTATCATGAGATGCAGTGGTGAATGCAAACAAGAGAAACAATAGACCGGCTCGGCACGTCTGTTGACTGGTTAAGACGACGTTGCGGCGTTGGACGTGAAAGCTTCGTGATAATTTCTCTCTCGGCGCATCTGCACAGTTGACGTTGTCTCCCCGCTCGTCGAACCGTGACAGCACTTTACGCGCCCATGGAACACCGCTCGTGACAGAAGCGCATCTCCCGTCGAACCAATAGTTGGGAATTGGCGCTCTTGGAACACTCGCTGCTTTGCCTTGGGGAGACATTGTTTTGCCGTCTCGACAATCGGACCAGGATGGGAACATGTGGCCTCCCAGCATGTCCTGGCCGACAGTAGTCGTACCTGTTCCCCTGTTACCAGATGAGTGGTGATGATGGTGGTGGTGTTCGTGTAGCAGCAGGGGAGGAAGTGGCTTGGATCTTTTGTACTGTATGATGTGCGCCAGGACAGCAGAGCCAGCAAGCCAGCAGCAAGCAGTAACCACGATTACGGCCTCATGCAACACACACTCAGCACTCACTCACTCACTCACTCACTCACTCACTCACTCACTCCCTCTCCTCCTTCTCGGCAAGACGCACCTCTCTGCGATACTCAATTCAGGTTCCAAACGTTCGATGAAAGTCTGACTTCACCCTGCTCCTGAAGGCACAATAGGGCACAGGGCTCACCTACCAATCTGTGTGTGAGGTCGCCACTATTGTCCCATTGTGTTGTATCTCCGTGAAGTGTTTCTGAAAGCAGCGAATCCTCACCTCAAGCCACGCAGCTTCAATCCCCATTTATTATCAACTGTCAAGCCGCCCTCGGACCTCAAGCAACGCAATTGCAACCGCTCCGCACGCATCACATCGCAGCACCCAAGCCAAAGCTGCATCGCTAGATTTGGCTTTTGTACCCGCATCACATCTACACCACGTACATCCCGTACAGCATCACAACCGCACCACCACCAGCACAAGACTAAGAGAAGAAGAAGAAGAAGAAGCAGGAACCACGAACTTCTTCACACGCACCGCTCGCTCCCTCCCGTCTGTTGTCGGTCGCGGCAACAAGAATAGAACAACATCTCCAATCGACGCATCCCTCGCCTTTCCGCCATTTCCATCACTCACGCATCTTGCATGAAGACGTCTCCACTCTAGCTCGGACCAGGACCAGGCCCCGCTGCGTCTCCCAATTCGACATTCTGTTACGCGCTGAACTCGTCGTCCACCCACTCAATTTCTTCCACACGCTCTCCCGGATCCAATCCTTACCCAACCTCCATTCACTCATCCAACATCTGCTGCTAGTCGGCCGGATCGTACCTTACATCTTCTGGGTCCAACATTTTCTTGTCTTTTTGACATCTTACAACTCTGCGTGGTCTTGCTAACGACTTCGATACACTCCTTGCAACAATCCCAGAATACTCGAACGCAACAACGCATTGTCCCGCCCTCGTATCCTACCGCATTCGAGAACACTAAAGTAATAGCCACGGGAACCCCGCAACGCCTATCAGCCGCCGCCTCGAATTAACAACTTCCAGGACTTGGAAGGCACACTCTGGAGACGGACATTTAGGAAATATTGAGAGCATTTGGACAAAACTTCTGAAGGTCAACATTTGGTCGGAGCAACGCAGCACTGAATTGTGTCGGACGACGAAGTACTGGTTCTGACTCGCAACATCTCGAGTTCCACACCGACAGACGGCTGGTCGCTTTGTGAGCGACCAGCGATTTAAATAACAGAGGATCAGGAGTAGGAATATTGCACTTGCATCGTTATAATGTCTTTGAAACAGGTGAGCAGTTTTGGCTGGCAGAAACTCTGAGGCAGGCACTGATGATTGAAATAGGAAATCGAGACCTGGGTGGCAGCTCTTGGCCACTACGATAATAATGAGTTTGACGAGGCGTTGAAGGAGTTCGATGGCATTTCAGATACCTCGAAGATTCTATTCAACTGTGGTGTCATTCATGCGACACTGGGAGAGCATGAGAAGGCGGTTAGTATTTCTACTGAGACCTTGAATTCCTGATTCTAATTATCGCAGGTGGAATGTTACCAGAGAGCGGTACGACTCGATCAATACCTCGCCGTGGCATACTTTCAACAAGGAGTATCGAATTTCTTGGTTGGTGACTTCGAGGAAGCATTGGCGAATTTCAACGATACACTTTTATATCTGAGAGGGAACAACATGATCGACTACGCACAACTTGGTCTCATGTTCAAGCTATATTCTTGCGAGGTTCTTTTCAATCGTGGTCTCTGCTACATATACCTCCAGCAAAAGGATGCAGGAATGCAAGATTTTTCCTTCGCCGCCAAGGAGAAGGTTGTCGAGGATCACAATGTCATTGATGAGGCAATCAGAGAAGAAGCAGAGGTACGAATCGAGTTAACCTATTTCTGGGTTCATTGCTAATTCTCTAGGGTTACACTGTGTTCTCGATCCCCGTCGGAGTCGTGTACAGACCCAACCAAGCCAAGGTCAAGAACTTGAAGACCAAAGATTACTTGGGTAAAGCAAGATTGGTTGCTGCTTCCGACAGAGCAAATGCTTTCACCGGTTTTGCGGGCTCAGAAATTAAGAATGTGGGGAAATTCCTTCACGTTTCAGAATCATACTGACAAGAGACAGGCTGGCAAACTTGACGTCAAAGACGACAGACCACCAGAAAATCTTTCCTTCGCAGCTACGAATCTCGTTAAACCAGGTCTCTCAAGTAAACGCCAACAATCAGAACCTCCTATTGGCAGAAATGTGTTCCCACCAACTCCACCTCCGGAGGCCGATAAAGCTCAAGCTCCAAGTCAGATGAGTCGTGGAGCTTCTGTTCGAAATGGACCCAAGCCTATGCCTGCGAAATTGAACATCGAGAAAGCTCGTCCAAATGAGAGATACGAAGTCCGTGATGAAATCCGTGAAGAAGCTAGAAGTCCACCTCAACGACGTGGTACTGCAAGAACAGCATCTGAGCCCAGAGGACCACCTTCCAGACAGTACTCACAACGCCCACCACCTCAAAGGAGACGATCAGAAGATGAGGAAGAGGATGCTTACCCCGACGAGCTGTACGACATGTACTCCGGATCCAGCAATTCTCGTAGCAGCCGAGCAAATGGAAGGAAACCACCACAACCTCGCTATATCGAAGAAGAGGAAGAATACGCCAGCGACTACGATGATGGTTCCTTTGACGAAAACGACTTTGAAATGATCAGAGGTCCTCCCGCTGGTCAACGATCACGTGCACCATCTACAGCCGGAGGACGTGGACAATCTCGTCGTCCCGACATTCGCAAGATTAGAGTCAAGGTGCATGCCGAAGATGTGCGATACATCATGATTGGTGCCGCAGTAGAATTTCCTGATCTGGTGGATAAGATTAGAGAGAAGTTTGCGTTACGCAAGCGTTTCAAGATCAAGGTCCGAGATGAAGATATGCCAAATGGGGATATGATTACAATGGGCGATCAAGATGATCTGGATATGGTGATTATGGCTGTCAAGGCTTCAGCAAAGAGGGAGAGGCTCGATATGGGGAAGATGGAAGTGAGTATCTTTTTCTCCGATCATTTCTAGAACTTGTATACTAACATGAAAATAGGTCTGGATTCAAGAAGTCTAAGCTAGTTGCTTCTCTTCCTATTTTCACGACATAATGAATTCCCTGTCTATTATATTGTTTTTTCATTTAAGCAGTCCTGAGAAGAGGAGATATATACCAGCGAGCGATCTTTATCATATCTTGCAATTGCATCATCAACAAAGAAGTTCTAGATTGGGGATGGAGTATCTTTTGTTTTTCTGTTCGGGGTATATATAATGCTCAGGAGTGAGGGATGAATATGTGAACACTACTTAGCTGCGAGACGGCCATGTAGTTGTGTTGGAGAGGAGAAGGGAAAGAGTATCTAGCTCAGATATATGTGATGAGCTTTGTAGTTATACAATCGTCTATCCTCACTTCTTCTCATGACATTTTGATTTCACTTCTCTATATCTATATAAAGTCCCTTCTTTCCTTACCAACTCTCACCCAACGAGACAAGAGCGTCTCGCGCTTCCAACCAATTAGAATCACCTTCCACGTGATGTTCCGGAGATCCTCGGCACCCGAAAGCCGTCCACTATCCGTCCATGATTATCGATAAAGGTTCAATTTTCAGTCAGCAGAAAAATACCCACCTACTAACCCTCTCCACCACTCACACGCCCCGAATTTCCATACCTTCAGCCTCTCAGCCTTCTATATATCAACCACCATGTCTCCCTCCAACACCTCCCTCCTCCAAAAAATACCCAATGCGCCCATCCCTCCTCTCAATCCTCCCAATCATCACTCCTCTCCTCCGTACCTTCGCCTTAAGAACAATCCCAGCAGCAATCCAACACCCTATCTGCCGCCGCAACTTTACTTGCCTCCCTCCCTCTTCCCAAGATTTCAAGACTATAATGTCTGATCTATCGAAAGAGGAGTTACCTGCCTCGATTGGCAAAATGGCAGACCCACCATCAACAGAAGCAGAAATCCTAAAGCAGCCAAACGACCAAGAGCCGTTATGCGACAAAACATCTTCCTCCTCATCCTCCTCTGCCCCACCACCAGAAGAAAGGAAAGAAGAACAGCCAAAACTCCCCAAACTCAGCGCCGCCGATTTCAGAACCTACAACTCCATGGCTGAGCACATGGAATACTTTGTCCGTCCCCCCCTCCTCCCCTCCCCTCCCCCCTCCCCGCACTAACGGATCTGTCGTTGTTCAGCACAACCACTTCCGCCAAACCTGGACCCTCCTCCACACCGCCTGCACAACCAACACGCGCCCCCGCAACCTCTCCCTCCGCCAATTCCTGCAAACCGGCCTCCAATTCATCTCGCACCTCGAAACGCACCACTCCATCGAAGAAGCGCACATCTTCCCCGTGCTAGCGCGCAAGATGCCGGAATTCAAGAACAAAGCCGAGCTATTAAGACAGCACCAGGAGATCCACAAGGGGATGGAAAGCATGGGGGAGTATCTGGAGAGGGTCAGGGATGGGGAGTGCGAGCTGGAGTTGAGGGTGCTGAAGGAGAGGATGGATGGGTGGGGGGAGGTGCTTTGGAGGCATTTGGATGAGGAGGTGAAGACGTTGGGGGCGGAGAATATGAGGCGGTATTGGACGGTGGAGGAGATGAGGAGGATGCCGATGTGAAGTTGAGGTGGAGGGAGGGGGGGCGCGAAGGATATGTTTGTTTGGTATGTGGAGGTTATTTTGTTTTATTTAAAGATCTTTTTATTTTATACTTTTACTACTGCCTGAGATAATGTGACCGAGGTGGTCATTGATGTCCCGCTTTTCCTGTTCATTCTTTTATTGCTTCGATCCAAAAATTGAACCCCGTGGTCAAGTGGTCTCTATTCTCCTTTACTAGTCATATTGCTTTCGTCTAGCATTCATATCGTCAAAATCATTGTATTCAATTCATCATCAATGCTATTCTGTTCTGTTCTGTTTTGTTTAACTTGTGCCATATCTGATCTCCACTAGAGGTCCTCTTGCTGATGCCGTTCGATCTCTGCTCCTTTCGTCTGAGTTGAGAAAAATAACTCGAGCTCCGATGAAAAGATTTCCCCAATTCCGTCTCCCTTGTACACCGGGATGTCCTCTGACAACCGAAATGAGTTCCCTCCGCCGACCGATCTAGCCTCAAAGAAGTCTCAAGCAAACTGTGCAAGTTTAGGAGACACCAGCCAGTGTGTATAACATGCCCAGGAAGTTGTGAAGTATGATTGAACTAATTGCCAGATGAGCGTGCTGCTGCTCCACTTGAAGAACCTGATTGCAACTTCCTTCTCCTCTCATTCTGTTTCTCCAATTCGTCCCTCCGCTTTTGCTCTTCTTCCTTCTGAACCCTCTCTGCTTGTTGTCTCTGAGCTTCCTCTCGCATTTGTCTCTGTTCTATAATGTGTTAGTTGCCGGTAGAGCAAGGCAAAACAAATGTAAATCAACGTACCTGGACTTTCTTTCTTCGCCGGGAAGATGGCACAAGCGGGTTTCACGTCCCTTCCGAAATTCCACGTGACATAATTGTATTTTTTGAGAATATCGTAGCCAAACACAATGTCATGTCTAGCAAGTTCAGCGACTCTGAAGACGTCTTCGCAGTGCTTGTTTTGGTCCAGTTCTCGCCAGTTCAGAGTCACGGTGCCTTTGCAGAGCATGTCTGTACCGTTAAGTGTCGCATACCTGTCTCCGGTACTTGGCGGCAGGATGGAGTCTGCATGGCCAAGCCTGCCTAAGAATTCGAGAGAGACCCAGCTAGTGAAGGAACCTGTATCTTTGAGCGGCACACCATGTGCCTCTCTTCCATTATTTCGGTATTCGACAAGAATATGAAGCTCGTCCTCCTATATTGAATCAATGTTCTGCTATTTCACAAGAGTCGAGGTGTGGGTTGCCTACCTCTGTAAAGATTGGAATAGACTTGGCTCTGGGGACAGGATCTAGGTCATCTAAAATGTTGAGTACCAATGACTCCCCAAGGTCCATGTTCTCCTCCTTGGAAACACCAATTGCCGGAATGTTGACTGAAGATGGAGCTTCTTGCTCGTGTGAAAAGCTTCCTCCCAATACCAACGGCTCCGACGATGCTCTCATCAGCTTCGAAGTGCCTTCACAAAGCTTCCTTAAATTTCTTTCCGCGTCAATACTCGATGTCATAGCTTCCCCTATTTCGTCAGACAGCTGTAACTTTGGGTCTTCCTCTTGTAAATCCTTGTTTTCGGTTGATAGATCCTGCCTGAGTGTATCATCCGAGAGTGCACTTTCCGAACCAAGTGCCGAGACTGGAACGGCCTGCTCTGAGCTCTGAATCTCGCTTGTTGCACTATTCGTCTCAGAGACAGGAGCGGACGAACACTCAGATCCGACTAGCTCATCTCTAGCAACCCCTTGTTCAACATTTTCGGTATTCAGAACCTGACTGAAAGACAATCGTTTGGCCTCCAGCTGCTCAGGATTGTTGCTTTTTGCTCCAACCTCTCCAGGGTGGACATCTTCAGAGGTGATTGTCGCAGCTTTGGCTGCCTCGGCCTTGTCAACATTCGTCAAAGTATTTCCAATGTTGGGAAGCTGGTCAGACAGCAGTTCTTTAGCCTCCACTCGCTGGAGATCACTATTCTCTACCCTGGCGTCTCCAAGTTTGAAGTCCTTGGAGGAGGTTGACTCCACAGGCTGAGCTATCTCGGACTTACCAATATTCGCACTAACATTGATGATATTCGCGATACAATCGAGGAAGAATCCCACGGCCTTGGCTTGCTTAGGATCACATTCTACCTCACGAAACCAAGAACTGAAGTCTCTAGAGAGAAACAACTGTAAGAACTTAATTGCGTCGGATTTGTCAGGCTCCTGGTGCTCCCTTAGAGCCTTGTCTACTTTCGAGAGCAGATCGAAGAACAATTTCTTCTCTTCCACAAGCGTATGATTGTTATTTTCTGTTCTATCACTCCTATATTCGAGGTCTTGAGAGGAGATTTGCTCTGTTGGCTCGATCAGCTTGGAACTTTCAAACTCGTTCGAAGCATGCTCATCCTTGAGAACTTCGATTGCGCCCGACAATTTGGGTGGAGCTTTACCAAGGCCATCGGTGCCATTCGCCAAGTTACCATTCTCGGGACCTCGAATGGGTTGCTTAAACGCTTCTCCTTGATATGCGAAACTGGTTCTTTCCGTAGTTATGCCAGACCCAGGATCTTGAAGGACGGATATATCTTGCACTGGCCCATATGTAGGGATCTTCAGCGATTCATCAAATCCACCTGATCCTTGAGGAGTGTCTCTTAAGACCTCTTGAACTTGTGGCTTTCTCTTGCGCGAATGTGGCTCAATCATGTCCGCAGTCCAGTATGATTCGCGAGCACTGGCGTGGAAGCAACGCCGATGGGTTGTCAAGGTTGACAGATTGAAAAAGAGGCACCGAAAGCATGCGTGTAGAGCATCTTATGTTGCAAAAAAGACATTGTTGACACGTGAATGATATCGCCGGTGGAGGAGTGGAAAATGGATTTAAGTTGTGATTTATCCGGCTTTGAATAGTTTATCTTGGTTGCTGTGAGACTCTGTTGAGACTTGACCAATAGACTAGGCTGAGAAATTTCGTTTGGTCCAGATGGGACAAAGTGCAGTCTTATCTCAGAGGCTTTATCGCGGAAAGTGGACATTCTATACTCGCAATGATACGTTGTCCTATACAGCAACGAATCCCGCACGAACTCAATCCTTGAAGCGGCGGGGAGAGAATATTGGCTCGTTCCAGGAATGTCTCTCTTAAGTAATCCGAACCAACATCCGCCCCAAACTCCGTCCTTGCGTCCAAGTCGTTCACTGGCTACGTCTTCAACTTGACTATTAAGAATTCGCCACCAGTTCCATGCCCGAGAACAACCACGTCAGAAATCATGGCAAGGCTGTCTCCATGGCTGCCCGGCCATTGTCGGACCCGGACCTTGAGAATGCCTAACATGATTCGTATGGGGAAGGTGGTGTGGTATGGATGCAGCTAGGTGCATGTGGCGGCGGCATTTGCGTAGACAAGATATGATTTATAATGAGAAAGCGAATGCGAATCGACACGGTCGGACTAGAACTGAAGCGAGAGGCAGCCTTGTCTGTCTGATCATCTCGAGGTCGAGGCTAAGTGACCACGAAACTTTTTACTCAACAACCAGCTTTTGCTTTCTGAGAGAAGTCAGTGTCATGTGCTAGGTATAACGCAATGAAAGGATATGCCAAACTTGGGTGGCTCATGGGAAATCGCCCCGAGACCGCCATATTGCGCTGTTTTTCATCACTCAGTGTCCAAAAGTTGCTTTACCTTCAGGCTGAGCTTACAAGTCTGGAGCAAGACCTTCGAAGATTCGCTGCAGAAGACGATGTCTCTTCTTATGGAAACAGAGAAGACTATTCAACTAACTGGCGAGCTCTCAAAGCATCCGTCGCTGAGAACGCCGAAGATGGAAAGTCAGGACAACAATGGGAGACTATGCTAGCAATTAGCGAAAAGCTTGAGGAGTATCGTGAGTATGGACTTTTCACTGAAGTCTTCGTTGTTTCTTTGATGATAACGATGTTCAGAAATTGCACTGCTCCGCCACCGGGAAATGAACGCTGTACCGGAACCCCTTCAACAGGACTTGGAATTTCTCATGAATTGGATGTCGCGCCCAGATATGGGAGGTGTACATTTAGACGGAGACGATAGGCTTATTTGGACCGAAAAAGAATTTCAAAGTGACTTGTTAACGTTGAAGCCGCGGATGAAGGAAGAGTTGTTTTATCACTGGATTTCCAGCAGTTTCATAAATCGATTTCATACCCTACTGGGATATTACTTCAAGGTAAGAGAGGCAAAGAAGGATCCTTATCAACTTTACTAAAGCAACTGAAGGCCACTCGACCGGAAGAACATCTTGCCGGGACAGTCATATATGACGATGCTCATCTTCGGCGCCTAACTAGAAGCATAGCAACTGTCTTCGCTTGCATGCTGCCAGTACTATCGATCGTAGTTCTTTATGTCGTGCAAGCTATGAGCAAGCGTCTTGGTATAGTTGCGGCCTTTACAATCATCTTCTCCGTCAGTCTTGTGACCATGACCAGCGCTGAGATGGGGGATATCTTCGCAGCAACAGCAGCGTGAGTAATCCCAAAGACAGATGTGGTGACAGTGTTAAACGGACACTAGATATGCTCTTGTGCAGGTTGTTTTCATTGGCACAACTGGCGGTAACTGTAGTTCAGTGAATTAGAGATAACTAGGTATGCTGCTGGGTAATGAGGTTCGGGCTCAAGAAAGAGTGCTTACTAACGAATTCCGCAACGAAGATGGCGAGATTAAAGTGGGGCTACCAAGCAGACGATACCGACGAGAATGGTTTATTGAAGATAGGGCGTCTAACAGTATTTGGAGAATTTGGTGAAGGAAATTGAAAGGGAAGGTGAAAAGATGCTAAATGTTACGCTCGCATGGAGACAGCCAGGAGGGGAAGGTGTCTCCACGTGATCGAAAGAGGAAGCTGCATAGGTTCCAATCAGAGCTTTTTCTTACAAATTGGAAAGTAGTACCATTTGATACAGTGAAAACTCTTATATCACAGCAAGTTCTGTAGGGTGGAATGGCCGATGAACAACTCGTTACAGTGAAAACTCCAAGAAAATAAATTAGCAGATAGAATACATTCAAATCATTGTTCAGACAAAAATATGAGCTGTTCACGTTGATCTAGATTCTGATATGAAAGGCACGGACAATGTTACTATGACTCTAATTTACAGTATGCGAAGGAAAGGAAGATGTTCTCTGTTCATCTCCCTTTTCTCAACAACATCACCATCCATCAATCCCCACCACCTCACCCTTCGTCACATTCGCATTCCCAACCCTCAACCCACTCATCTCTGCAACTCAAACCCTCTCTTCATTCAACAAAATCACCCTCCCATCCATAATAGCAAAATTTGAACTCCCAACAACCTCCCCTCCGCATCCCAAACATTAACACCGTCTCCACACCCCGCATAAACGTTCTCCTCACTATCCGTATTGATTCCGTCTGGGATGCCCACCCCAGGCATAGCAAACGTCCTCCGATTCGCCAACATGGTCGTAAAATCAGACTTGGAACGAAGAATCGTTTGCACACTTCGCCCCACTAGCGTAGCATAAAATCAGTGCTCTTCGAGCCTTTCTGTGGAAGCGAGCAATGAACAAAGGCATACGTGTACTAGGAAAGGGCATATCTTTAGTGTGGAGCCCTCGATAGAAGTGGCCCATAATTAATGCCAAGCCTTTGGACGTTTTGGCTTTTGAATTGAGATCTCATGTAGCAAGAGATGAATGGTATCATTGAATACCAGCCAACATTCAGCTATCCCGTGAGAGCACTTTTTCCCTCACACCAATATGTCCACTCAATCCTTTGCACAGCTGAGATAGAGTTCCGATAGCTGGTCCTTGAACCCCTTCGGAAATCTTGTGCTTTCCCACCCATGTCATTTGTGAACATTTGGCAGAATAAAAAGTGGCAATAATTGATCAGTTGATAATATTTTACCTGCTCTACTTAGAGAACCGAGAACTAGAGATACAGGATCAAAATCAGGAGCAATTATTAAAAACACTCTCCGCTTGTCTTGTAGTCACGTAAAGGGAATAAAGAGTGGAGGTCAAGATCAGAAGCAAGTGGTGAAAGCAAGCTTCACTTGTTTTTGTAGACACACAACGAGACTAGAGAACCAGGATCAGTATCAAAATCAGTTGGCACAAAGAAAATTCACTTGTCTTCGTAGACACGCAACGAAAAGGACTGAAAGTACTTAGGTTGATCAAGAGAACATGTTCACGTGACTCTGGATACACCAAACGGTATAGAAGGAATGGGAATAGCAGAATCCACCCTTGAAGCAATTGGAATATTCACTTGATGTAGGTACGCAACGAAAGGAAGCAATTGAAACAGCAAACTCTTACCCTAAATCAATTATAATCTTTACTCAATGTAGACACGCAACGGAAGGACCAAAAGCAGTTGATTGGTAGGGTACTTTCACGTGGTTCGTTCTGCATCGAACACTGGAATCTGCCATACGTGGAAATATACCCAACAGAGAGGTCTCAAGTGTAGAGATCCTCCATGATCGCCTATTCAAGCATTTTGACATGAACTTTGCAAGTCGTTGCGAGCCAAAAGATATCACATCGAGATGCCAACAAATGCTTGCCGGAGTATAGAACCAGCAGAAGGATAAAACTGATGAGCTTACCGTAAGTTCGAGCCTACTGTATAGTACTGCCCACTGCTAGCTAGTGTTCAACGGACGGAAACGTTGAAGACTGTTTGTGCTCAGGTGACTAAGCCTCGAGAACTATATGAAGGCGGTGAAATACTGAAAGGCAAAATTGTAGGAATCTTTCGTGGGTCTCTGAGACTTTAAAAATAGAGACACGAACATCAGTGCATATGAAACGACATGAACAAGTTAGTAGCTCTCTTGAATGAGGCTGTTATCTTTATGTTTGAAAATTTGGTAAAATAGAGTTCCAGATCCCATCTGCATAGTGGAACCAATCACAGCCCCTGCACTGCCAGCTCATACATTTCTGCATCTGCAAGACATAGGGGACAGATGTCAATGTTACACCTTCAACTAGTGTATAGATAAGCTGCATAAAACAAAAATCACAGGCAATTCCTGTCAGAGTTCAAAGTGGCTTGGGCATACACAGGATTAAGGCTGAGCCTTCATATTTTCGAGTAGCCAAGAGTCAGGAATGACTCAAATGACTCCGGTGAACTGCATATACTGCTGCAGATTGAATGTGGCAAGACCACTTCAGAACTGTAATTGCATATCCTGCTCGACTTGGGATATTCATCTAGTCAGAAGAGTCATAACTGAATCAATTCAGACAAGTTCTGACATGATATATCAAAAAAGAATAGCAGGAGCCGGACGAATCAAGTTTTTGAATGTCTCGAGACTCGACAGGCTTTGACAGTTGGAAGGAACAAAGATCATCTGTGACTGTACTCTTGATCATAACAACAGTGAAGGAAGATGCAACCATCAATGTCCCGCAGTGTCTGGTATAGGGTGGCACGTGCACCGCGCTAGTCAACAGTCTTGTAGCTCGTCAAAAATCCCACAGTCCCACCTCATCGCAAATCCACACAACCCAGAATCGATCGATCTTGACTCTGTGTACTACAGAGTGTCAAGACAGATCTTGTCGACGAAGACTCCCGAACCAAATTGTAGACTTGCAGCGTCCGCAACCGCCAAGATGAGTGACGCCCAAGCAAACGAGGCCGAAAAAAACATCGAGATCTGGAAGGTGAAGAAGTTGATCAAGCGCTTGGAAGCTGCGCGCGGAAATGGAACATCCATGATTTCTCTCATTATCCGTAAGTCTCTGGCACGTCCAGCAACGCGAAGAGTGTATATTGAGTCGTCGACCGTGTAGCACCGAAGGATCAGGTCTCCCGAGCAGCAAAGATGTTGGCTGAAGAATACGTCAGTCTGTCCAACCCCCACTGCTCTGGCTCTTCTAATATTCCATAGGGTACCGCGTCGAACATTAAATCCCGTGTCAATCGTCAATCTGTCTTGTCTGCCATTACCTCTACCCAACAAAGACTGAAGCTGTACAACAAAGTCCCACCCAATGGCCTGGTCGTCTACTGTGGTGAAATCTTGACCTCAGAAGGCAAGGAAAGGAAGGTCAACATCGATTTCGAGCCATTCAAGCCGATTAATACCTCCCTCTACCTTTGCGACAATAAGTTCCATACAGAGGCTCTTGCCGAACTGCTCGAGTCAGACCAAAAGTTCGGCTTCATCATTATGGACGGTAATGGTGCGCTGTTCGGCACCCTAAGCGGCAATACCCGTGATGTTGTTCACAAGTTCTCTGTCGATCTGCCCAAGAAGCACGGCCGTGGTGGACAATCTGCCCTTCGTTTCGCTCGTCTTAGAGAAGAAAAGCGTCACAATTACGTCCGAAAGGTTGCTGAATTGGCTGTTCAGAACTTCATCACTGCTGACAAGGTTAACGTTGCTGGCATTATCCTGGCCGGTTCGGCAGATTTCAAGAACGACTTGAATCAGTCAGACATGTTCGACAACCGTCTTCAAACAAAGGTCATCAAGGTTGTAGACGTCTCATATGGAGGAGAGAACGGTTTCAACCAAGCCATCGAACTTTCAGCAGAGACTCTCAGCAACGTCAAGTTCATTCAAGAGAAGAAGCTCATCGGAAAATACTTCGAAGAGATCTCCTTGGACTCTGGCCGCGTCTGTTATGGTGTTGAGGATACTTTGAAGGCTCTAGAGCTTGGTGCTGTTGAGATTTTGATTGTCTTTGAGAACCTCGAGATCACTCGCTGGGTCCTCAAGGACTCCAATGGTACTCAAACAGTCCTTCACACGTCCAAAGCCCAGGAATCATCCAACAGAGAGCAATTCATGGACAAGGAAACTGGCCAAGAACAAGAGGTTGTTTCGCAAGATTCATTCCTTGAATGGATCGCCGAGAAATACAAGGACTTTGGTGCTACCCTTGAGTTCGTCTCTGATCGTTCCTCTGAAGGCAACCAATTCGTCAAGGGCTTTGGTGGAATTGGTGGCATTCTCCGGTACAAGGTCAACTTTGAGCAATTAGCTGAAGTTGATGACGATGACGACTATTACGACGGTAAGTTATATCCTGGACTGGAAATGAACAAAAGCTGACATACATATGCTAGATTGACAGTTTGATGGCCTCGCATTGAGCGAGGACCCAACTCCAACTCCAGTTGCGCCGTCTAGTCAGAATCTGTCACCCCGCCCACCCGCCGTGCAGCAGATCCGACCCAGGCCCGCAGTCCATGCTGGCTCTCGCGCGAGAGGTGCAGTGTCAAGACCTAGTCCTCTCCGCTCCGTCACGATGGCTTCTTCTTGAGTTGAAGATTGAAAAAAATGTAGAGTATGCGACAATCTTCTCTCTGTGTAAAGAGCACTGGCTGATGTGATCCTAGGATAAAGACTCATAAATTTGAGTGCACTCTGATCCTCGCGGATGGGAAGGAAGTGGGAAGAATTGCGTTGAGCGAAAGTGCTTATCTGGATTTATGCTGCTGCTGTCTTTGAGATTTGCTGTAAATAGCCTACCCAACCTCGATCCACGCTTTGAGAGGTCGGGTCGAAGTATGAGAAAATCCAAAGACGATGCGGGCCACTATACATTTGAATTGACATATTGTGACCTATATATATATCGCATGCATAATCCTGCTTCATAAAACTACAGATAAAGTTGGAATATGTTGCGGCCCCTGGGTGACGTTAGTGGATAGTGGGGTAGCACTTGGTGGGGTCTAGTTCCGATACGGAGGTACTACGAAAACAAAAATCTGTTTGGTATCACTATCATAATTATCATAAAGAGTCGACCTCGGAAGCACCCAAGCAACTTCTCCGACCGCCCTGATATCGTCAGAGGTTGGCGAGATCTCAACATCGGTCCTTTTGACATGGCTTATTAGATTTCTTCTTCAATTTACTTGCAATTCCATCCATCCGCAACCAACATTTCCTCAATTGCTGAATGCCAACACAATGGATTCCCACCCCCAGTTCAGCAATGCGGATGTTCATGAACAAACTCCTATTGTCTCTTTCCTTGGTCCCGTTTCTTCTTATACTCATCAGGTACTTACTCTTGCGCAATATGAGCGTCCCCCTTGGTCCATCGGACTGACAGATTTCGATCTTGCCCAGGCGGCTCTCAGTTGCTTTGAGTCAGATAAATATGACTACAGGCCTGAGATTACTATCACAGGTACTTGCGACCTACCTCGTCCTCGATCTCCCTTTTAACTTTCGGTAGATGTCTTTGAGGCGGTTCAATCCGGAGATGCAGAATTGGGCGTTGTACCCTTCGAGAACTCTACTAACGGAGCTGTGATCTTCACTCTTGAGCTCCTTGCAGATCGCTACAAGAACTTTCCTGATATTACTGTCTGCGGTGAAGCTTACCTCGATGTTAGACATTGCCTGCTAGGCAAGAAGTGTCAACGCCAATCTACCGACTCTCCAGATGTGTCTGGCGCCTGTACTCCTACCTTGTCATCACCAAGTCCTACGAAACCACGAGCATCGCCCTTGCACAGTCTCAAGCACGTCAAGCGTCTCTATAGCCACCCTCAAGCTTTCGGACAATGCGAGATATTCCTGCAGGCATACTTGAAAGGCGTGGAGAGGATCGATGTCAGTTCAACAAGTCGAGCTGCTGAGATGGTAAAGGAGGATACGACAGGTACCAGTGCAGCTATTGCAAGCAATCTTGCTGCAGATATCCATGATATCGACATCCTGGCCAAGGGAATTGAAGACCGAGAAGACAATACAACCAGGTTCTTCATTTTGAGAAAAGGCGTTGACCCGAATGCAGGAGTGGCACCTAAATCCAAGAGCTTGATCTCTTTCACGGTTGACCACAAATCTCCCGGCGCTTTGGCATCTGTCCTACATTGCTTCCAGATATATGGCCTCAATCTGACAAGTATCAACAGTCGACCGACAAAGGTGGTTCCATTCCAGTACATATTCTTTGTTGAGTTCGAGGGAAGCAAGTTGCATGATGAAAGGGGTATGGTGAAGAGGACGTTGGATGCGTTGGAGGATTATGTTCAGAGTTGGAGATGGTTGGGAAGCTGGGATGACAAGTATGCGAAGTGAAGTACAATACTAGGAGTGAGTGGAGCCAATATACCTCACTTCCTGAGACATTTGACATTTGATGAAAGTTGGGAAGGAAGGCACAGCTTGGACTAGCTCCGATTTCGGTAAGCTGATAAGGCGATAAGAACCCCTGTCTCGAGAGAAATCTGAAGCTCAAGCTCGAGGTTGAAGATTACAAGCCATTGCATCTACTTTCTTCCTCCTCTCTTCTGTCGTTATTCCGTATCTCAACACCATGTGAAGACGACCGATCAATCTCTATGAACTCATCCGCTATCATTCCAGTCTGCCGAAATGTTTTTCGTCCAAATTTCCCGAAGCCATCGCGTTACCTGAACCACAGACACCAGTCTTCACTTTCCCAACTCGAGGAAACGATATATAAGGAGCTTGTCGAGTGCCAGCGGAAAAACCAAAGATGGGACCAACTTCATGCAAAGCATACAAGTGATCTTACACAAGCATTGGTGCACGTCCTACCTGTACGCTGTCGACCACCGAAACCTCCCATCAAATTTAGAGAGAGAAATCCAGGGGCTCTTATACCACAAGGGTATCATCAAGTCTACTTCAACAGTCTTTCTTCTCCAGCACGATTGCTTCCTGATGGGACCGATGATCAACACTGTCCGGGCCATGGGTTCGTCCAGCGGCTTTGGGCGGGAGGAAGCTTGACCTGGAACCCAGTGAGGAAATGGATGTTGGAGAGCGAGAATTATAGCGTGCTACAAGAAGATGTCGAGAGCGTCCAGGTTAAGGGGAAGGAGGGCGAGGAGAAGGTGTTTGTTACAATAAGCAGGAAAGCTGCTCTACACGGAGCATTTGGAGACCGCCGGAACTATGCACCAGATTCTCCGATAAATCTCAAGACTTTTCAGGAAGGGGTGCGTTTCGATGGTGGAGCTCTAGGAAGACTGGCACTGGAAGAGAAGAAAATTCTGGTGTTCATGCGATTAAAAACGAAGGACCAAATCAAACAAAGTCTCGAAACCCCAGCGAGAGTTATCAAACGTAAGCACTTCTTTTTCAAGCCATCCCTCGACCTAATTTCTAACTAATTCAATGATTTAGCTATACACAAGCCAGACTACAGTCTAGATGTTAACCTGTCTGCGCATTTACTGTTCCAGTTCTCAGCAATGACATTCAATGCCCATCGAATACACCTGGATCGTCAATACTGCCGAGAAAAGGAAGGACATCGAAATCTCCTCGTCCACGGCCCCCTCACCCAAATTCTAATGCTCTCTGTACTAAGATCACAGCTAGACCAGGAAAAGAAAGAAATGGTTCTTCGGTTTGACTACAAGAACCTAGCTCCCCTATACGCAGACGAGCTTATGAGAATATGTACCCGGAGACATCCAGACAATCCCCAAAAATTCGACGTCTGGATTGAAGGCAAAGAAGGAGGATATGCCGTTAAAGCAACAGCTGAAATTGGACCGGAACTTGACCACGACCCGGATCCATTATTGGTTGCCCCCAAGGTGCTTTCCAGAGCTACCAGGTGGAAAACGATTCTGAAGAGAGAATCTGGTGCCCCCATGGTGCTTTCCAGATCTACTAGATGGAAACCCATTCTAAACAGAGACTCAGAACCAGAGAAAGCCCCAAAGTTTAAGGACGGCAAGGAACATTTCTCGGAGCTTCTCAAAGTCTTCCAAGGAAAGAAAAGCGAGGAAACAAACGTCGAACCGGTACCTCATTCACGACCCCGTCGAGTTAGAGCCAGACGAGCCGTGGCAAGAGAAAGGAAAAATAGCAGGATAGCAGCACTATTCAAGGATGACGATACCACGAAATAGCCAGCTATTTCGAAATGTACGTTTATGTATTTAACGAGCATGAAACATGATTCAGTCATGCACCATAGCTTTTATCATGTATTCTAGATGATCACATCTTGACAGACGGAAACTCCTCTACTCCACGTCGCCGTCGCCAAGATGCAACGCCTATTGCAGTGTGCTGAGTCCGACCCATTTTCTCATCCGCGCGCGCCTTCGCAAAATCCATCAGACCCATTATCGCTTACAGAGCATCAATACCAAATCTCACACCTACTTTTTCTCCGCCCCCTTCCCAAAGAACCCATCCAGAGTCTCTTCACTCCTATTGTGCAATTGCCTGCCGAGAACCTTCGTATTCTCCATCGCCCTGTTCGCAATATCCGAGAACCGACTCCCACTGCCCATCCCCATCATGCTTAATCTCTCTTTAATGGCATCTTGAGCCTCTTCATGGCCGTTCTCACTCTTTTCTCTAGCTTTATCAAGTAATCCCTTGAATCCTTGATGTGGAAGGCTTTCTTTCACTTCTTCTGCGTTAGGAGCATTGATCATGTTTTGATCTGCTTTGTACTCTTTCTTCTTATCCACTCTTCTAGTAAGATAGACAGTTGCTTGGTGACCTTGAGCGGATCGGATGCGTTCTACTTCCTTTTGATAAGCAGTATCGTAGATATTGAATTCGGCCGCTGTAGGTGATTCTGCTACGATGTCAGGTGAAGGTGGAGAAAGCGTATCGTCACCTCCGGCTCCAATTCCGAGAAATAGGGGTTGTTCGTCTAGTGGATCATGTGCGTGACCTCTCTCACCAGACTCTTGACGGAGGATACCAGGGACTGGTGGTTCGGAGCTGGAGACATCGTCCGTGGACTGCTTTTTCAAAGTGGACGTAGGAGAGCTATGTTCTGATTGTATGATGGTGGTGGTTGAATCGAGGCGGTTGGGCATTGGTCGCAATTGATTCACATCTGGTGGGTCGAGGTCGTGATGAACGCCTTCTGCCGCGAGAGCCGTCTCAATAGGTCTTCGGTCTTCCAGATCGGCGCTCTTGGATCTGTGGAGTCCATGATCGCTATGGCCATCCATAGTCGCCGTGGTAAGAGTGCGGATACCTTGGCCCAATACTCCCGATAAGGCCGCTGGTCTCTTTGTGTCTAATTTGCTCTTGAATTTCTGTACTGCTTTCATCTTCGAAGTGTTAGTGCTGAACCGATCGATGAGAGACTCTGAAGTTGAAATTGCTTCACGGACCAAAACAATCAGGTTTCTCATTTTCGCCGTAATGGCGTGATTGACTTCGACTTCGCTAGGTGGTTCTACGAGATCTGCTATGTTTTCCTCCTCGGATAACAGAGGGTCCGTTCCCTTCTTGGTGACCCAAGGATGTTTCTGACAATCATTAGCTCAAGCAAGAAGGATTGTTACAATTGCTTACTCTGACTTCTGACATCTTTATCCTCTTAGCAGGGTCTTTCTCTAGAAGTTTTCTCATTAGGTCACAGAATTCTGGTTCGTCATCCGCTTCAATCTTCGGTTCATCTGATTTGATGCATTCGTATAGCTCTAAGACCCCAGTACGTTCGAATGGGATGTGACCGAATCTTAGGCAGTATAGAGATACACCCATGGACCAGATATCAGCAGCTTTACCAGATATGTGTCCATGCTTGGTAACGCATAGCTCTGGTGGTAAGAATGCTGGAGATCCAGCTGATTTTGCAGTCATCATGTCCGAGGCTTTCTCGAACATTTCAGAGACTCCAAAGTCCACGATCTTCAGAACATCATCTTCGGTGAGCAGCAGATTATCTGGTTTGATATCTCGATGCACAACACCTTGAGCGTGAACTATCAAGTGTTAGTGAAGTATGATAAAACCATCAAGGTTAAAGCTCACGATACTCGATTCCCAATATCAAGTCTCTGAACCAATGCCGGCACTGTTCGATGCTATAAGGATCTGACTGTTCATTGAGACCGACTTTCATCACCACTCCCTTCTTACACATCTCCAGCACCATGTATAAAGAATCTTCTTCTGGGTCGTCTAAGACTTCGATCAAGGATACGAGGTTCGGATGATTGAGCTTCTTCATGATAGCAATCTCCTCCTTGATCAAGTATAATGGATTACCGGCCTCTTCGTTATCGTGGATATCGGAAGCAGAATGTCGATGCAGAGGAGAATTGAAGCCCATGCCTGCAGCCAGATGTCCCGGTCTTCGATAGCCATGAGGTCTCCTGAGGATATTCGACTGAGCTCGTTTCCTCAGTCTCGATTTCGAGAACTCTTTGACGGCCTGAGACCCAAGTGTCAGTTCAATATTCCTTTGATATCCTCGATATGCTCACATATTCGGTTCCATACTGGTCAACAGCCAGATGCACTGCTCCGAACGAGCCTCGTCCGATTTCATCCTTGATTATGTATTGATTGATATGATGCTCTGCCTTTCCATCGTCTTCATTGTTCGTGTACTCCGATCTTGCATTGAGTGTCTCCTTCACCTCTCGATGTTGTGACGGCGTGCGGCGGTGGTGTCTCAAGGGACTTTGATATGCGGGGGTGGAGCTTCACTTGTTATCAGCCCACTGATACCCTCACTTATCTAGACATAACTTACAGATGTTGAATGATGGGTGGTCTGCCACTGTTCGTATCGCCAGGGACATCGAGCGAGATACCTATATACCAGATAATTAGAGCCTGAGCTCGAGCCAAGTGCCATCCCATCCATGGAGGGGAAAATTATAATTACCATGTGAAGGCAGAATATGAAGATCAGCTTCCTTCTGCGTGATATCTCCTGCGTGAACCGGTTCACAACCACCTGCAATCGCTTCAGGTTTCAACTTCTGATCGCTCATAATGTATCCGCTGCATTTTCTACTCAGAGAGTGCAAAAGGAAGCAAGTACCAGTCGGAGGTGCGTTGGGCGTGAGGCTGGCGGTAGTGTGGTATGATTGGACGCAGGGTCGCTTTAGCGCCGGTCTTGGCAAAGCTTCTTTGAGCCTTGCCGAGTCAAGTTGCTGCCGACGCTTTGGGGAACGGAACTTTTGTGAGTTTACGAAAGCCTCGTTTAGACAGAAGTTCAGGATGGTGGTTTACAGTTTCTACATCTTTGATAGGCATAGTATATAATTCTTCACTGGTTACATAATGGGAAACTAATTGTGTACAGCGGAATGCATATACTCCCGCCTCTGGGCCCGACAACCCGACCGGCCTATCTCTTCAGGTCCCCCTCCTTCGAGACCAATCTCAACCTCCAGCACATCTTCTGCGCCAATAACACTGGCTCCTACCAACGAACTCAACCCTCCTCGAAGATCAACACGTCTATCTGCACAAGATGATGCCAAGCTCATATTCGGTACCATCTTTTCGTTACGAAATATGGTCCGTAAATTGGGAGGTCCGGAAGATAGCTTCATTAGCTACAGGACGGGCCAATATAAGCTGCATTACTACGAGACGCCTACAAGCATCAAATTTGTGATGTTAACGGATACACAGACGTTGAATATGAGGAATGTCTTGCATCAGATTTATGTGAATCTATATGTGGAGTTCGGTGAGTCTAGGATTGGCATACAGGAGCATTACGGTTAGATGCTGATAGTATATAGTGGTCAAGAATCCATTGAGTCCAGTGGAGCATCCTGGTGGAGAGGGTGTAGCAAATGAGCTGTTCGAACTTGCTTTGGATCAGTTCGTGAAAGGGGTCCTTTGAGCCGGCTGTGAATATAATGCCTAGATGTTAAAACTCAAGCCTCTCGAGGGATCACAGCGGAATTCATGGTATCTTATGGCGTTCACGGGTGCATTGCAGGCGCTCTGGTAGGAATGATGGAAGTATGATCATGTTGGAAGAGATACCAGCCAGGTGTGGCAGACACCAATATGCGAAGAGTTCAATGTAGAACTAGACCAGCAGAAGCTCAATTCCCCGAGCCGATTTAGATCTCAGTCGACTTTTGAAGAGTCTGAAGCCGAGTTAAGTAAAAAAAGGTTTTAGGATCTGCCTATGAGAGCACCCTTCGAAAGTGAAAAGGTGTCAGAACATCTGCGCACCTCGCTTAAAAAGGACCTCGCCTCGAATGTAAAAAAAATGTAAAAAATCGTAGGAATCAGAAGCAAAAACTCAAGCCACCCGCAGGTGACTATCCAACACCATAGCCAGTATGGGGTTTAAAGGGGATCATCTTGAGACATTCGTATTTCAGGCATTCACACGAGAATATAGAGAAGCACGATAGAATCGCAAGCATCTATTATCCTGGAGGCCGCTGTCTCTTGAGTCATTCGTATTTCAAGCACTTACGAGAATATAGAGAGGCACGATCACTGTCGCAAGCATCTATTATCCTGAAGGCTGCTGTCTCAGAGGATGATACCAAAGATCTGCTTATTTAACTTTATACAATGCCAAAGAGTTTGAGGGCTGCAATTGGTTGAGAGCCTTCTTGTAGCGTGTTTTTGGCGAGGGATGTTGAGTAGCTACGTCGGTCGGTCTCTGGTATTTTGCTTCTCGCTTCTAGTCAAGCAAAGCAAGCATAAGGTCCGGAATCAATTCAGACATTGGGCAAAATCCAAAATGTATAACCAACTGTTCCATCACAATATGGATGTGAACAGTTTCGACATTTGCTCGAAGCTATTGCTCGATCTCCAGTAAGATTAAGGACAATGATTCACCAACAATAGCAGCAACATTTGGTATACGTTCAATAATCACTTGTGGCATTACTTGGTATCTTACATGTCTCATCATGAACCCCTGAGCAGATATCCATCCTTTCCACCCATACCACTGCCCAGACCAGAACTCCTGGCTCATATATATCCTTAAGCTACCTTCCCCTTCTCTGCCGTCTCCACCGCTTTCCCCCAAGCACTTTCAAATGTGGTCGTAGTCCCAACATCTATTACACTATCTTGTCCTGCTTCCGCTGGGACAACTTCGGCCGTTTCGTCTTTCGGTACTAGGACTGTACTTCCTTCATCTGCCATAGGACTAATCTCGCTCTCCCAATTGCTAGAATACACGACTGCAGCAAATGCCTCCAGATCACGTACTTGTTCCATCGCTTGGAGATACTCATTCGGAACGCCATTGCCAATGGAATGAGCTTGTCTCGTCAAGATGGCCAGAACTATCGGTAATTTTACAGGCTTGACATCCACGATTTCTGTCACCCGAGGAGCGTTGAGATCTGGGATATCGGACGTTGGTGGAACCTTGTATGCTTGTTGAGCAATCTTCTGGTCGACCAGTGTTGAATACCCAGCATCCAGTAATAGCGTCAAGACGTGAGAAAATGGTGGTGAATCGATCAGATCCGAGGTTTCGTCCAGTAAGCGTCTCAAAGGAGTAATGCTCGAGGAAGATATAGACACTAAGCTTGTAGGCGTTACTTCTGCTTCCATTCCCGACTCTTTAAGCACGAAAGCCTCTTGCTCTCTCGGTGGTAGCAAATACTGCAACCACTTCCCCTCTTTTCTCTCCTCTTCTGTAGCACCCTCGACTTTCTTCCGGACTTCGAGAGTAAGTTCTGAGAATCGTTGCATTGAGATATCGTCTCTTATACTCAAACTGCCAAAGACTTCCTTCACGGCAGCTTCGACCTTCAGCATGACCTCTTTCCACCCTCGATGTAGAAGCCACCAGCTAAAAGTAAGGTACTTCCTGTTGGTCTCGAAATCGTTCCCATATGCTTGGTCAGGGTTGTCGTCGTCATTATTCTCTAAGCTGATCGTCGATTGCTCCATTCCTCCAGTGGCTAGTGACACAACGCTTGAAAGATAGCTTCGCCGTCCTAACAGGTTCAATTGTATTCGAGTCAGGAGCGTGAGAAGAGCCAGGGTGTATATCAGCGTAAAAGACCGAGTAATAGCTATACACGAATCAGTAAAGTAGTCTTGGGCTTGCAAAGTTCGACATACAGCTGATCTTTAACTCGTTCCATAACTGAAGCTTGGTCTTCTTGGCTTTTGAAACTTGCTGTCCACCATCTTGAAGACCTTCCCCAGCTGCAGATGCTGAAGGAAGACCCATCTGACTTGCATGGATTCCGCTCTCACTTTGCAGGCTAGCCATGCTCCTCCCATCATCATCCGTCACGCTGGGTGGTGCAGAACCGATTTCTGAAAGGTGAGCTTCTCCATTTCTTGCCAACTTTGCCGCTTTCTGCTGCTGTAATTCGAAAGTTATCCTCTCAGTTTCCAGCTCCGCCATAATATTATCCGTAGCTGTTGGGAGTAGGGCCAGGACTGTGAAAGTGCAATCTTCTTGGTTTTGCTCGAATCGCCGTCGAAGACTGTGACATTTCGAATCAGCTATGAGCATTATAAAGTAGGAATGATGCTTTTATACTTTTCTCGAGCAATGCGATCTCTGCTCATGCCCTCCCGTGCGCTCGAGATCTTGCCCAACACATATTGCGTAGCAACATAGCCAGCACCTACCACTCCAAACCCAATGGCAATAGGAGTCCTGTTCCTCTTCAGGAATCTCCTCGTGGAGGCAATCATGGCTACCGTATTAATAGATCCCCAACAACATGCCGCATGTAAGAATGCCAAAGGATCGCGAATAACACGATTCAGGGAAGCAGTGTTGAGGAAAGTTGTACGAGGCTCTGCCAATGCTCAGCCCCTAGAAGACCTCGGCCGATGATGTGGCTGGGGAAAGCCGACCAAACGAACAAGGACAATGAATGGTGGCGAAAGTGGACCACCGATAAGACACCTTTGAAAACACATGCATGAAATCTACCCCTCCATCGACGCACAAAGCTATTCCTCAGCACTTCAACCACGCATCACTTCGACGAATTAATGCGAGAGAATTACACATGGCGATGGAGCAGCGCCGACCACCAGAGTACATCATCGAGGTGTATGCGGATCCGTCCAGCTTGAAGGATGTTATGAGAGGTAATTTATCCTCCGGGTTCTCTGCAGTTTGAAAGGGGGCGGGGAGGAGATGCGTCGAGTGAGCTCTGAGCTGACGAGTGTGCAAAAGGCATTCTGCACACGATATTCTTCCATAGATTCTTCCCTTCGATACGACCTAAGACGAGAGATGTACTAGATCTCTGCTTACCATTTGTAGAGGAGCCGGAGCTGGAGACTATGATCGATCAACGAACAGCTGCGCTGGTCCGGCAGCTGGACACGAGTTCGGATATGGGGATGCGGAGTACAGGAGTGAGGGGTCTTATGGCAGTGCAGTTCTTCGAGAAGAAGAGGAGAAAGGCATGGTTTACGAAGGGTGAAGAAGAGATATGCTGGGAGCAGTGGACATTAAATATCACACTGGCCACTCCACGGACAGAAAGCGGTATGTATATTGAGGCATTTTTGCGGTACAAAATACTGATATATTGGTTGTGCAGAACGAGCCAAGGTAAGGAAAGCAATGGAGGCTATGCTGCTCAAAGCAGCCATGAGGATTGTCACCACGGTAAACACTCATAAGGACCATATCCCGCCAATCACCACTATCGATTCCAACCCCTTCCCTTACCAGATCATAATTAACCCCAAGGACAACGGCTGGGGAGCACGAATGGGCATTTTCTGAGTGGGGGAATGTGAATAAAATAAACAAAATCGAGGTTGTACATACGAAAGATGGCTCGGAGTTAGGAGTTTCATAGATGGTTTGGAGACAGATACCCAATGAATTTGCATGGATTTGCAGCATTCAATTCAAATGGTTCAAATGCTCTCGAGTTCGCTCGTAAGTGTATATCATTACCATCATTAGTCGTAATTTCATATCAGCTCCTGCTGAAGGCCTTCCCTTTATTTCCTCGACCAAACCTGACGCTCGGAGGGACAAATGTCAGTGAGGACATTGCGCCAGAAAGTACGTCCATATCTGCATCTCCTTTGGAGCTTGGTGGAGTCATGATAGTACTCGTCTCGGGACTCTCTTCAGTATCCACGTCGTCCTTGGTCTCTTCGACTTCCTTTGTTGCATTGGTCGAGTCCCGAGTAGAGTTGCGTCTCCTTGTCCGGTCCTCGATCTCTGTCATATGGTGAGCAGCCGAACTTCTTCTTCGGTGCTTTCCAGTTCGTAGCATTGAGCTTCGCCTGTCAATACCATCGTTGACCACAAAGAAATCATAGTCCTTGGGGAACATGTGTTTATCGATGAGATGCATGCGTCTCTTCTGGGGAGTGGAGCATTTCCTATCGCAATCCTCAACAAAGCATGAATACTACATGAAGGAGTTAGCATTCGCACTTCTGGCTGGTTTGAATGTACTTACAGTCCTCTCTCCTCTCTCCCTTCTCACACTGATCAACGAATCATGGTTCTCCTCAATATGTAGGTTCAGAAAATGCTCGGTTGGAAAATTCTTCCTACACTCCAGACACCGATTGACATGGGTCTTCGCATAATGAACATCGTACTCCTCATAGGAAGCAAAGGTAATGGTGCCACGATGTGGTGGGAGGGAGCACTTCATTTTGTTCGTGGGCTGGACAGCTTCACCGCCTAGATGAAGGAGTTTTGCTGCTGGTGCTGGTGTATCGAGGAGAGTCGGGTGTACAACTAAGCGGACTGGAGCGCCTAATTCTTCTGTAGTTCCTGATTCTGGAGATGAAGGCTCAAAGTCTTCTCTTGTGCGTTTAGCCATCTTTGTGCTGCTCAACCCGGGGTAGTACTTGTTAGAAAAGTTTTCTGTAGCCTAACCTGTTAATATATCAACGACAAGCGCGTATCTCGTAGTATCTGCGTGAGACAATGCGCAGGATTTACTAGTGTTGCGGTGTGCCCTTGGTCGTTGGTGATTTTGTTTGGTTTGATGGCGATATAAGTGCAAGGTTGAAGAAGAGGGAAGGCTACGAAGCAGCCTTGTGGGATGCACTATGCCAAGCCTCCGCAGGGATCAAGTCATTTTGACGATCCGTCCATCATCGCCGCTCACACATCGTGGCCTGGCCCTGCCTTTCGTCCCTCTGCAACCATCGCAAAGTGTTCCCATCCGTATTCTTCAGCGAAGTCCTTTGTTGGTCCTTCGCTTCGAACTCTGGTAACTGAAATCGAACTTCAGATCGTTAGCGTCCTTTGTCTATATTTAAGCTCGACGTAGAAACAATTCCTCTATGGATCGATTCACCACCCCGCCAGATTCGCTGCGGACCATACTCGGCGCACAACTCGTCCTCATTTAACAAGGCCATCGACCGTGGGGTCGAGATTCTGCAGGAAATACTGCCGCTGTCGCAATGGTATCCCCTGTCGAGGAAAGATGGAAGTTCGTTCCCCTCTGTCAAAATCCTGGAGTGCGCCGATCTAACAATCTCACCAGGTATGCGCAAAAAGTAGAGACAAACTTGCAGAAGCTGCTCAAGAACAAGGAAGAGTACCCTTCTTACAATGATATCGAGCACCTCATTCGAGAGTAAGTCGGACATGATTAGGCATCTGCGCGCGTCTAATATTCCCAGGTTCCGTATTGCATGCGAAGCCGTGATCTTCCTCGATTTCAAACATGCTGTCTCCGTTAAGGTCGAACAAAGACTCTGGGATGCCCATGTCTTGATCAATAGCCGTTACCGCACGATGCTGGAAGGTCTCCGCAAGCCAAATAAGAAGCAACATTCGGTTGAAAAGCGCAATGTGGAGAAACACTATGTGGACTTCATCAAGACCAGTCAATTCTTCTACAAAGGTTATATTCAGCGACTCGCATCCCACTTCTCAGCCATGGACGGTCTCCGTCGAATTGCCCACCGCCTCTCTCTGGAAACCCTGACGGCCGACGAACGTGTCCGTGTTACACCTAAGTTGAAGGAACTGATCGAGACATCGTGTCACTCCTCTCTCTTGCGCTTGGGTGACTTGTCTCGTTATCGCAATCAAGTTAGGGTCAAGGACCGCAGCTGGGAGGCAGCCATGGGTTATTACACCTTAGCCAATGATCTCTGCCCCGACAAAGGCAGCGCCCACAACCAGATGGCTGTTATTGCTCTTGCTGATGGAAACCATTTGAACGCTGTCTATCATCTATTCCGAGCTATTGCCGTTAAGGAGGCACACCCTCTTGCTAGAGGTAATCTAGGCATTGAATTCAAGAAGGTCATTAGTGCCTGGAAGCATAATCGTCCTCATGGCAAGACCGACAGTCTGTCAACTCTGATTTCGTGGTTCGTTCTTCTTCAGGCTAGATTTCATGAAGGACAAGAGTTCTCTTTGCGGGAAGAACTTGAACAGGAAGTTCTATCTCGACTGGCATTACTTCTCAGAGAACAATCATTCCCAGATGTCCTCGAAAAGATCGTTATTGTCAGCATAGCTGCCCAAGCATTTGCTGGACAGAAAGTCTCTGGTAAGTCATCCTGGACACAAATTGCACGCAACGCTGACATTATTCAAGAACAATCCCAGGAGTCTAGTTTGGATCTGAAGTCTTACTACTTCTGTCTTGAATTCAATGTCAGAATGATCCTCGTGCTACTTCAAGTTCTCTCGCCAGAGTTGGAGCAGGACCTCAATGGAGAAGAACTCCCCAAGGAGGCAACCGAGCCAAAGGCCACCAAGCCACACGGAAATATCACTGCCGTTGCCCGTCGAATCTTACCTGCTCTTCGCCAATATAACACATGGCTCGCTGGAGAAGCAGTTATCCTTGCACATGTCTTCAACCCAGATGTGAATTTGCACGCCAAGGAGATGTGGAACATGTATGCTATGGTTCTCACAAAGTTGGTGAACTTCTTCCCTGCTGTTGGAGAGTTGCCTACAGTCCACTATCTTCTCGAAGAGGATGAGATCACTGTTGGCTTCGAACCACTCCGCAACCCTGCCGTTCCCCCAGAGTGTGATCTCTTCACGGATATGGATGGTGTACCCAAGGTACGTTCTACAGACCCCGGAGTAGAGCGTTACCATCCCAACATTGAGATGCAAGCTCGGATCCGCGATATCCTGCTTACAGCTGCCACCATGGAATCGAAGGACGAATTCCCTCTCCGTTTGAAGGCTTTAAACGGACATCACGTTTTCACTTATAACGCCGATACCACGACCCTTACTAGCCCTCGCACTATGACTAGCCCACAACATCCAGAAGGACCTGCATCCACCTTTGGCTCAGCACGAACAAACGGTTCCTCTTCTAAACAAAAATCTAGCAACAACGACTATGATGCTGATCAAGAAGAGAGTACCTCGGCAGCTGACAGTATGAATAATGCCCAGAGATGGGTAGATGATCTTACCGAACCAACTTCCCATGCCTCTGCTTACAATGAAACCTCGTACGGAATGCACAGCGGTACAGCTCAAGATGTCTTCGCCTCTATCAATCCTCATGGCTATTCAACTCGACTTCAAAGTACCCCAAAGATGCTACCCAGTTTGACGGGATTGTACAATTCGGCCTTTGCACCACAAGCGCACGAGCTTCAAGCTACGAGTCCCAACCGGCCCACCAGTGCTCGCCAGCTCTCGCCACTGTCGCTTTCTACCAAGGAGAATCGACTTTCTGCTGCTGCAACCCTAGAACAGATGACTGGCTATTCTACATTCAAGACTGGCTCTGGCTATTGGGGACGAAATTCTTCAAGACCAGTGTCCGGCTCTTTCCAGCAACCTGTCAACGAAATCCTTCAAGAGTCTCTTAACCAGCCGTACATGTCTTACTCCTCTGCGTTCGCTGATTCTAGCAGTATGTATGGTAACACTCCACAGACCTATAATCGCCTAAATGGAGGCTCCTTGACAGGCAATAGTTTCCCTACTGGTAATGGAAATTCGACAATCTACGGTGGTGCTAGCGATTTCGACACAGACCTCATGCTTCGAAGCTCGCTTGCGAATGGCGGTCAGTCAGGTTGGACCCAAAACTTCCAAACTCCTCCTGGTGGACAAGGTGGTTGAGGCTCTGCCATGAATGGAGTTTCCTGTACAACTATATGTCGTCTCCGTCACTATTCTTATCTTGGCTTCATGTGTTAGACTCCGGTCTGGCCATTCATTATCATCAGGGTCCGAACCTTCAAACTCTTTGAAGATAAAATTCCTTGTCGATAATAGCGATTTCCAAGTCACACTCAAAATGTTTCTCATTTCAGGGACATTTTAAGTTGTTGAAGGCAAACGCTATGGTCATCACAGAAGTCAACATCACTCAAAAACCATCAGTAAAACGTCAATGCAGAGGCGAATGTCCTCACGGGCGAAGGACTTTTCAATTTCTAAAGCCATGCTATTCTATGCAAATGATCGTGGAGGATCATATGGGTCATCTCATCGTATGGGAGCAAAATCATCCAGATTTTAGACGCTTCCGTTGTTGAAACCTTTTCCTCTCCTGAACGCCGTCTAAAATCTTTTGATGCATGAAGGGAATGGGCAATCTACAGGTTCGTGGGCTTGTAGGTCTGCTTGGGGAATGGGAATCTGCAAAGATGGGGTTTCTCGTTAGCTTGCTTGTATTTTGGTCGAGGTGGAGGGGAGTAAAAATTGAGTGGTAATTTGCGGCTTAGCTCTTTGTCCATAAACAGCAATCGTAACTCTTACATCTCACTTACTATCTCACTTACTTCCATAGCATGTGACCGTGATAACTGTGATGGAAAAAGAAAGAAAAACTTACGAAGGACCCAATTCCTGGATACTGAGCTTAGCCAACCATTGACCTTGGTCAATGCATTGAGCGAGGCTCTCGCCGGCAACCAATCCAGCAGTGAAACCAGCAGCAAAAGCATCACCGGCACCAGTGGTGTCGTTAATTAACTTGCTATCAATAGCATGAACCTTGAACTCTTGAACATCCTCTCCACCAACACTGACAATCGTTGGCTCGGTACCCTGAGTGATGATTGCAACTCTCTCTCGCTTCGTATTCTTCTTGGGGAGCGAAGCCAAAGCCTTAGCAATCTCCTTAATGTCCTTGGTCTCCAAGCCGTGATTCTCAGCATAAGACAACGCCTCAGTCTCATTCCCGATAACATAGTCCCAGTACGGAGCCGTAGCATCAAGAGGATCCTTGAAGAATTGGGGAATGAATGGTGCAGAGAGCGAAAAGACGAATGCCTTGTCGTTCTTGGCAGCTTCCTCAGCAAGAGCCATGATGGCAGGTGGGCAGACGGTCAAATGGTAACCACCGACGAAGTAGTGCGTAGCTCCCTCGACCAGCTTCCATACCTCAGGACTCTTCAAGTGGTCGAGATCATAGTGGTTCGCAGCTCCAAGATCGGTGCACATAGAACGATTGTGATCCGTGATAACGACACCACATCGACCAGTTGGCTGCGTCTTATCAACTCGGTACTCGACGCGGAGACCAGCAGTCTTGACGGCATCGTGGAGGATGGCAGCGTACTTGTCGTCACCGACGCCACCGAGGTATACAACTGAGTTTGGTGGGAGCATGTATTGGGCGCCTCGAGCAGTGTTTTGGGCTCCACCTCCGGCGATTAACTTTGCAGAGTAGTTGTTTAGGAGGTCTTCGTAAATGCCCTTGTGCTTTTCTTCCGCGAGGATGGCATCGTTGGGCTTGAGGCCATACTTCTCGAGGAGAGCAGTATTGCCTTGAGCTTGGATATCTGGCAGTGAAAAGTTGTCAGCTTTGTCTTGAATGATTGACCAACAGGTGAAGGTAAAACTCCCGAGCTGCTCATTACTGGATTCGGATGTGCTTCCAATGGAGGATTTTTTGGTTTATTTACCAAGTAAAGGGTTCTCTAGGCAGAGGAGTGCATATTCCTTAGAAGGCGCCATTTTGTGTTGCGTTGTGTGGAAGTTGTGGTGGAGTGGGGAGTGAGGTTCGGCGATGGAGGGGTCGGTGAGAATTCGATGTTTTGGCGGGGTTTTATGTAGCAAGCTTGAACTCAAACGGGCAGGCACAGTAGGCTTGCGAACAACGGCTCTTACAAATAGTGACATGGTACAACTTTTTTGCGAGATTTAAGAAGTGAATTTTATGCTATGGAAGTTTCAAGAGTCCTACTTGATTGAGGGAGTTCACTCTTCAAGTTGTCAGGCCACACGTCTTTGCGATTATACCATAGTCACGTCAGTCGGTTGAATCTCAAATCAGTGCAATGTGTTTTTTTTTCATTCATCCCCGTAATGCTCCTTCCGAAGGTACATAGAATGCGAAGCCAGCATAACCCGAAGCAATGAAAAGCCAATCCCGATCAAGACGCAATTTAGTCCTTTGTCTTTTGAGTACCACGCAACAGACCAGTTCTCCGAGCAGCAATGAGACCCGCCTTTTGACCTTGTGCAGCGTATCTCGAGATCGTAGAAGCCTTACCGATATGTTGATGGTTACCACCCTAGATTTTATCAGCATTTCAATTGTCCTCGCAGAATTGAATATACATACACCGTGAGGATGGTCGACGGGGTTCATGGCAACACCACGAGTCTTGGGCCAAGAGTTACGCTTAACAGCGAACTTGTGCTTAGCACGGGATGCCTCTGTATAAAATGTCAGCACTTCTATGTTGAAACCTCATTCCAGGTAAAACGTACTCAACATGGGCTTATCGGTTCTTCCACCACCAGCAACAATACCAATCATACCACGGGCACTGCTCTTGATGACCTTCTTTGCGCCAGATGGGAGCTTGACACGGGTCTTGCCATCCTCAGGGTTGTGTCCAATGACGGTAACATAGTTGCCAGAGGTTCGGCCCAAAGCACCACGATCTCCTGGCTTCTCCTCAACGTTCGAGACGACGGTTCCTTCGGGGACGGAGGCGAGGGGAAGGACATTTCCGACAGTCAGAGCGGCGTTCTTTCCGGCATAGATGAATTGACCAGTGTACATGCCCTCGTTGGCGATGAAGAGTTCGGTGTGAAGCTTGAATCGGTATGGATCACGGAAGACAACCTTCGCAAGAGGGGCTCCACGACCTGGATCATGAATAATCTCCTTGACGACACCTCGAATGTATCCCTAGACAGTGAAAAGAATCAGCCATCTTCTTCCTGACATGCTGTATATAATTATTCCAAAAGTTTCGTCCAGGGCGACATTTCCAACAAAGAGCCATTTGCTTCGAAGAACATAATATGGACCGACCTTGGATTCGGCGAAATCGAGGGTACGGAATTGGGCAACGCCTTGGCGGAGTCTATAGAAATGTTAGCCGATTTTGAAGCCATTCCACCAAAGGGAGTTTCGAAGCCGCCACGATCTCGAAAAGATCAAAGGATCACATACCGGGTGTGAGAAGTAAATATACTTCCACGCTATGGTAGTCAGCAATGGATCCTCGCTCATCTTTCATGAGCTTTGAGGGCTTCGAGATTTGCACGTACACCTTTTCTGTACAGAAGTCAGCATACCACCATTAGTATCAGAGAACGGGAACCACTCGCCTTTGATTGCGAATCACGATATGGCAGTCAGTAATGTAAGTCTCGAACAGGGGACTCCAAATGCTTACCTCGACCCATCTTGACGGTGTTGTCGATGAAGTTGTTGAAGATTCGTTGGTCGCAGTTTCCGATTCTGTAAAGTCTTTGTGTGTAGATTGGTGTAAGCGAATTTTTCTGCAGTGGTGCCTCAGGCTACCAGAGCCGTAGTTTAGCGTTCAACTTCACAACGTAACTTTACCAACCTCCATACAACAGGATGAAAGCCTCACATTGACAGCGACCACGATCAGATACCTTTCAATACTGCTCTGCTATTTGAATGATATTACCAGTCTATTCTTTCATTGTCGATCACTTAATTGCACTACCTTAATGCGAGGTGTGGGTCAAAGTTGACCATATTTCGCTTTGGGCTGACCTTCCTCCATCCCACGATGAACTTTGCATATACGATCTGTTATACTCTCTTTTGCAATTACTGGTGATGCATGAATAACTTTTATGATGGTCAGACTGCGTTTGATGCTCTAATCTTCGTCGGAGCCTCATTTTTGATTACTTTCATCTTCGCAGGAAGCGCATCGATATGCATCACCAGAATACAGGCGATGATGATGTTGGATTGTCTTTGGCGTTGTGGAAGGTTCTCCTTGCTGTGCGCGCGTTGTGTTGGGGTTGGCCAGCTTAGGCTCAAGCTTTTCGCGGGTTCAAGATTTGGCTGTCATGTATTTCTTCTCCTCATCAAATTTTCTCGAATATGCATCTATATACTTACTTCTATCATTTTTGCTGAATGATTTTGATGGTATCCCCCATTAAAACTCTCTTCTCTGTCAACCCTGCTACCAGCTAGGTGAGTCCGGCGATAGACGCTGTCTGTTTCGTGGCTGTGAAATACGCTGCAAACATGAGGATCGCGGAATTATCAATAGCTTGAGTTTGCTGGATCAAATTTCAATGATCTGGGACGGTGCAATGATAAGCGAGATGCTTTGGAGATGCGCTGGCCGTATGCTTTGCCCGCCCAAGGGTGGACATACCCAGCATCAAATCTAACGACGAAGGTACGTCACCCCATCAACAAAACACTAATAATTAGCTACTAATATCTCGTACAGAACATTCACTGTTCGTTTGGCTCTTGCGAAGGCACAATCGGTGTGTTTGCGGTATTTGGGTAGACGGATCATGAGCTTGGTGGAAAGTGGAATTTGCCCGTCACGATTACGAAATGGTCGGGCCAGTCACAGTTAATGGGATACAATTCTACGATGTGGCCATGGCGTGATATTGCTGGTTTCGCTGGCGGGGTATTGTACGTCGAGTTCTGGGACAATATATCAGATTGGAACTTGCTCCCTAAGTTCTCCTTAGGACTCATAGGACTCACCATTATTTCCCTGCTATTGTGCGTGACCAAAAAGTGCTGGCTTAATTAGACCAATGAACCTTCTCGCTGCTGCTGTTTTGTCGGCAAATGCTCAAGCTTCCTCTGACTTCATCTCCAAACTCCACCCAAAAAGTTCCACCACCTGGAACAACAAAATTCTCAACGCAACGCCAGTATGGCTTCTGATTCCGATTCTGAGTTGTCCGACGTCCCTTCTGACGTCGAGAATGATCTACAGTTAACCAAAAAAGATGGAATACTCAAATTCTTTTCGAAGCAATCTGCCGCGCCAAAGCAGGCCGAGTCTCCTCCACGAGCAAAGCGCGAGCCTTCCCCGCCACATGAGTACGTTCTGGCAGACAATCAAGATATTGCGGTAAGTCTTTGCGCATGCTCTGTACATTCAGACACGTAGAAAACGCGTGGGTTTGAGGTGCAATAGAATCTAACGCGCTCATGTCCCCATTGTGGACGAACATTGCTGACAGAATACAGTTCATTGTGATGTATCGCAGCCGGTTCACAGAAGTATTCCCAAAGTCGCTCATCAACTTCGGCCCTCAAGAATTAGAACGAGACGTGGTCGACCCTGTCCCTGGAGAGGGTGTAGAGCATTTCCTTTGCGCATTGCTTGGGCTGCTGCTCAACAGGAAGCAGGACGTCAAGTAGGTAGCTCCCTATTTTGCGCCCCAAGCCATATTTCTATCTACAGAAGCTGACCTTATGTGCCTCTGCAGAGCTGGACACTACGGTCGCGCCCTCGAAGATGCTATTCAATTACACAAGTCGCAATGGCCCAAGGAATGGGAGGCCAAGAATCCATTATCGGGCGGTGTCACATTTACCAGCATGTCTCCCACGGAACGAGTACGAGCACTATCACAGCCCCTGAAATACCCTTACTAATTATGACAATAGCTTACTCTTCTACGAGCTCTTATCCTCTGGTCGCTCTCCTCCTCCGACGCCGTGAAGGCCTTGATTGCATCTTCCTACAAGCAGACCCGACGGGAAGACGACCTCAACCAACCACTTTCTGTACAGCCATGGGGCTCGGATAGTGACAAGAGACGTTACTACCTTATCGAAGGCCTGGATGATACCCACTTTCGAGTGTACAGAGAGAGCAACTATATGGGGATCAAGCGAACATGGTGGAGCGTAGCAAGCGACATAGACGAGCTGAAGGGTCTTGCAGAGAAGCTTAACAAGGAAGACGGAGGACAGAAGGCCAAGCTCTTGAGCACGAGGATTACTGCTGCTATACCTAGGTTTGAAGCTACGGAAGACGTATGTGGTGGCTCTCATGTTTTGTTGCAGTTGACTACTTACTGACACACCCTCTCAGAAACGCAAACGCCGTGAATATCGCCAGATTCGAAAGCATCAATTCAAGCGTAATGATCTCGGTACCTCGCTATACGAAGGAAGGACTAGGGGCAAGCGTGTTAGATACAACTACTCTGACGAGGATCCAGAGGGTATCTACTCTGATGCCACTGCCACTACTACTCGCCGATCCACTCGTAACACTGGCACGCATACACCAGTTGAGTCTGGACCAACCATCACTCAAAGTGGTCGTCAAGTCAAGTCTCGTCAAGGTGGCGCTTATGGTGAAACTATGTTAAGTAGTGCGCATCCCCCAGCTGGTAGCTATGCTGGAACCAGTGAAGAACCAGAAAACGAGCTTGAAGCCGGTAGTCGACCTCGACGAGCGGCTGCGAATCATGGCACCAACGGCTATCCAAAACCCAAAGGCGGTCGACATATCGAAGGTTATAACGATGTCGATGAGATGACGAGTGATGATGAGGGAGACGCAAGTGAGCAGGATTATGGTGATGACGAAGAAGAAGATGAGCAAGTCTCTTTGGCCAGCGACGGCGATGATCAAGACGACCGTTCTGAAGAAGATGAGGAGATGGAGGATGCCGAGCCGAAGAAGTTGATTGTCAAGCTCATGGTGAAGACTCCAACTCCCGAGAAAAAGACCATCATCAAGCTTCGAGTCTCACCCGAGAAGGACAGAGATCCGAATGCTAAAGGGCTCTTCTTGAACACCAACACTAAGGAGAATGTTCAACCCGCTTCTTCTGGTGAAAGTTCCGAGCCTGCCTCAAAGATGACCGGCATGGCACCAAATTCACCTCAGCCAGTCAAGTCACCACTTGCTTTCCGTGGCAGCCCCGAGAAACCTACTACTTTCATGCCAGCCATCGATGTTGGTTACAGGGGTTCATGAGATGCCGTTGTGGTCATTTGATTTCAAAGTGTCAGCGGGCGGTAATATTGTAACGGCATGGGTAGACGGCGTTTTGAGAGTGCAAAATAGGCATTGTATGCACGGATGTGCTAGACATGATAGTAGCTTATGAGTGCTAGCTCCTGAATACTATGGTACTCTAATAGACAATTTCACGAAGGACTGATCTCTGAACCCCGTATGATTTCATGTATTGTCTGTTTAATTGTGACCTTTTATGTACGCTCAACCAATACTATACATGACCCGAACGCCCCAAATGCAATGACCCTTCGTCATATCCGACCAGGTAACGCCTATTATCCAAGTCTAATTAGACATATCGTTCAATCACTAGTATTCTGTGTTTTATAGTACTGTAAAAGTATCAGCACTCAAAATGCCCATACATCACCACCGGAATGCAATCTCCAACTGACATCACCCACCTCATTTGCCAGCTTTTGGTTCCCTGCTGCTTTACTGAGTCCTTCTGGTACTTTCCAATTGTTGGTCGTGTACCACCATCTTCTAACTTTTGCCCCAACGCTGCTACCGCTCAATTGAGCGTTCTTGTTCCAATATCGCCAGCCGTGGAGAGCAAGAGACCAGACCATGCCTTGGACGAGGGGAAAGACGACCTGTGCACGATATCAATGTTGAACTAGGTAGGAACAACGGATCTCGACATACCTGATCTCTAACAGTAATGAACAACACCTTCCAAGTAGTATCCGCGCCCGCAATACTAGCCAAATAGCTCTGCTCGAATCTCAAATCCGGTAGCGGTCCAAAGCTCTGCCGTCTTGGAATAGGCTTCAGAACCGAATATGGGATATCTTCTTCCTCTGAAGCATCGATTCCGTCTTCGTCATCGTATGCGTATTTGTCTAGAGAGGCCTCGGATGCTGGGGCGTGACTAGGTTGGGAGAGCTTGACGGGTTCCTTTTCGGAGGCGGCGGTGGAGGGATTGAGGTCGTGAGAGGGTGATGGGTTGCGTTTTATGGATGCTGTTTGGATTGTTTCTGCGATTTGTAGGGGGAGTGAGGACGACATTTTGTGGTGGTGTGCGTGGGTTGGAGATTGGAGATACTGCTTGTCTTTGAGGTTGAAGCTTGGACGGGAAGTGCCGAGGCTTGGAGATATCTAACGACAACAATTATCAGTCTCTGCTTTCACAACCATTCCACGCAAAATTAGGACTTACATGACTAGCGAGAAACTCGAAGTCGAGATACCAGTAGGTACTGAGGGGTCATGTTTCCAAGCCCTGATCAAGTATCTACAAATCGTTTCTCGAGCTACAAACTCGAGTATTCCTTTCCATCTGTCTCTTCCTACAACGAATTGCAAATGGTATCAACTCGTTTTATCTTATTTTGGATTATGTATCTCCATAGCTTATTAATTTCGGGAGTGCTATCGTCTGTCGCTCCTGCTTGTCCTTCCTCCTTCTCTCTCAGCCATCTAGAGTTGCTCCTTCCTCGACAAAGTTGTTGAGCATAAGTAACCCTCTGCTCTCTTTCTACTTCTCTCCAGTTAACAATATTCTCAAGACAACAAGTTATCTATACGCTGCCAGTCAAGTAATATACCTACTATCGTACAGTATAACAAACATTCTTTACACCTCTCTTGCAGTCTTCAACGACAAAAAAGGACAATCACTTCACAATCAGACGAACGTCTCTCAATCCTTCATCATGACACGATATACAGAGAGAACCGCCCGGGCAGCAACCAGAGCAAGAGTTATGGAGAGAGCGGACAAAAACTACTTTCGCATGGGCCAGACCTATGGTGCCTGCTACCGCTGCGGGATCTGGCTTACCGACGATATGATTGAGAACCACATCCGCGGTGTTCAGTGCAAATTTGTGCCCATTCGAGGAGGTGGCAAGTCTCGTGTTCATCACCGGGAGTATTTTGAGGTGAGTTATCTTGATTCATCGAGTGATATTAACTGACAGTGAAGGAATTCTATCCCTCCAACGCGAGCGGCCACAAGATAGAATTCGACGAAGGGCCCACTTATGTTCTTCGACCTCATCCGAAAAATTACATTGACCCAGGATTCATTCAGATGCGCGGGCCACCCACTCCTCCACTATCCCCTCTATTAGACGGAAATCCTCCTGCTGCTCAAGCACCTTTTTCAACGAATGAGAACATCCCCGCTCTATCTTCGGACCAAACCTCTCCGACGCCCCCTCGGAGTCCAACAGGCGCAATGGATCCCTTGATAGAAGAGACTCTGAAAGATAGAGCACGTGCAGAACTAAATGTAACTCTTCCAAATGAAGGGCTAGCCTCGGGGTCCAATTTGCCGCCCATTCATTCCCAATCGAAGTTTGACTGGTTACGGCGTATCTGGCTTCTCTTCATCCTCGAGTAAGTCCATAATATTGTCGGTATTATATTAACAGAGGCTTACGGTGACTAGCTGAACACTTTATTCGTTTCTAGGTCATCTTTGTCGCGAGGAATGGGCTAAGATAACAGAGGTGTGGGAATGGTGTATTTCTGTCTTGTGAGAGCGTATTGCATGTGGAGAATTCTCCATTAGTATAGTTATCCTAGCGAGAATACATTATCTATCAGTCTTATGTTCTTTGACACAAGTGAGTTCATGATAGGAACTGTAGAGTGCATGAATTCGTAGCTCTTGCTGGGCATACTAATTCGGGAGATAAGAATGGCTCTATAGTAAGAGCTCATGGATCTTCGTCCAATCTAGCCTCGATTCTACAAAGAACATCTATCTCGTGAGTACTCACAGCTCAAATTGGTCTTCCATTCAATTCTGGCACTACAAATCACAAGGACGCCATCTGTTAAACAATTGATGGTAAAGATGTTCGCCTTGAATATTCAACTATCTAATCCAGATTCTTTACGCCAAACAGACAAGAAACCCGTGGTATCGTAACAATTCCTGAGTCCAAATCTCGACTCCACGCTCAAAACTACCAAGATGTCTACTTTCGAATCATGACACTTGACATCCAAGATACTTTTCCCAATTCCACATCAGCTGTTCATCACAACTCATCTCCGAGGTGCCGAGCCAATACTCGATCGGTCTGCATCCTCATCCAACGGATCGATAGCAACATCCGACCTACTGCCATACCTATGATTATAATTCTGCGGCTGCATCCAACTCGTATCTCCCGTCACGACCCCCCTCTCATCCATCATCCCCGGCGCAACAGCCTGTCCAATGCCTGCCTGACTCACAGTACTAAGTCCACTCCCCCGATCCACATTCTTCTTCGCCATCGCATAACTATCCCTACTCGTCAGCTCCTCCGCATCGAAATCCCAATCCCGCCAGAAATCCCGCTTCCCGCGCGCTGCGCGCTTCACCCAGCCGGGGAGTAGGCCGCCGCGCACTTTGTACGTCCAGTAATCTTTGTTCTCGTAGTCGTACGGCACGATCCGTCCCCCGGAGACCTTGAGCAGGATCCACGCGCCGGTGTTGAGGATGATGTACGTTATGAGCCCGGTGATGAGGCCGTAGGCGATGGAGTACGTGAAGGGCATCACGGCCAAGGTAAGGAAAGCAGGGACGGAGTCGCCGATGTAGCGCCAGTTGATGTCGGTACATGCTCGAGCCATCATTGCTCCGACGAGGATGAGTGTACAGCCTGTGGCCCATGAGGGGATGCTGGCGAAGATAGGCGCGAAGAAGATGGAGATGAAGAAACAGAGGCCGGTGACGCAGGCGGTTATTCCTGTGGCGCCGCCTTCTGATATCCCGGCTCCGGATTCGATGAAAGCTGTTACGGGAGGAGAGCCGAAGAGCGACCCGATTGTTATTCCCATTGCATCGACGATGTAGGCCACTGCTGAGCCTTCGAAATCTTGTGTGTCTTCGTCGATGGCGCCGCAGAAGCGGGCCATGGAGTACATGGTTCCGGTACAGTCTAGGATGTCGACGTAGAGGAAGGTGATGAGCGCAGAAGCGAACTGAGAAGCGTTTTCGCCGGTGATGTTCCAGTCTTGAGCACCTAATGTGTGTTGAATTGGATGGAAAGCTATGACTTGTTTGAAAAAGTCGAAAGCAGCATCCCCGGCATTGCCTGGAGGAAAATTCGTTATAGAGGTACCACGAGGCCAGGAGAGGATAGACACAAGAAGGATGCCAGCAATGATAGCCCCTTTTACACGGTACATCATCAGGAATGCTGTGAAGATGCCGCCGCAGAAGATACCAACCCACATGGTAGGGCTGCGCATCTTGTGGGAAGTACATTGTCCGTTCTCGATGTATCCAATAGGACAACCAGCAATTTCGAGAGGGTCGGGAGATGAGCCTGTGATCGCACCTATTCCCGCCGAGTATGTAAGACCGATAAGAGCAAGGTAGAGACCGATACCTGCTCCAGCAGCAATCTTGAGACTTGTAGGGATTGTTCGTGCAAGCCATTGTCTGAGGCCAAGAATGGACAATCCAACAAATATCAGCCCTTCGATGAAAACAGCTGTTAGTGCGAGACGATATGGGACTGTGCCTGAGCCATTGCTTCCCACAACTTGGTATGTGAAGTAGGCGTTCAAGCCCATACCAGGCGCAAGCGCAATTGGCATATTGGCACAGAGACCCATGGCGAAGCTGGTGAGTGCTGATATGGCAGCTGTTGCGGTGACAAGATCACGTTGAATCTCCTGTTTGCATTGAGTGTAGGGCTCGTATGCGGGATTGCTGCTATTGAAGCAGTGTGTATCGTTGCTGAAGGCGCCTGTTGACTCGCAAATACATGTTCCTCCACTCGCTACTACCGGTCAATAAGTGCTCTGATAAGACATTGATGGACGTACCTGAAGTTATTTGTGCATTAACAGATATGATATAGGCCATTGCAAAGAATGTTGCGAGTCCAGCTCTTACTTCTGTCAAGAATCTGGTGCCTTTTCTCTCTTGTCTATGTCCTGAGTATTCCAGTCGGAATCGTCTTCCCACCACGCTCTTGGCTACGGCCATATTCGTCCTCTCAACCTGTAATACATCAGGACCAAGTCAGAAGAGAATGACATTGTACATACCCAACCCATGATGTCGTATTATGTACTTTAAACTATATTCGCAAAGATGTACTCCACAGCCTCCACCTTCAGAAGGACCTCAAAGCGTTATATTGTATATATCGTAAGTCGTAAGCGTTATTCCATTACTCCTAATCACCACACCAGTCTCCCCTCCAACCCGTAAATTATCTAGCCTTGCCGTTGACTACACAATATTCTATCAGGATAAGGCAAATGGCAAGAGCGGGGGCCTCCGAGCCGTGTGTTTGCGGTGACCATGAAACGAGGTATGTTTGCGGCCTTTCCAGAAAGCTTTAGGGGCAGAGCTAAGACTAAATATATCGAAATGAGGATCTCTCTATAGATGTGTAGATCTATAAGATATGTGGAAGGCTAGAAGTGAGAAAGTGGACCGGTCCGAATTTGTGCGATGAAGAGACTTGACCAACAAAATCTGACAGGGGGGCCACTACATAAGCCTCGCATGACATATGGAAGGCATGTGAGCGCGTCAAGCCACTCGGCATCTGTGAGCCTAAAGCAGCCAAGTAGATAGGGAACACAAGCTATCAACGCCTCTTTCCCACATGGATTCTCAGCAATTCGTCTCATCCCGCCGCCGTCAAATTTTCCTCTTCGCAAAAAGTTTCATGAAAAGACTGATGAAAAAACTTAACAGGGAGGTGTGGGTGCACAGGAGTGGGTGTCCTGGCCAGATTGATCGACGCACTCGCAGTAGTCTTGTCTTCCCATCCCACGAACAATACTGGGGGAGGGCTTGAACGATGAGGGCTTTTGTGCTGCCACTTGCATCGCCTCTCGGTTGCACTGCCGAAGGTAGAAGTTGCTTACAGTTGTCAACATTAGCGATGCCTTTTGGTGACACGCGACTGTACGCCTCTCAGTCTGAAGACCCCGATGTCCATTGCTGGAGAGGATGGCGATAGGTTCGGCTCCTACTTTCTGACTGCGCACCACGAGAAGTGGTCGCCCTTTGCATTGGTCTCCAGAGCATATATCTTGCAGGCATACAATGTTGTCCTCGGGTGACAAACAAGCATCGAGGAGGATTCTGATACTGCAGCTTCCAACGAGATGTGATGATGGGGTGAGGTTGGATTTTCTTCGTCACTCTGCTTCGTTAGAAGGTGGCGTGGCCGGAAAAGGATTACAACAGTAGTCTACGTTGGGGGGCCTGGTTCTATAAATTTCAGGGGTCTCAAAATGGAAGCTCCAAAGCCAAGAGAATGGGAGCGGCAACGACGGAAACTATTCCATTTCCTTTCCATCTTGCTTCCATTTCTTGGCTTCCAGCATGCGATAAGAACAAACTTCTATATTCCTATGGAAACTACCAATGTCTATCACATTCGAAGCATCCTCCTCTTCTTGATGTCAGCATTCCATCCGTGTCTGTGTCAGTTTACTAGGATGAAGCAACGGGCATAGAAAACGACAGGGACTCTTATTACATGTCTTCACAGCATATGCGTCTTCGAGACCAAGGATGTTTATCTGCTGCGGCTTAATACTGCAATGCGGTGTCCAGGCACAAATTTCCGCCAACGGGCTCGTCGTTGATCCGTATTGCCGCCATTGCTGGACAGAACAGATCAAGCAACGGAATAATGTGTATCTATCCTCTCTCCCACCCATGTTTTTTGAAGAAGATGGGTGGGTTTTAATGAAACGGACTCCGTTCGCTGCTCAGCTCTTCGTAGCTTTCCTTCCACTAGCGGACGGATACGAAATTTGGACGCCCTCGGCCGGTGCCGCACACCGCATACGTGCGGCGTTGAGCGTGGGCCATAGTGAGTTCGAAATATGCGATACATGCAAAATGCAGCATTTTTGAATACTGCTCTCATGTTAGGAGAGTTTTTTCTTACCAACTTCCAATAATATTTGTCCTAGGACTCGATAACCTACCTCACCCCGGATTCTGTCGTCCAACCAACACATCAGGCCCGATAGGTTCCCCTCATGTTCGTGCAGTCTTTTCCCCTCCACATACGGCCTCATAACAATTTGTATCACGTTTGCAATGCAGCGGGTGTTACCAAACCTGCGGGAAGGTGCATAGATTTCCGACGTACAATTGCTTGCATATGCTTCAGGAATCCAAAAGCAAGAGACCAGATCGCCGTAAAGGCACTGTCCTCTCGGTAATTAGCATGCGATCCTGTCTGCATTGCGCTGCATCTGCGTTGGCGAAACCGTTCTTCGGATGGAAAAGTAGTGTTTACGGCTTCCTGCTGCCCGGTGGAGGGGTCAAGACGAACGAGAGAAGCACCTGTTGAATGGATGCTACCACAAACGTAGGTGTATTGACAAGTTTGAGCTTGGCTTGCCAAGTCTGTCTTCTACATATGTGGACTTTTGTGGCACAGTGTTGTCTTACATTCGCCCCTTTGTGTTCAGCTGTTCTCAAGTTCCTCGAGTCTAGCTGACATTGTATATCTCCAATAATCTACGCCTACTCGCCGAGGAATACTGAGCTTCAAACAAACACCCGCCGTTCAGAGATAGTACGACTCATGAAGGTTTTGGTCCAGATCATCTTCAGCTGAGCAAGCTTTCCATAATCAGAGCACCAGCAGAAGTCTAGGCTTTCAAACGAATTCGATACACATCCTGCACCTTGCCGATCGGGACGAAAACGGCAAGCTGTTCAAGAACTTGCAATAATCATGTACGCGTCATGTTCTGGCATGTTCCGTCCTATCGACAGAGATTGGTTCTCGGCGCCGAGTTGTGTTCTTATGAAATCGGTCGGGAAGCTACACACGTCAGTTCTCAAGTTCATGAGATCATGAACTAGAATACTACAGTTCCAAAGTCCGCTCTGACGGCTCTTGGATATACTTTAGGAACCCGCTGCCGTTCCCATGACGGCAGTGAAGTCCCAAAGGAGAATGCGGTCCTTGGCTTCCGAGACAAAGCTACAAACGTTGAGCACAGAACGTGGATTCCATCTGCGATTATATCGGCTTAGAAATGACAAGGTCTAGCCCCAAGAGCCAGTGGTACAATTGCATCACCTCAAATTTTGAGGTCGCCGAAGGTTGTATCATATCTTCCCCTCTTCCCCTCATTTCTGTCGTTCTTGTACCATGTCGCTATGCTTCCTTCCGGTTCTGCTTTCTGTTGGTTACTAATTCCATCAATGGGTGAGTATGGACTGAAAGTCCAGACCAGAGTGCAATTCAAGCGATCGCTCTTCACTGTCCCCCTTTTTCTCGCTTGTATTACACTAAGGAAGCGAGGTACCTGTTCAAGAGCAGTTTTCGACAGGTCTTCGTCAGCAAGCGGTTTCTATAGATGTTTTATCATGTTCTGGGCTTTCACACCGCTTGCTAGTGCATATCAAGACGAGAATCCAAGTAATGGAGGGAGTGTTTATTGCAATCACGTGATAAGTTGTCTCCATTCGATATCCTGTAGCTGCTAGGACTGATGGTTGCATGTTGATTCAAGGAGGGTAATAAGAGGGCTTGGAGATGAACAGGCTTCTTATAAGCTTCAGAGACATCTACCATTACTCGGCCAAATCGAAGAACATTTCAAGGCTCGACCAAAATGCATGCAAAACCTGTGAACCTTGTGATTAAGCAAAGAGATAGACAATGCTATGTAACCTATATACCTCCAGCAACAAATAACATATCCATACATCACTATGATCATCCTTCATAATTATCCTTACACTCCCCGCCCCTCTTCGGCTCAAACAGTGCAAACTCCCACTCCCTCATTCGTCTCAATAACCCTACTCGCACTCTTCACCACCATCTTCTTAATCACTGTCCCTGTCCTCGTACTCCATTTCTCGCTATCCAAGCTAGTCTCTAACACCCAATTACCCTAGACTAGCAAAGTCGTCGTCGCTTTCATCACGCTCATTCCCAGATCTTAGACCGTCAGCAATCTACTTGGTGATTTTAGACATTATCTTTGTACTAGGTAAAGATGTGGTACCCTCGAAACGGACAAAGGAAATATCTTAACAGCAGTAAAATCAAATACATTTGGTGCTCAGAAAGACACCAGCAACAGCTTCAGTATCCATCATCTGCTTCGAAACCCTGCTCTCGAGGATCCATCCCACTAATTTAACATTCCTCGCAAAAAACACCACGCTACCCAACCCGCTAGCTTAACGCACGAATCAAGGTACAGTACAGTAGACGTTACCTTCTCCAACTCGAGCATAGCCCAGATCCAGCGACCATGGGAGGGTTAAGAGATAGAATCACGGTGCGTTGATCCTGCCGAGAGAGCTATACATTGTCGGTTGCCATCTGTGATTCGAATAAGTGAGCTCATAGACTCTTGACTCTGCTCCTCACATAGAGAAGGAAGCCGGGAAGCAGAGCAGCGGTAGTTTCCAGACCCGGTATGCTGATGCCCAGTGAACGTAGTTAAGATTTGGGCTAGAAAAGATGGTTGTGAGCTGGAAGATGTGATTTTGGGATTTGAATGTTGGATTGTATCTGGTCTTTCAGAGTAGACACTTAACTTAGATGACTAGGCGAGCAAAGAGTTAGGAGATTCAAGGTAGCAAACAGGTAGCCGGTCTTCACTACAATTCTACAGTCAAGCAAGCACAAGGCACGGGAGTATTAACTTCAAACATTTATTTCCAATCTCAATATCAAACGCTACGCTGTGCTCCCCAGAAATCAGACCCTAAACCCAGAAACCCTGACCCTAGCATCAACATAAAAGACTCCCATAAGGCAAAGAAAAATAACAAATCCAACATAAACGTGAACATGAGATGCCCATATGTACCCCAAGCAGGCAATACAAATCAATTCGACATCATTATCATCAACAGTAACAGTAAGCCGTGAGGCCATTCCTCCTCTATTTACCTCGCGCATCTTTCCTTGATGGCTTGGCATGTTCCAAAGCCTTGCGCCTTTTCCCCATTCGTAACGTCGTTATTTCGTAAACAATATTCCTTCTCATTCTTCCGCCGATTGGCTCTTCAACGCAATGAAATTCGTAAATCTGACATGGTACACCCAACGTTCTGAAGAGGTTCGGACGTATCTAGAAGCGAGAGGTAAAGCTTCGATTGTGCATCGGAGGTCTTTGAGCTGGCCTAGGTGTGCTCTTCTTGCTTTGACTGCCAGTATTGCCGGACCCGATTCTCTGGAAGCCTTGCATGATATCCCACCCCTCACCAACATTTTCAGCCAAAACATCCGGATTGAAGAAATCTTCTGTGTAATCAAATACATCAAAAGCGAAGAGAGCACCACCACTAAACTTGGTCGGCGAGTCGAGACCTAGGAGTTTACTTGGCGACTCCAGCCCGAAGCCTTTGAGAGGCGATGTAGTCTTCGGTGTATTGATCTTGGGTGTGAGCTTCAACAGTGGTGTGGATGTGACACTCTTGTTGAAGGTGCTGTTAGAGATATCTCCAAGAATGCTTGTCGAATTGGACTTGCTCAAGCGAGGTCTCTTTGCTGATCTCTTTTCAGGCGACCCATTTCCAGGAACAGAGAGTAAGCCAGCCGTAGAATCGGCAAAGATATCAAAGTCATGGCCAAAATCATGGAACATGTAGCTATTTTCGTCTAGCTGGAAAGCAGGACTCCAAGGGGCAACATTCTCTGTCTCAAGGCATGTCATACCGCGTAGGGGTGAGCCAACCATCTCTCGCATCTTGTCACGGTGAAGGCGGAGATTGGTATTGGGAGATGCAGATGGAGGTGGTCGAACGGGGGGCTTCAGTTTGACGATTGGCGTCAATGGTGGCAGCATCTGTGACGACTCTACCTTGAGACCTATGCGTAAAGGAGAAGAGGACGGAGGAGCAAAAATGGCTCGGCTTTTAGTAGGACTATCGTAAGAAGAGCCACGGAGGCGAGCAATCTCTTCTTCGGCACGGCCACGCTTAATCCTAGGTCCATCCGAGGTGAGTAGTCGGTGGGGTCGCATAGCTGAAGAATCTAATGAAGAGAAGTAACCGCTATCATCCATTGCAGAATATTTGCGTTTGCGTGAGCGAGAGGTCGAAGATGTTGGGAAGCGTGGTACTGGGGGAGGAGTATCATGTCTCTTAGGCCCATGTCGAGACACAGGCGGTGACGAGTTCATCAGGGCAGTTGGCGGGGATGATCGGATAAGAGGCGAGGAAGGCATTGGGATTTCTTCTTCAGGCTCTGGATCTGAGTTGAAAGCATCTGAAGCTGGTATTGTGGCATCGGATGAGATCTCAGGAATTGCTGGCAATTGTTGCTCTGGGACAGCATATGTTGGTTGTGAAGAAGGTGGTGGTGGGGGAAGCTCTGGAGGCGCAGGAACCAAAGGCTTAAAATGTGATGGCTCCGGATGGTTGAGAGGCATGATGTGGGAAAGAACGGGTACATTTTCATTCGAATTGGCAGGCTTCCGTGTCGTCTTATCCTTGATAAATTGATGTTCCATTCCAGAGACAATAGCCCAATAATTTCCCTTTCCCGGATCGTCCTTTGGTCTCTCTTGCTTGATAAAGGCCTTGTTTAGAGAGAGGTTATGTCGAATACTGTTTTGCCATCCAGCATCTGTGGCCGAATAGAAAGAGTAGGTATCTGAGATCCATTTGTAGATTTGGGCAAGAGTAAGTCGTCGATTTGGTGCTCTCAATATAGACATGCCAATTAATTGAGCATAGCTGTGTGGTGGTTTGGAACCGTCATCGTGAAGAGGTGGAAATGAATCTGGTGCTGGAAGCTCCTTTGGTAAATTCTCTTCTGCTTCAGCTGCTTCTTCATTCTTTGTCTTCTTGAAAGGTCTCGATTCATGTATGGGAGCCGCGTCCATCAATCGTTTCGTGGGCGGCTTCTGAGGATAGAGGCCTTCTAATGAAAAGTTCGACCGCGGTAGTCCCTCGTTATACTGTGGCATGGGTGTTTGGTAATATGTTGACTGTGGGTAATTCTCCTTATCGGTAGATGAACTGTTCGTGAAATCTGTGAAAAGAGCCTTCTGTGGCTTGAACTTTGACATCAACGGTTGCTTCTTTTCCATAGAATCCGTATTGTGTGATTGTCCTTCAGGCGGTGGCATCGAGATAGCATTAAGTTTAGTCCCAAAGGGTGCTCTTGACGGAGAGCTCGATGTTTGGTGGGCTGATTTGAATGGAGATTGCTTGATAGGGCCCGACTGAGGGGGATTGAACACGATATTCTTCCTCGACGCAGCATTCTTTATCGGTCGAAGAGGTGATAACTTCTTGGGCTTCGGATTCTGTGCTGATGGCATAGGGGCTCGGTCAAAGGATGATACTGGATCCTGATAAATCTGCAGCGGCTGCTGCGAATAACGCGTCGACGACATCGTGGGCGGTCCACGACGCGAAGAGATCTCGAAGTTCGGACGAAAGCGTCACCGATTTACGCGTAGAAATACTGTTCGATATATCGAGTTCGTAAAGAGGCTGCAGCATCTGAGGTTAGCCTTATGAAGCACATCAATCTCTGGAAAGACTTTGATGAAGATCGTGTACAGTACTTGGAGGGATGCGTACAGTACCAAGTGGATGCTCAGATGCGCTGGCTGGGGGTGGGCGATCGGATTGTGGAGCGAGATTGCGGTGGATTCCGTTTATGGGCAGAGAAGGAAGCAAGGGCGAATGGTGTCAAAAAGTCTCGATTGTCTTAGAAAAATGTGTAAGAACACAGGAGAAGAGCAAACGGAACCGCTGCTGGTCGAGAATTGAAGTCGGGACTGGATGGACGTTGGGAAGTTTGCCAGAGTGTGGGAGGATGGCAGCTGAAGGAGCAAGCAAAGCGGAGTGGAGTGAGGTGAGGTGAGATACGGCACGGCTACCACGGTTCCAAGCAGAGCAGAGCAGGGAAGCAAGCAGAGTAGGTAAGTAATGGTCGGAGCGTGCAGTAGACAGATGCAGAGCGGTAGAGAAAACTGTAGTGCTGCACGTTTGTATGTAACAGCCGGGAAAGAGGATAAGTTGGGTTGCAGGAGGAGGATGAAGAGGATGCCGGTTGGTTCTTGGATCTTGGCGGCCAGCAAAAAGAGGAGCAACGACGTAACTCTCGTACAAGTTCTCGACCGGCTCTCGACTCTGGGCAAGATGGGGGGCCTGTTCACCAGGTCTAGCGACGAGATACCGGACCTGCCAGGCTGTATCAAGTAAAGGCGCCCCGTCTAGTTTCGACGAATGACTGAAACCTGATCAAGCATTGGCTGCTGGCAAAAGTATCTCAAGTATCTGCCAGAAGAGGCTGCTGGCCGGACGTTTTGAAGCTTCTCGTATCGATGAGGGGAAAGTTTGAGAGTTTCTGGTTTGGGGGGACGAGGTGTGTGTTGAGACGCTCAGCCCTCGAACGAGACCTGCAGCAAGAGGATCGAGAGAAAGTAACCTTCCAATCTACAGTATCTGAATCTCTGATGCCTGGGATTTGCGCTGGATGGGCAGGATGATTGGGTCCGCGGGCTTCCGTGTGAAGGTCGTGATCGCGGTCGTGGAAAACTTGGCTGGCGCTAACTGAGCAAAAAGCGCGACACGCGTTTTTTGTGGTAAACAAAGTTGACGCGTCTTCATCCAATCATATACGAGTAAGAAAACACTGCATGAATGAAGCTTCAAAAAATCCTGAATGGCCCACGACAACATCGACTTTCACACCAAGCATGTTCCCTCCTATTCCTCTGGTTCTATGACTCTATGGAAGCTAAAGAATAGAAAAGAAAAAAAACAGTCACCATCCATCCCCATCTCACCTTCCAAAAAAGCATCTGCTGTCTTCCATCTCCCCACTCTGCAATTTCTCCAAATTCATGCGGAAAGCAATCTTCGCCCACAATCATCGTTGCCCGAGTCCTAATATAAAATTAGATTTTGTACAGCGCATCATGAGTGTACTGTGTGTGCACCGGCAGATGTGCGGTGCGCCGTGACTGTGACCTTTCACATGCCTGGTAGTCCACCAAACCTTGCCAGTGGGATACAGACGCTAGGTTCTTCTTGGTAAGAGAAATGATTTTCGGATGACGACACGAGACAGTGTCGGACTCGCCGGGTGCTGTTGATTTAGGGCTGGCTGCGACTCTGGGTTGGGTTTAGTCTGACGGTTGAGAGAGAGCGAGCTCAGGCCATCCACGTGCAATTTGATACTGTACTTCAAGTCAACTAGAACAAGAGCCTCTTATGAGGCAAGGCTATGAGTTGTGGTATGTTTCTGCAGTAATATGATTCACTATGTAGCCTGGCATAAAAGATACAACCCTTCGTATCTGCAGTCCCTTTCTATCTCCAAAGTCCGAAGAGGTCAAAATCCCACGCCTCCTTTCTCCTGCATCCTAGACATCCACCAACGAACCGTCATCAATAAACAAACGCCTGCCCACTCACACGCCGCCCAATGCATAACCGCTATCTCATAAATTCATCCTCCGTCCTCCCTCATATCAACAGCGAGCCTAACGCCAGAAAGCTCGCAATCGCCAGTATATGCGACGGCAGTGCCTGACTGCCGGTCGATAAATAGTACACAACTCCCGGAAAGTTACAGGTGAGGTTTGTGATCCGACCATTGATGTCCGCTCCTCCGATCGGCTTGAGTCCGTAACTCTCATTGAAGCCGATGTTACCAGGCTGAGGACATTCGAAGCCCAATGCTGCCGGGCAGCTCTGCACAAGATTGTAGCACAGGTCCTCACAAGGTAGGACCTCCTTGTACGGTCCCGGAACGACATTCTGGTCAATAGATGCGTTGCGAGAGCCGTTAAGAGCAGCTGAGTTGTTCACGTATGCTAACGTGGCGGGGTCGAGAAATGTGCCGTTGGGAAAAGGTTGTCCTTGCGCTCGAGGTTGTAGCCAGGAAAGTGTAGAAGAAAAGTCGGTGCAACGAGGAATACCGACTGAACAGAGCCACTGCTTATAAGCAGCATCACAGTCCGAGCAGTTTCGAGCTAGGGAGTATTGAGCAGATGCGGTGGTATCACATGGTGTCTGAGCGCGCGCTTTCTCAAAGAACCCATAGTTGTACAGTGTAGCGTTGTCGTAATAAGCTGCTAGACTGCTCATGTTTGGGAAGTTGTTGGGGTTTGCCGGAACAGAATAGGCAACTTGATCGCAGAATGAAAGGCCATATATCACTGCGCAGTTATCACCTGAGTTGTGTTAGTCTGGCTAGAAGAGAAATGCGCCGATCAGAATCTTACTTTGCAATGTAGAAAAACTAGTCATATGAAAGACTTGGCCTCCACCTCCAACCACTCCGTCCCCTGAAGCAGTTGAATTGCCATTCATTGCCAAAGCAACATTGTAACTCTTGCCAGCACTCAGGCCCGTGACGTAGAATTGCTGTTTGGGTAATGTGCCGCTTCCAATGTCGGTCATGCCGGTAACAATCTGAGTTGAAGTTTGTCCTGCTCTACTCGCAACAATCTGAGCATTGGTCTGCAGACCACAGTAGGAATTCTGAAGTCCCATAATAGAGGTAGAGTCCGTATCACTGGCAAATATCTGAAACGGTGGTATAATATCCATCCACTCCTCGTAAAGCGTAGTATTCGAGGAATTGGAAATCAAGGGATCAGTGAAAAGAAGAGCGGCATTGGAATCACTGTCAACTGTGAAAAGGTTGGGATCGGAGCTGTTCCAGTAATAGTGGTATGGTGCATCGATCGAGGCAGCTATCTGAGCGTTATAAGTTCCGCTCAAGGTTGAATCGTTCTTTGCATAGATCCCCATGAAAACATCGCCAGTGGCGTTCATTTCATAAAGTGCATATCCATTAACCAGCTCCATCATGGTCTGTGAACCTGAATCCTGTGATGGCCCAGGGTTGGTGTTGTTCTGTGACTGCGAAACGTATAGCTGGAGTTGAGGAGGTAGCTCTGTTGTAGTATTTGAGGAAGGTTGAGTACATGTGGTAACGGTGATGTATAATGTTCTCTGACTTGCGGTCGTCGACTGTCGGGGTCTAAGTCTCAATTCTGGGTCTTGCTCGTCCTCGTCCTCCTCATCCTCATCCTCATCCTCCTCGCTAGTATCCAAATCGTCGCCATAAGGAATGAAACTTCTGCCCTGAAGCTGTATTGGAGACGGCAGACCAGATGTTGCTGGTGATTTGTTCGCCCAAAGAGAAGCATTGGTAAACATGTAGGACATCACTTGTCCTTGTGGGATATTCGTCGTAACAGCAACATTGTTGATCAGAGCTGTCGGATCTGTGGTCGCTCTCCCAATGATCCCTCTATCAAAACCGATGAACTCTGCCTCGTAGCTCACCCCTCTAAGGTCAAGTTCTTCGTGATCGAGATCTAGATATGGTCTTTCTAGTAATCTTTCGTGGTTGTGATCCTCCGGTCGTATCGAGTCCACCCCCGCGGCATATGCGAAATGCGGCCATGAAATTGCAAAGTATAGTATCACTAACATCGCAGATGCTATAAGTGAGGCCGCAAGCCTCGACTGAAGCGGACTGAGCTTCGGGAGGGGCATTGCGGTAGTGAGAGCGAGTGGCGCATTGGAGATTTGAATCGGTCGTCGCACAAGGTATCGAGGAGGGCGCTGTACTGACGTGATATGATTAAGGGCCGTATACCATCATCTTGGATGCTGCTAGACCCCTTCAGCGGTCTTTCTCATCGATTCGTCGTCGTTCGTAGCTTGTGAGGTTCGATTTAGAATCTCAAACTCAGTCGATTCCAGTTACTATTTTTAGGCCGAGCGCACGCTAGTCCCAATCAAGTTCTTAATGGTATCAGAATTTCTCAAGCCTCAACTTGACCATGTAAAGCAAGATAAGGTTTTCTTTGAAATGTCAAGCATGGTACTGTAATTTCGTAAACTTCTTCCAAGTTGCTAAGATGTCCGACTTGATTTACGAGTTTTAGCACCCTTGTCTTTCTGATAAAGTTAGAGTAAGGTAACCCACTGGTGGATGATATACCAGAGAAATCGAAATCTTCCCAGGAAGAGGCTCCGAAGGAACCATCCGCTTCTCATTCTTTAGCTTGACATGTCACATCAATCTATATAAATTCGCAAGCATGTCCAGGCTTGCAGAAACTTTGCCGTCTAGTTTTAGCTCCACAGAAGAGTCAGCTACATCACACTCCTTCGAATTCAGTATTCTACTTCATTGTCTGTCCAAGGAAAGGTCATTGTGCATCTTGGATCATCACTATCATTGCGAGTACGCTTACAACTAAGACAAGCTTCACCCGTACCAGAAATGCGGATAAGGGCAGACAAAGTCTGAATTCATGGCCATTCATACACGTAATTTATATAACAATCCATAATGAAACGTCTCCCGGCCCTATGAGATTCGTTCCGAAAGCCGTGATTTCCATTATCGCCTTCGTTGAATGTCCGAAACACCGCCCGCCAAATTTCATGATCGCATACCGCATCTCATTAGTGAGACATCCTCCCACTCTCCCTCCCCTACCCCTCAACCTGCCCACATCCTTCCTTCATATTTGTTCATAGTAGCTGGAACTTCCATTCGTCGACGTCGATAGTAAAATCGAGTTATATAGGCTTTGCGACGGGTGGTGATATTGAATCATCTAGCTGCTTACAAGGTCTTCTCGTCAACCTTGGAGCGGAGGTTGGCTGCGCTCGCACCTGGTCCAGAGAAGTAGCGAGCGAAAACTGGCTGGATGAACGAGCGGAAGACAATTTGGGCGCCACTGACACGAAGTTAATTTCGCAATAGCAAAGTTTCTACTCTTGCAGACTCACCCGGTTTGAGGAAGAGCAAGCCAAAGAACGAGGATGAACTTGAATGTGAAGTAAAATGGGAACCAGTAGACGGCGTTGACGGCGCTTTCAAAGACGGTGAAGAATGCAAAGACAACCCAGTACTGTAATACAATCAGCATACTAATTCCCGAGTAATCTGTGACTCAACTTACTGTAAGCCACTGAGTATCGTCGCTCTTCCCAACGCTGAAGAGCGCTTCGAGGGAATAGTAACCAGGAATCACAAATCCAGCAAGGTTAGTCAAGAGTTGACCACCGATGTTGAAGAAGATGAAGAAGAAGTAGAATGCGATAAGGCCGAGAAATCCGTAGACTTTGGGGAAGCCAGTCTGCCTCTCGAGGTTGTTCAAAGTCTCATATTTGGACAATTCTTTATCAATGGCGGAGATATGATTCTGGGCTTGAACTTGAATGGACGACATGGTGCAGATTTATTGCGATAACTCAGAGCTGTAGCAGACGAAGTTGTGCAGAATGATGAATATGCAGACAGATTATTTGCGTGCGTTGTTAGACAAATGATGGTTTTGTGCGATGGAGAAGGTGCGACGAGAGGTCCGTAGGATGACGACGTGGAGTTGGCAGCCACTAGTGCCGGTTTTTGTTACCTCAGGTTGATCAGCAAAGTGGCTTGATCGAGGGGATCTGGCGAGTCACATGTAAATCACTTTAAATTAATTGTTCGAGACGAGCTTGGGACACTCGAGGGAGTTAATGACTTGGTTCATCTTGGACATTGAGAGTTATAGATTCATGTATTTAGTAGTTTTTACTCTGATTTCAAGAATTTCAAGTTGTGCGCTCCATCGGCGCAAAGTCAATTGTCCAATCTCGAATAGGACTTCACTAGATTGGCCAGTGGAGTGACGACTCACAACGTGCCCCGCAGCACGCAGAAGCCAGAAGACATGTATGAGATTGAATTGTACATTTCCTTTCGTCTCTAAGCCCAGGTGTTTGTCCTACAAAATAAAGAGTTTTCATCTGAACCTCATATGAATTTCATGTTATTTGTTCAGTCAAGTGTTGCTCCTCCTTTTATGGGCTGCCAATAGCAGGGCATATTATCACAACAAAGCCATTGTCCATATGCCCGTTGCCATCGAGGCCAGCACATTCAACGATGGATTTCGAAATTTCATGGGAGACAACGAAGTAGTACAAATCAATAAAGAATCGGTCAATCAATCAACAATATCATTTAGTATTGCAGTGGAAGAAATGTTTGCAGTTTGAAATGTTCGTGGTACAGTACTGTCAGCTGCCTGAGAGCCTAAGAATGTCCCGACCTCCGAGCTAGATCAAGCGAGGGTCGCCGTTGCCATCAACAAGATTGTTTACCAACGAAACTCTGTCATTGACCCTTCACAACACAACGACTCAGCACCACGACGCTGCAGATGAGCTTTGCTACACGCTCATAGATCATTATCTAGTGATATGATCGAATTCTCGACGCGAAAATACCAGGCGCACATCCGGACGCCACCCAACAATTCCTCGGTCGCATATCAACAAAATCCCAGCCACAGAATTTGGGCCCAGCCCACACAGACGATACTTAATCCTCACCGGACGCAATGGGTATGTTACTATCCGACGAGTCTGAGTTGCGCGATCAATTTTGTCAGCTCGGATTGCGAAAGGATATTTGCTAATGACAATGAAACAATGCAGACCAAGCTTCGATAGACACTCGACCTCCCAAACCTCGGTCTAGGTCAAATACTGGGGCTTCAAACAAGAGCAGAAAACGCCCTCTTTCGCGCGCATCAACCACCAGTGTACATAGCGGAGCAACTCAGGCCCCCTTGGAGCAGCAACTCGTAGATCCAGCTGCAGAGTTCCACTGGTACGATCAAAACGCTCATGCACACCAACGAAGATTCGAGTCCTTGAATCACCAAATGACTCCCGAGGAAACCATCATCCATTCCGCATCCCAGCTCCAGAATCCTCGAGATTATGACATAGATCCTGCGCTTGGTGGAGTTCCACATCATCCTATGTCTTACGGTCCCGAAAGCCAATATAAGATGGAAAATGGACGGCAATCAATGCCGACAGAAGTGTATGGTGCGAATTATGGCGAAGTGGATAGCCAGGTCATGGAACGCAGTGACGAGCAAGATGATGTCGATTCGGTTGCAGGAGCCAGTGCGCCTACGAAGAAAGCATCAAAGTCGAGTGCCGCAAATGAATTGGAGATGAGACAGCTTTTCCAAGCAAACAAGCATCGCAGTTTACCTGAGATAGCTACTGAGCTTCATGGGAATGAAAGGGGACCGCAATCTGAACGCCAGCGACAAGTCTTTGCTATGCTTTGGTACGTAATGAAAATGCTGCCTTTGCTCATGTCATGGTAGACTAACGGATGAGATAGGATCAATCAGGTGTGTTCGAATGGCAAAGGCTCCGTACCTCGCGGTCGAGTATACGCAAACTATGTTTCAAGATGTGCTACCGAACGAGTTACGGTCCTCAATCCTGCCTCGTTCGGTAAGCTAGTCCGTGTATTGTTTCCCGGGTTGAAAACGAGAAGACTCGGAGTCCGCGGCGAGTCTAAGTATCACTACGTGAACTTCAGCCTCAAGGACGATCAACCAGAATTGAATACTGCTCAAAAGCAGCAACCCGTCCCAAGCTTCAATCAGACAGACAGTTTTGCGACGACATTCAAGTAAGCCCATCTTCACTTCTAGGACAAATTCGTCCTTGCTGACTTATGGAAGCAATAGCATGATGTCCCAAGCCCAATACCCCGTGGACCGGGCAGCATTTCCATCTCCTGAGATCCCTCAGATGCCAGAACCCAAAGCTCAACGATTAGAGGGATTTGTCAGACCGCACAGTCTATATCATCAGCCAGAACTCCACAGCATTCCCCAGCTTGAGAGTACTACCTCGAAAATGGCCCAACGCCTTCGGTTCGCACCCCTAAGCGAGCCAGCTTCAGAATACGAGTCCCTTTCGCTGCCAAACATTGAGCCTCACGTTCCTACTGGCACAGATCGAGACTCTGCTACAGCTCTAAGTGCTCTCTACCGCTCTCATTGCACGTCCTTGGTCGATGCCTTACGATTTTGCAAAGAGAAGACCTTCTTTCACCTATTTACATCTTTCCATGGCACACTCACAATGCCAGTACAAAAACTTTTTGCTAATCCCAGTATCGCTCCATGGATCGAAGAATGTGACTTTCTAATGTACCAGAAAATGATGCGAGTCGTCGCCCCGCTCACTCTTCAGGTCGCTCCAAAACCCGTGCTGGACACTTTGAAGAATATTTCAGAGAGACTGGTCTCACACATCCAAAGCTCATTCCACGGTCACCCGAATCATGTCATCCAGGCCAAAATTGCACCAGCAACCCTTTTCGCCGGTCTATTGGACCGGGAATTGCGAGTCAACTTGACAGCACATGCTGCTGCCAATATGTTATCCAATCCGGCAAATCGTGATCAGATGTATGAGGATTGGATCACTCAAGTTCGGACCAGGAAGATTGCCGAATGTGTGCCTACACGTGGTATGGACGATGTTGTCAATCTACTCCTCACAGAGCTGCGAGACCTTTTAGACCCGGTTGGTGTGCCATGGGAGTTAGAAGGACTTACGCCCTATGGGGAGATGGCTTTGCGAACAGGTCGTCAACAACAGGCTAGCATACATACGGACTCTTCTACTGAGAATGTCTTGGATCGCTGGGTCAACTTTCTCTTGTCACTGCCAGGCAAATTCCCGTACGCTACACATGCAGAAATTGTATGGTGTGTGCAGAGCGTTGGCACTGCCGTGATGAGAGATATCACAATTGCACAAGGGAAGAGCTTCGGCGCTTGGTGGGTGACTAAGTGTTGGATTGATGAGATGATCGCTTTCATGGCCGAGCAAGGCGGATTCATGGAGTACAAAACTTCTCAGTCTGTGCGTACCGAGCATGGTCAACAGAATGCTCCAAGCAGAGCCACCAGTCATCATGAGAGCAGGTACAGCAGCGGTAGTGACGAATTCCTTCAGGAGAACGGACATCTCGATGGAAGCACGGTGGTACCACGACCAATGGACTTGACAAGCCAAGCTGCTATCAACGCTGCTGCTGGTCACGATGACAGTGGTATCAGTATGCCGACTCCTGAGGATGACTTTTCGACTATGGAGAAGTATCAATTTCGTCAAAGCAGCTCACATCCTGCCGCAATGACTAATGATACAAATCACGGATTGTCACTAGCATCACTGGTGTAAGCATCTATTTCTCGGAGGCCTTCCTTCATTGTTTAGGGTCATGGCGTGGTATTCTTGCTTGCTTGGGAATATACGACGGGTTTGACTGGACAAACCCTTTACGACGTGGACGATTAAACGACTGGGTTGTAGAAGGGTATTCTCCGGTGTACATTGGGTTAGGGTATATGTTTTTGTATTAGGCAGACCTATCTGCATTGATCTTATAGTGCTATTGGATTATTGCTTTTCAACGCATTTCTGCTTGGCGGTTCTAGGAAAGAGTAACCAGCCAATTGCCATTAACTTGGGTGTATTGGACATTCTGTATCTAGGATTAGCGAATAGCTGTGAGGCGCACGGCAAGCCGAAATATGCATTTTTATCTATCACGACTGCTGCTCTCTGTATGATCACTGGGAAGTGGGAGGAGAAATCTTTACTTCGCAACCCGATATCGCAAGCGAAGAAAATTCCGATGCTTGAAGCGCAGCGTCTGGCATCCAAACGCTCTGCCACGTCTCTGTTTAATGCTATACAAGTCATCAAATTCATCAGACCTCCACATGCAGTACGGTCAGAGTCAGAAGCTAGCGAACACTGCTTGAATGAAAATGAAACTCCCTACCTCTCTCTTATTTCACCATGAAGGAAACTTTACAAACTTACACAACCTTGACTCACATCTCCAGTCCATAAAACAGACTCATCTCAGGAACGAGTACGTTACGCGAAGTCTCGTCTCCCCTGTTCCTGAAGATCTGAACCCTGGGGTTTTCGTCCCAAAAACTCTTATCTTAGCGTTATTCCCTAGCCGATCTCGCGATTCCCGGCTGTGAGACCCGAAAAATAATTTCCAGAGTGACTCTTCAATTCCTGAACATAAATACGACCTTCTTTGCTTTCCCACATTTGCTTACTGCAATTGCAAACTCTCGCTACATACAGGATTAAATACGCTCTCTACGACCATTATTTCAAGAAGAATAGGCTTGGAGGATGAGTCCGAACGGGCAGACGAATGGCGTGGTGGTGAGGGGTGGTCGCACAGAGGGAGGGGCAGAGAAAGTACAATTGCTGAAGAGGAGGAATGATAGTGAAGGAGGATGGATTGTGCAGAAATTTGGGGGGACGAGTGTAGGCAAATTCGCAAAAAATATCGCTGAGGATATTGTGAGGTATGTTCGCTGACAATCGCGAGATGCAGGCGTAGTGGGGTAGAGGGGAAGAGAAAAAGGAAGCATGCAGAGCGGGAAGATGTGCATTGGAATTTCTGCTAATGGATCTACTGCATACAGGGCCAGTCTGAAGAACAATAAGATTGCAGTTGTTTGTTCGGCGAGGAGTACGGGGAAGAAGGTCGAGGGTACTACGAGTCGGTGAGCAAGTTACGAACACTATCCCACCAGCAATGCTAATTGCCAGTTCGCAGATTACTAGAAATCTTCGGTGTCCTCGAGGAAGTCAATGCGATCAAAGATACAGAGTCGGTGCACTACGAGAGTCTAGTCAATGAGTACGAAAGACTAGTATACGTGATTCGAGAAGATCACATCAGCGCAGCGAAATCTTCCATACAAGACAACACCATACAAGCGAACCTCATAAAAGAGATCGAGAACGAATGCAATGAGCTTATAGATTACAGAGCCGCGGCTGAGAGGTGGCACCTGGAGATCAATGGCAGGAGTAAGGACCGTATCGTCAGTTTTGGGGAGAAGCTCAGTTGTCGATTCGTGGCTGCTTTGCTAGAAGACCGAGGAGTCGAGTCTGAATTCGTCGACTTGTCGGATGTCATACATTTCAAGGCCCTGAAGGGCCTAGATATGGAGTTTTACCGATTGCTCGCTGCTGAACTGAGAGAGAAGATCTTGGCTTGCGAAAAGCGTGTGCCCGTCGTTACAGGGTATTTTGGCGCCGTGCCAGGTGGATTGATGGATGGCGAAATTGGGCGAGGCTATACCGATCTCTGCGCTGCTCTTATTGCTGTGGGCATGAAGGCAGAGGAGTTACAAGTCTGGAAGGAAGTCGATGGCATCTTCACAGCCGACCCTACGAAGGTCCCTACAGCTCGATTGTTACCGACCATTACTCCATCAGAAGCAGCAGAATTGACATTTTATGGCTCAGAGGTCATTCATCACCTTACCATGGACCAAGTCATCCACGCCACACCACCAATACAGATACGTATCAAGAACGTCAAAAACCCTGTGGGCAGCGGTACTATCGTCCTTCCAGATGCGAAATCTAATACCACACATCTCTCACATTCAAGAAGCTCAAGCAGTTTCTCGTCGTTGACGAGGAAGACACCCAAGAGACCTACAGCTGTTACTATCAAGGACAAGATTTCGGTCATAAACGTCCACTCGAATAAGCGGTCCATCTCGCATGGTTTCTTCGCAAAAGTCTTCTCTATTCTTGACAGAAAACAGTTGTCGGTTGACTTGATCTCCACCTCGGAAGTACACGTGTCTATGGCTATCCATTCTGCGAATCTTTCGGACGAAACTCTAGCAAAAGTAAAAGAGGAGCTAGAAGAGTGTGGAGAAGTCAGCATATTGAGCAAGATGGCTATCCTGAGTCTCGTGGGTGCGGAGATGAAGAATATGATTGGTATCGCAGGACGCATGTTCAGCACACTTGGTGAACACAACGTCAACATTGAGATGATATCACAAGGTATGTCTTTTACAACACTGTACTTGCTTTCAGCTCCTCCGATTCATTGAAGTAGTATCATCTGCTAACATTCATTTGCCAGGTGCCAGCGAAATCAACATTTCTTGCGTGATAGATGCATACGAGGCCACACGAGCCATGAACATACTGCACACTAATCTTTTCACATTCCTCGAATAAAACTTAAAGGAAGAGGTTACCAAAATGGTTCAAAATTTGGATGCATTTCCGGACTAGGGCGTTTAGCATTCCAGGAGAGGAGCATTTCTTGCCTACAAAAGGCAATTTCTTTTCTGCATACAGATGAAAACCAGGTGTTCATACGATCGATTCTTGCCTTCTTGTTCATACTTGATGTTTATAACTTCCTAGAACAAGATTGATGGTTCCAAAAAGACTCTCTTTTGACAAGATGTGAAACTTATTTGCTAATGAGAAACAGAACTCGCATACACGACAGTGCAAACACAAACACGAAATTTATCCTATCACGAGCCCTCCATCTGATCTCCTTGCTTCTCAGAACGAAGTCTCTTTTCGTCTGATGTTTCTCGTCCCACTGTCTCAGACAACCCCGCCATTGCGGCATCTTGCATGGCGATCTCCGAACACGAAGTTTTGTGGCAAGGTTTCTTCCCCTCGCAGCACATCCAATGTTCCTCTCTCGATTCTCAAAGCAGCTTGCCGTCACCTAAAGTGATAGAAGTCCGTAAATCTCAAGATTTTGAGTTCAGGTGGTACAGAGTGGCAGAAAGCATTGGGTTTGAGTGCCTACCAGTGTAAAATTCCAGTGGAGTATGGCGCGTTGGAATGTTACGAACGTTGAGAAGGAGTGAGAGAAATATTGAAAAAGGTCCTTTATCTCTCTGTATCCTCTCCATTCGTTTCTCATTCAAACGCTCCCAATACATCAAAGTTAAGGTCACGACTTCCAAAATGCACTTCACCTTCTTCTCTCTCCTAAGCACTTGCTTCCTCCTCCTCCTTCAACTCACAGCTACCCGCGCTTCCTCTCCAACCTCTATAAACAACAAAACCCCAACACCAACCTACCCCTTCACTCTCGCCGCCTTCTACTCCCCCTACCCACCCGGCTCCAACGCAACCGGTTCCTATGGTGTGAGCGGGATCTGCGTCCGCGCATTCGGCGGCTCCTTCTGGGTCAACTCTCAGAACCAGAAACCCGCTACTAGTTGCGGAGATTTGAGAGGGAAGGCTTGTCCAGCCGGGAACGAGACGGTGCTTTTCGTGGATGCGTTTGGGCAGGCTTGGTTGGTATGTGGCTCTACCCATTGGGGTCCTTTAAAAAGGCTGATGGGTGACGATAATTAGGATTCTGCGGAGCCGCAACAAGTGTACCTCGATACTCGAACCGGCGTCTTGAGTTATGTGACTTCGGTCTCTTCTCCTGCGAATACGATGAGTTCTGGGGCGTTGGTATTGAACTTTCTGCATCTGGGTCAGGGAACTACCGTTGCGGTTCCGATCCCTGGTGAGCCGGGCTATTATAACACTGGACCTGGTAAGTCTCTCGTCCTCTTAGAGATGTGTGCTGATGAATCGGGTCTGAAGGTTCTTTTAATTGGGGTGGAAGTGATAATAGCTATTGGTTTCTGTGTCCTAGACCGGGACCGGGATATCAGGTTATGAAGTATGTTGGAGGGAATGAGAATTGGAATTTGTGCTTGAGTGGAATTCAGTTGGTTGCTTTGGATTGGGCGGGAAGTGGACCCGCTGCTGGGGAGTATCTTTGAAATGTGAAAGGGGGAATCGTGGGATTGGATGAATGAGTAATGATGGGAGAGATGATGTGATGACTATGAGAAGCTTTTTGTGATATCCGAGGACAAATTGATTTTTGACAATGGAAATTCATACACTTCATACCTGGTTTGAAAGATCTGATTGAACGAAGGAGCCTGAGAGGATTGGAACAGGAGGATAATTAATTTCTAGTTGAATCTTGCGTTGAGTGTCAAGATGTTCTCGAAATCCCCAAATAGTTATATCATGCTAGAACATGTCGATGGCGTTTCTATAGAAAGCCGTTGTCACTGTATGATTTTGGTACACCTGTTCCTCCATTGTTCTGCACAAGCTGGGACACTTGCTCGCAACGCAAAAGGGGTCTCGGCTCGGCTGGTGGCTGACTCAGCCACATTTCGCCACATCTTTGAAAGTTCAGCCTCGCCTTCTCTCTAATTGATCTTCCCCTCGACGTTCATCCCCTCGACGCTCTTCTTCCCTTCGACGCTCTTCCCTTCGACGCTCTTCCCTTCGACGCTCTTTTCTCCAGCAACTCACATCACCAACGATCAAGATGCCGAAAGCAGAAGCAGGATCAACGAAATACCTAAACAACAAGCTCAAGTCCAAAGGACTTCAGCGTTTACGATGGTACTGTCAAGTCTGCGAGAAGCAATGCCGTGACGAGAATGGCTTCAAAATGGTTTACATTACTCAGTAACATCTTTAATATTCAATAACTAAAATTAGTATACAGCATTCTCAAAGCGAGTCCCATGTCCGACAAATGCTCCTCGTTGGCGCAAATGCGAGCAAATTCATCAATGATTTCAGCGGCCAGTTCCAGCGCGACTTCCTGCAACTTCTGCGAACATCCCATGGCGAGAAACAGGTCCATCTTAATCACTTCTACCAAGAATATATCTCGAACAAAGAGCACGTTCATATGAATTCTACAAAGTGGCCGTCGTTGACGGAGTTTGCCAAGTTCTTGGGCAGAGAGGGTATCTGTAGGGTAGAGGAGAATGACAAAGGTCTTCATGTTGCGTGGATCGACGACTCCCCCGAGGCGTTGAGAAGGCAGGATGCGATCAGGAAGAAGGAAAGGCAGGATAAGGGTGACGAAGAGAGAGAGCAGATGTTGATTCGAGAGCAAATACGAAAGGCTCAGCTGGAAGCAGAGGCAAAGGGAGAGGGAGAACCTGAAGATGAGGAGAGGGAGCTGAAGCGTGCCGAGGGGGAGAAGATCAAGTTGAGCTTCGGCGCAAAGCCTACAGCATCAAAGCCCGAAGAAAGCAAGCAGAGTACTGGTTCGCCCCCATTAGCTGCTACAGACTCGCTCGAGTCCAAAGAAGGGGGGAACAGTTCGGAGAAGGAGGGAGACCTGTCGAAAGCTCCAGCACCCGGAAAGGTATCGCTGAAGATGGGTATATCCAGCAAACCGAAGAATGTGTTCGCAGCGGCCAAAAAGAACGCTCTTGGGGGGAAGAAGTCTCTTGCAATTGAGCAACCCAAGAAGATGAGCGAAGCGGAGCGTATCATGAGGGAAGAGATAGAGAGAAATAGCAAGAGAGGCGCATCTGGATTCGGTGGTCCTTCACAGAAGAGACAAAAGTTCTAGAGTCGCAGTCATGGTCACGGTAGCATCGCATTGGCGCATGGGTTATGGGGTTGGACGAAATCGGCGTTGCTTCGATACCATTTGCATTGTTCTGTGGAGAAATAAAATAATTCTCAAATGTCCGTCCTTGACTCCATTGACTCCGTGCCGCTTTTCCATTCACAATGTCTCAATTCTACGCAGCAAATCCCCAGCCCAACCATGTTCCTCATCAGAGAGTCCATTCCACTCTAATCCGCCTCCGTAGCACTTCCGTCCCTCCTGTACAATCATCAGCCCAGCATTTACCACTAATCTTAGAACACTCACGGGATATACTTAATCCTCGCCTCATCCTCCATAACCGCCACAACCTCATCCGGCAACTGCCCACTAACCTTCGTAGCATACACACCCTTCACATACCCATCCAACCGCTGCCATTTTGCGACCCAGCTCCGACTCGGATCTGCGAGCGAGATCAGCCCTTCGAAGACTTGTGATGTGCAGTCGACTATGGCGTCCATGGAGCCTTCGAGATGGAGAAATTCTTCGCAGTTGGGACATCCTTCTTTGAGGAATCGCTAGAGGTGCTGTTAGTATTGTTTGTAAGGTGAAGGGGAGGAGGATAGGCTTGCGTTCTGGGTCATGACGATGGAGCAAACCATGCAGGCGCGGAGGTTGCGCTGCTGGCCTGGGGCAACGAAGTTGTCGGTCATTTTGCCTCCTAGGGGTTGTTTGAGATGCTGAATACGATTTTCTTTTCGAAAGCGTGTACGCGATTTGAGAGTATTTTGTAGGAGGGTTTGGGCAGAATGGACTTGTTGTTTCTTTGAAGATGTTGTTTGAATTCCAGGTACAAGTCGCGAGGCTGAGAAAAACACAGTCAAGTGATCTCTACAAGCCATTTCATTGGCTCGTGCGTAAGGCTGACAAAGCTCAACTTTCAAGGCGTGACAAACGCTCAACCATCAATGCCATAATGGGCCTGAAGACAGACATTATTGTGCTCTAAATGAGTTCTGGGGTCTTTTCGTTCCCATCTTATATATGGAAGCTTTTATGAAGTATTTCGAATGGTATCGACTTCCCGCATTGTTTGGTATTGCTTCAATCTCTTCATACTTAGCTAGTGCTGAGGACATGAGATAGCCATACAGTATTCTGAATGACTGATTTTCTGATACCGTGGGTAACTCTCCTTGAATCTACAGATATTATTCTGATTTTTAGACAATTCTCCATAACAAAATCTTCTTAGCTCCTCAGCGATGAATGCTTCTATTCGACCAGGGGCTGCAATAGATTTGGAATTAGGAGATACACATCCTACTAGATTTAATCTTCGTATCCGAATTAGCTCTTCGTATGAGTGAGTTAATTTTTGTTCGGAATATATCACGTGTTGCTTGTATACCTGCAACATTCGATTTGAAGGATCTGACAGACCTTTTACCAGCCGACTCGGCCAATCAATATGGGATCGATCACCTTACCGGATTTCCCCCAACTTAGGGAGCCATAGATGGGCAGCAGATAAACTTTTGAACCGGAATTGGTAAGATCTTACCTGTAGAAATATTGCTTCTCGAATGCATCGGCCCTGCTCGACATTCCGGGCTCTTTGCCTACTATGATTCCAAACCAGCTACCCCACGGTCGGCTCGTGTGGCGTAGCAGCGAGTCTTTCCCTCAGGATCCTCGACCCCTCACTCGAGATCGTCGACCCTGTTGTCTCCTGTCATGAGGTGGACGCCGTCTGAACTTTTCTCCAGATCTTGGCTTGATGTTGATTCCACCAATCACGATTCTGCGATGTTGCGGCTCTGATTTCCTTTTCCGATATTGGTAGCAACCGGACCGTCTATTCCATTCAATGGACTCACCTCAGAAGCATAAAAGATACCCGCAAGTCACCAACCAACCGCGCGCCTATGGCGCAAAAGTGGCGTTGATTAACGGTTGGCGGTCCCGGATACCGCAGACTAGGGAAACACTCAAGATGCTAGCCCCAGTCTCCTCATGCTTGCCTCTTTTCTGCATACGAGATGCGTCGTGTGCTGATCTCGGCCGTCGCCCACACGAAAGAACCTAGCGAAGACGGCGGGAAGAACATTAGAGCTCAGCTCTCTATACAACTCGGCCCGAAAGGGACAGACGAGCATCTCGACCTAAACAACTATCAAAAGCCTCTGAGCTTTGCAAAGTGTCAGTGCACCAGCAACGACATGCAGCCAGCCGTCTTACGATGGCGTTTTCTCTCTTTCTGTCAAAGTTCATCGGGTCACAACTTGTGGGGGATCCCGATGGATCTCGACCTCTATATTCAGGGGTAGCTCGTCTAGATTTCCTGATTGAGACTGCGGAGGGCTACATTCCGCTGTCGTTTGGCTCCAAAGATCATCCCAACCCCAGATTATACCCCATGAAACTTTCTATCGATACACGATTGGGCGACCTAGACCACAGATGTCCTGCGAACTGAACTGGGATCTCTGGCCGTCCTCCGAAACACTCGCAGCACCTTGTCCAATTAGCAAACTATGCCCTTACTCTCACATCATTTCCGTCGGTTTATCATTCATAGTGCACTCATCTACCCCAAATGACTTGTTCCAACACCCATAACCTCGGCTGCATTGCATTGCATGGGGTTGCATGGGGTTGCAATGTTGTCTATTAAGAGGGACAGTATGCCCTTGAGATACAGACCTTTCTATTCCTCAACCCATCGTTCTCTTTAGACGACTCAATTCAAGGCTCTTCGTGAGTACTGGTTAACTCTTCTGAATTGTATTTGGCTACGATTTCAATATGTCGGAGAAGCAGGTCCACGACATTTCGGCCGTCGACCATGTCGACGACACGCTAGAGAAGCCAGAGGCGGTGCAGACCAAGATTGTTATGGGCGATGAAGGCTTCAATCAGGCAATGCTCAAAGAGCCCCCTTCTCCATTCAACGTCATTGCGCTCCAGCTCTACATGATCTCTGTTATCGGCTTCTGTTGTTCGACTTCCAACGGATTCGATTCCTCCCTTTTCGGCTCTCTCCTGGCCAACAAGTCCTTCTTGAACTTCTTTGCCGTGGGCTCCGTCGGTCTCAAAGCTGGTATCGTCTCCTCCATGAATCAAATAGGCGCTGTTGTATCGCTTCCGTTCGTTGGTCCTGCTATTGATACCTTTGGCCGAAAAGCTGGCATGTTCATTGGTGGTTCAGTCATCATACTCGGTAGGCTACCTTCATGCTACTTTGTGCACCTAAATCGAATTAGCTTCAGGTCTAACACACTTTCTAGGAGTTATCATTCAAGGAACTTGTATTCACACTCATAGCGTCGGTCAATTCATGGCAGGGCGATTTTTTATGGGCATGGGAATCAATCTCATCTCCGCAGCTGGTCCTGTCTACGTTGTTGAAGTCTCCCATCCAGCATATCGTGGAATTGTAACAGCCTTGTACAATGTGTTTTGGCCTGTTGGTGCTCTTGTTGCCAGTTGTGCTTGCCGAGGAACCATCACATGGGGCAACAACGCATCATGGATCCTACCCATCTGGCTACAGATGATGTTCCCCGGCGTCGTCTGGGTCTTTGCTTATTTCCTCCCTGAGTCTCCTCGGGTAAGCTTCTTCACTTTTCACTTTCTCTGTTTGTTATGTTCCATTCGTGTGGCTGACCAAGTTGCAGTGGAACTACACCAACGGCAAGGCAGACAAAGCGAAGGCTTTTCTCACTAAATATCACGGCAATGGCAATCCTGAGAGCGAATGGGTTAAGCTTCAGATGTGGTATGTTCCCAATTCATAACTCCTTTCCCACAACCAAACTCAGTCACGAAATACGCCTCACTCCCAGCCCCATGTACTAAATATCACTTAGGGAATATGAGGCGTACCTAGAGCTTGAAGGAGCAGATAAGCGTTGGTGGGATTACCGCGCGCTTTTCCGTGACAGAGCCTCCGTCTATAGACTTATGAGCAACTGCCTTGTTTCTCTCTTCGGCCAATGGGCAGGAAATGGTAAGTCATCTTCGTGGGATGTCGAGTTTTACCAGTGGAGAATCAATTTTTTGGAAGGAACATGATGCTAATAGACCTCGATAGGTGTTGTGTCTTATTTCCTCGCCGGTGTTCTCGATACTGCAGGTGTCAAAGGTATGTCAGAGCACACCCTCCTTTCATTATTTGAAGCAACGACACAAACGATCACATTCTACTAAGCTTGCGAGAGCTCTGCTGACCTCTATTCTCTCATCTATAGACCCTGTCATTCAAACCGATCTCTTCACTGCTATGAACGCAGTCCAGGTCATATTCGCCGTCCTTGGCAGCACATTGGTCGACAAAGTTGGTCGTCGCCCACTTCTCATCTGGGTCAACGTTGGCTGCGCGGTCTGTTGGATCGGTGTCTCTACAGCTTCTGGAATTCAAGCATCGAGAGGCGATAAAGCGTCTAGTGCTGCTACAGTAGCAATGATCTACATCTTCCAGGTCGTTTACTCTGTTGGTTGGACTCCCTTGCAAGCACTATACCCTGTAGAGGTTCTCTCCTTTGAGATGCGTGCCAAGGGAATGGCGTTCTCTGGTTTATTTGTCAATATTGGTGAGTCTTAACCAGTCCTCAAACATGCTCCAAGGTCATTTGCTAACAGTCCCAGGTACTCTTGTCAACCAATTCGGATTCCCCGTTGCGCTTGCAAATATCAAATGGAAGACATACCTTGTATTCATGTAAATTCAAGTATTTCCTTTGCCAACTTTCTGCTATCGAAACCTTTTCACATTAGCAATTACTGACATGTGATATCAGGGTATGGTGTGCCATCCAAGCAATCATCATCTACTTCCTCATCCCCGAAACCAAGAACCGCACACTAGAAGAGCTAGACGAGATCTTCAAGGCCAAGAATCCAATGAAGGCATCTATTGCCAAGAAGAAGGTCAACCTCGATGCCGATGCCAACATCATTGGTGTGGAAGATCTTGATGGATCCGACGTCAAGGCTTAGTCTGGGCGATGAATTAATTAGAGATGGCTTTTGGTGGAAAGGGGTAGAGAAGAAGGGAAGATTTCGGAGGCAGATTTGTCCATCGTCTTAGCTACGAGACTTCTATGAGATTTTAATTTCGTGCTCTTCGTCTGCAATCAATCCTCATGATATACTACTTGTGATGGAACTGCCAAATGTCCCAATTTCAGCTGGACAATTATTTTCGAAAGCAATCCCAAGGCGAAGTGACAAGTAAAAGGATAAAACAAGAAGAAAAGTGAGCAAAAACCTAAACAAAAATACCCCCTTGCACGAGTACATACATGGCCCAAAAAAACTTACATGAAGTATTCTCTACATGAGGGAAAGCTTGTGTTGGCTCTGGTAACTTAAGATCAGCGTCTTTGTACCCAAGATCTACATTAGTTGTGTTGTAGTTTGGAGAGTCATTTCGTAGCATGTATAGACAGATTCGTAGTATGCGTTTCCGTCACATTGAGTGTTTGAAAGTCCCCTAGAACCTGCTGATTCGAAAAGGCGGACATTCAGATAGCATTATAGTCACTCAATTGCTTTCTCAGTGTCTTCAAAGTGTCTTATGCTCTCCAAAATAGTGACTGGGCATACTTATCACTGACATACATAATATTCACATATAATACACCCATACAATACAAATCCCCTACTCACGCATCAACATCCCCACCAAATCCCACGGGTCTCCTCCTCCCACCACTCTCCGGCACAATCGCCATAGCCTTATAAACTTTCCCCATTCCACTCCCTCCTCTATCAACCAACCTCTTCCACGCCCCCTCAATCCTCGTCTTTTCCTCCTCTCCTTTCAAGCCCTCCATCAACATCTCAGCCCTCTCCTTAATCCCCATAGCCTGCAAAAATGCTCCCTGCTCCACCGCTCCATGGACCTCTACACCAGGACTAGCACCCAGAGCCGCTTCAGCTAGAGCAGTGAAATCCACATCTGTCGAAAGATCGACGAGTCCCGGCCAGCTGAGAGGAGAAACTCGTTTGTGTTCTCGGATACCCCGTAAGGAGTTAGTGGGGATCGTGCCAGCTGGTCCGTAATCGAGGATTATGGCTGCTCCTGATGGTGTTTGTTTGGGTTCTTCTTTGGAGCCTCCTATTCTTTTGGCGAATTCTTGGGCGTAGGCGTGAGATTCGGGGGATATTTCTATCAGGGAATCGGGGGTGGATTTCAGGGCTCGGTAGCGGGGTGATATCTCGGGGAGGTAGAGACTGTGTGGAGTTGATGCTTTTGAAAGTGTGAGCTGGAAATCTGGAGGTGGGTTGGAGGATTGTTGGGATTTGGGAGTGTTAAGAGTGGTATGTGTCGAGCTTAGAGGAGTTGGTGAAACGACCATTTCTCGCCATTGTGGACCTTTGGGTTGCCTGGCAGAGGGAGAGAGTTCGTGTTGTCCTGTTGGTGTTTGGATACTCTCTTGAGATGAGTCTGAAGGTGCTATTGATTGGAAAGCATGAATCGGGAGAGCATCGAAGAATTCGTGAGCTACTATGAAAGGACTTTTGTCTTGAACTGATGGCACGTGAGCAAGATTTTGTGGAAAGGAGAAGAGCTGGCTGACCTGATGGTACAAATTTTATATTCTCTGTCCAGATGATAGGAAGATTTGCATGCTTGCTTATGCTTTGATGTCCAATAGATGTCTCAGTCATTGGACTATCTCCACATAGAAGCTGCTTCTGAGCTTCTCGTAGAGATGGACTCGCTTCTACCAGGTATACAGCTTCTATACTAGATGCCATTGGTTTGAAATTTCTTATTGTCTACATATTCTATCAGCAAGAGGCTTCCGTAGTGTATGCCAGGTTTTAAACATACTCGCAACATATCATCCATCAAAGTGCCTCTTCCAGGACCTATCTCAACCAACTCCACACCCTTGGTCTTCCTTCCTTGTGCCATCCATTCTGCCACAAACCAAATACCAATAAGTTCTCCGAAGATCTGAGATATTTCAGGCGACGTAACAAAGTCTCCTTTTTGCCCAAATTGGTCTCGTCCTTCTTGGCTGGACATGTAGTATCCTCCCAAATCCGATGTCAAACACATTCGCATGAAAGATGCTAACGGAATCGGACCTGTGGCCTGTAATGATGTTAGATGTATCCTACATATCAAAGACAAAGGGTATAGGTACTGTTATAGCTTCAGAGAGCTGTTTTGCAAGAGGCGTAGACCATTGTCGTTCCTCCGAAGACGACCACCTCACAGCAGTACATGGAGCTCTGTAATTCCAACGAGGAGCACTGCGTAAAGCAGTTCTCGCCTGCTTGCATACGATTGACCTCATTTTGGCCTTTCAAGATTGTTACCGTCCCATCTCAATCTGTCTATATTTTTTTGGTCCAGAAGTTGTAGCTCGGCTGAAGCTCTACCCAAAAAAATATCTCGGATCTCGACAATGACGCCGCTCGATAACAAAACAACAATAACAACACAATCACAAATGCTACCACGATGAGCACGAAACAGAAATCCCGCTGGGCAGACGACGAAGAAGATGCCGTGCTCGAAGCTCAGCGCAAGAAAGAAAAGGAAGAAAAGAAGCGCGCAAAAGCTGAGAAGCAGCGACGCGCAGATGAAGCAGCTGCCCTCCGAGCAGCAGAACTTCAAGGTGAAGCTGCGGCCGTCGCAGACTCCTCAAACAATAATACAGAGCTCTCTTCTCGGCCTGCTAAACGGCGGAGAATATCGCCAGAGATTGAAGGTGTGAAGGTGGAATTGCCTCCGGCGAAGCTGTTAAGGTTTCCCAGTCCGGAATGGAAGAAATGTCGCAGTGTGGAGGATTATGAGAAACTGAATGATATTGAGGAGGGTGCTTATGGATGGGTTTCTAGAGCGAAGGATTCGAGGACGGGGAATGTGGTTGCGTTGAAGAGGTTGAAAATGGACAATGCGAACGATGGGATACCTGTTACTGGCTTGAGGGAGATACAGACTTTGATGGACTGTGAACATCCCAATATCGTTGCTCTACAAGAGGTCGTTGTTGGGGAGGATACGAGTAAGATTGAAAAGTACGTCTCTATTCCCATTATATTCATGAAGATGTCCATACTAACACTCTCCAGTATCTTCCTCGTCCTCGACTTCCTCGAACACGACCTCAAAACCCTCCTCGAAGACATGTCCGAACCCTTCCTAACCTCAGAAATCAAAACACTGCTACACCAACTAACCTCTGGCGTCTCCTATCTCCACCAAAACTGGATCCTGCACCGCGATCTCAAAACCTCCAACCTTCTCCTCAACAACCGCGGCGTCCTCAAAATCGCAGATTTCGGCATGGCCCGCTACTTCGGCGACCCTCCCCCCAAAATGACCCAGCTAGTAGTAACCCTCTGGTACCGGGCTCCCGAACTATTGCTCGGAGCGGAGCGCTATGGGACACCGGTAGACATGTGGTCCATCGGCTGCATATTCGGGGAACTCCTCACCAAAGAACCTCTACTGCAAGGGAAAAATGAAGTCGACGAACTCTCCAAGATCTTCGAACTCTGCGGAATACCCACAGAAGAAACCTGGCCAGGCTTCAAGCGCCTTCCTAATGCACGCTCTTTACGTCTTCCCCAGAACCCCGTCTCTCAGGGCTCGGTGCTTCGAGCTAAGTTCCCGTTTTTAACTAAGGCCGGGAGTCAGTTGCTTATTGATTTACTGGCTTTGAATCCGGGGAAGAGACCGAGTGCGCAAGAGGTGCTGGAACATGCGTTTTTCAGGGAAGAACCTAGAATGAAGAGCGCGGAGATGTTTCCTACGTTTCCGAGTAAGGCGGGGCAGGAGAAGAGGAGGAGGAGGGGTACACCGAATGCACCTATGCGAGGCAATGTGCCCGAAATTAAGGCTACGGATTTCAGTGGTATTTTTGCCGGGAGGGAGGACGAGGAGAAGGGCGGTGGGTTCTCGTTGAAGTTGATATAGAGATCAACTTGAAGAGAGGCCTAGTAGGAAGTGGGAAGTTATAGCTTAGCTAAATCAGCTATAGCATATAAATACAGACTTGGGTACAAAAGATAAGCATGTATGAATAACTAAACAAGTTTTCAATCTTGAAAATAACTTTCATTTCCACCCATTACTTATTGACTTCTCCGCTAGCTATGCATACTCAAATCGTCATAATATATCCATGAATCCAAAACGCCAATATACCCAAACCACAGCTCAACCAGAAAGGAGCGTAAATTCCAACCAATTACACCAATGCCCATATCATACCCACTTTTTTTCTGGTTGCACAACCCTCTCTCTCATGTTCATACAATCTTACCAGATGATTCCAGTCCCGCTAACAAACCATGTGAAACTCAACACAGTCAGACAACACATCCCAAACATCATCCCCAATGCCTTCTTCTCCATGTCCCCCAAGGCTCCATTGCAGGTTGCACACTGGAAGTCTGCCAATGGAGTATAAGGCTGAGGCGTGTACATTCCAAAAGTATAGGAGTCGTAAACAGCAAGATATCCAGCTTGGGCAGTAGCACTAATACTACTAGCCGCATCGTAAATGATCAGTGTATACGTCTCAGTCAACAATGGATTCTGCACAGCCGTAGCTTGGTAATTGCCCGTATCCCATGTCACAGCACCCGTGTTATTAGCAAGTGTCTGGTTCATGGAGATAGTGTAGACCTGGGAATTCGCAGAGCAGGAAGCGAGGATATTGACAGCGGTAGGCGTTGCTTCAAGGGAGGTATAGTTCCAGCCAAATGTAACGAAGTCTCCAATCTTGAAGTATTGTTCTCCCGATGCAACGGCGGGGGTCATCATCGAGACTCCTCCTGCTGGGAGACGAGCATCGTACGAAGTGTGGTGGGAAGTTGATGTAGTTTTGTTCGAACTCCCAGTAGCTGATGCATCTGCTGAACCTATCGAGAATGTCGTCGTGCCCCCAGAATTTTTCGCCGTGGTTGTGGCTTTCCCTGTCGCTGTCGGAGCAGAAGTTGTGGATGTTGCTGTTGCTGTGTCTTAGATTTGTTGTCAGTCTCGTTCTCTCAAACCCTAGCGGTAAAAATTAGTTGGGAACAGCACTCACTATTGCTATCTTGTCGTCGAACTATGATGGAATCGAGCTCTGGTAACCAGTTTGGCCATATTGGCCATGCTGCTGCGTATGTGGAGAGGTATAGGAAGAGTATCGAGTATATTTGGAAGGTTTGTGAGGCTCGCATCGTGGAGGTGTCGTTTGTTGACAGTCCCCTTTAAATCCGTTTCAATCTTCTCAAGTCGTCCAAATGTCCACTTTTTTCTTCCTAAGATATAATCTGCACGATCTATCGTATGAAATAGTTATTCGACGTAAGATTCAAGCCTTGAGTTGTCAGGTTCGTTCCTACAGGATGTTAGCAGCCGCCCCTGTCGACCAAGCAACGCCACCACGATCGTTCCCCAACGCACCTTTCAACCTTGACTTCTTGTCTTCTTCAACAGTCGTGCAATGGCCGAACGAGTGAGGCCGTTAAGTAACGAGAGAATCGAGTATTAGGAGAGGTAATTGAGCGATTGTGGTGATGGACGACAAGGAAATTGGAGAAATGAGGAGATCATGGACCATCGAGGACCCGAAGGTTTTAGTGCAGGGTTGGTCTTCTCGTGTTCTGTGCAAGGCCTGAGCCGACCGAGCTAGAGTAGCTTAAAATAGGTTTTGCCTCTCCCCAATTTTTTTAAGCTTGCTGAGAGGTACGAACTTGAAAAACCTAAATCTTTTAATCGTGTTATATACTTGAAATGTCTTGAAGATGCTTTGCATGTCGCAGGTCCCGACGATGAAAGCAAGTGCAAGAAAGAACACCATCAAGGTACAAGGGAACCGGTACTCAAGGGTCCCCTTTTCAAGAGCCGGCCAAATAACCACTAGCCATATCACGTGGATTATATATTCTGTCCTCGAGCACTTGAATTTGAGGAGGTACTTGCCGTCCAAGTTCTTGAATTCAATCCGAGGATATGCCTCGATGAACACTACCAACTCCTTGCCTAGGAGTAGAAGTTTCAACTCGAATCATATGATCTCCTACTCAGCTCAGCTTGATGCAGTACACCTCATGTCAGCCCAAGCCTCAGAAGTCAGTCAGCCTTCACTGTTGAAGCCGTGAAATACTCCTTAGCATCACATAATTTCTCCTCCTACAGCTCACACATCTCGCGCCTCTTCCCACAGGTGGTGGCCAGTGATGCAGGATTTTTATGCCTTCCTGACAGTACTCGCCCGTTTGGTTCCAACACCAACTCCTCATCTCCAAACCCACTCTCCGTTCGTGCCCGCACTCGTATTGGACGATGTGTAGTACACACATTTGTGTGTTGTATTAAAGTGTCCTCGCAGTGTCCCAAAGATCGAGCGGTAGGGTGGGGAGGTGAAGATATATGGCCTACGATACAAGAGAACCGATCGTATATAAGTTTAGGGCTCAAAGAAAGTATTCTAGCTTCAAATGATAACATGAAGGCTCCACCAGCTACCAAACATCGGAGGAGCTGTCAATGAAGGATTCAATGCAATTCTATCATTGTTCTCATCACTTGACGAGATGACACTTCGAGAAGTCTGAACAAAGGCAAAGACGAACCAAAACATTACTTGTTGGTGTATTTATTTGTGCTCATGAACAAGCTCCTGCACATGGCGAATCTCAATGACCAGCACATGTAGGAACATTCGAACCGCTTAATGCAGCAAAAGTCTCGCTCTTACCATAAACGCCGTTTCCCCTTAGAAGACAGTAGTTCCGACATCCATGCAGCCAGAACCAGCACGCCCGCTCAAGTACTATGAATATTTATAATCATCGCATATCGTCATCCGCATCGCCATCAGCATCATCATCGAGGGGAGCTCCTCCAGGTATAGATCCGGAACTGTCAGCACTTCCGACAGATATTTTCCTGCTGCTCCGTGCTAGGGCAGCAGCCTCGCCAACTTCCATCGCATGAAGTTTCTTCTTCCTCTCGATCTCGAAGATTTCGTCCTCGTCACCCAATAACGTATGACCTGGAACCACATCAAAATCACCTTCTTCCTCCTCCTCATCTTCCTCGCCTTCCTCTCCTTCACTGCTTTCCTCTCCACTCAGGGTAGAGCTTTCGATTTGGATCTTGGGACTATCCTTCACTGCGCTTGGGCTAGACGGCCTCGAGTCAGGAGATAGACTGCTATTTGTGGCCTGGTTTCTCTCTGAATCGACTTTGCTAAGCTTCCTGCTGTTTCGTTCGCTGTCGGGATTGTGAGGTTTTAGAGTTGGGTCAAAATGTGCTGGAAGTCCGAGAGCTAAACACTGAGAATTAGTGATTACCTCGAGACTTGGGAGAACAACTCACCGGCTGCCACCTCATGTGCCTCGACATCCGGTTCATTGGTTGCCTCGAATATGCTGTTACTTCTCGAACCGATCTCTGTCTCATGCTCTTCGATTCCGCTCTCTTTCAATATCCTGGCATAGTCTTGTCGAGTTGGGTCCTGCTCTCTCTTCTCCTTCTTCTTCAGCCTCTTCTCTGTTGGCCTTACTACAACGACAGGTATGGGCGAGTATTGTAGACACCACTTCGAGAAGGAATTTCGTTGGTTGATGAGCCCTTGAATGCCACCGAGACTTCGGCCCCGAGTACCAACAATGAGCATTGCTGGTTCGTAGAGTTGGATCTGCAGAGCAATTAAATTAGCAGAAGCTCTCTCTCTTTGCTGTACCAGTAGTAAATCCTGGAGCTTTACCATTTTCCCAAAAGTGATCTGAGTCTTGCCTACAGCATATTCCAAGACAATACTGATGGCCTTATTAACGTCGCTCCTTTCTTGGATTCGTGCCATCAGATTCTTCGCATCCTTCTGGTACTGTCTACGTTCAACATTCCGATCACTGACATTTTTGCTATCCTTGTCGACAACCCTGATGCAAATAACCTCGTCGCCATCGTCCACCAATTCATCCAGCATCCAAGTCAGGGCAATATCGGAGTAATCATTCTCATCTATGCCAACCATGAACGTGCGAGAGCGTCTCTTGTACTGGTAGCCCTTGTGCTTGACATTGAGAGTGAAGGAAATGGTGTTCTTCTCCGTCGGCTCGCCACCTGCAAAGTTGTCGAACGAGACATGATTCTGAAATCTACTATTATCCGAGTCCTCAGTCAGTGCCATTGTCCAAGATACATTAGCAGAAGAGCAAGGGGCACAAAATTGGAAAGCCAAGTAAGCGCACAGCTCCAGCTCGAGCCCACCTGCGCACGATTTGAGAAGGCCAGAAGCAAAGGTGGGAAGGTGGGGTAACCTTAGGGCAGGTCACCCGCGCTGTTCCCTCTTGGCCGTACTCCGGTGGTGGTAAGCGACTCAAGGCTGAATGAATCGCGGTACAGTGGAGGGTCGTCTGATTTGGTAGATCCCGCCGGTATAAATTAAACCGAGCCCCCTAGAAACAGGAACTTTCTTCTTTCTGCTCCAAATTCGAGCAAAGGGTGAGAGAGAAAGAGGACTTACGATTCGGCAGGGGGAGACCGCTCGCGTACTCGCGATGGAGGCTTCGCTTTCGTGGACCCCGTCGGCTTATGGGCACCATTGGATTTAAAGGAAATGCTGGACGAGGATGAAACTCGATAGCGAAGGCTGGGGTTTCGCTGGACGTGATCTGCTTTGACATGTTCGATGATCGGATCAAGGCGCGCAGATGTGAAGGACGTGGAAGAGTCGTTGGTGCCAGGTAGAGTCAGTGGTGAAATGGGCGGACTGGAAGTTTCGGAAGCAACTGGACGGCCAGGAGACGTGGGAGACGTGGACGAGTCGGACGACATCGTGACAGGCGGATGTTAACTCTTTAATCGCGTTCGCCTTCTCAAGCTTGAGCCTCGTAAGACTGCGGATGATTGAGATTGACTGAACAACATCGACGTGGGTTGGTAGTGGTTGTGTGGAATGAGGAAGAAGCTTTCTCTGCAGAAGCTCTCTTCAAATATTCGGTAGCCGTGCTGAGCTCATTGATATCGGAAGGCGCAAATGGCTTTGTCACACGAACACCACAAGTGAATTGCTTATCAAGTCAACAACGATCCATAGGAGACTGTAGAGAGGCCAACGAAGATGGAAATCTGTTGATGCAGAAGGATTTGATGTGTGGAAGCAGTCGGTGTGTTGATGAAATGCTTTACAAAGGCAGCCCAAGCTTGGCTCTGTCTGTCAGCCGTGCCTCCGCCTCCCAGCCTTGTCCACCAGAAGTGGATCAGTGGATTTCACATGACGAAACATCGTGCGATTCAACGCATCAAAGTTGGAGAGGAAGTCGTCTGGGTGTTTGCATTCATATTTGATTTGTCTATGTATCTCAGAACACTATACTCAACGGAAGCCATCGTCTCCATATGCCCTCATCACGGAGTCCGAAGACCGCTTTTCCCCATACGCCATACCATGCAAAGACCCCAAAACCCCAGACTGCAAGGAAAATGGAGCGTCGTTATCTAGTATGTTCGGGCCAAATTTCGGAGGTACCAATCAACCAGTTTACGACCAACCTTTGCTTCGGAAATGTGGATCAAGTCCTAGGATAATTGATTAGCAGGTGATATCTGAAGATGGTGCAATTCTTACTCCTTGCATGGCATAATCAAGATCATTAGAATTGACTATTTCACCATCCAGAAGGCCATTATCCGTCCATCTGATTTGTCTGCTTCTCTGCTTGTTCACCAGTAACCATCCTCTCAACTTTTCTGGCTCAACCTCCAGGAAGCCTGCCAATTTCTTCAAGTCCATGGTTGTGTAGAGGCGAAGATAGGACTTGACAGTTGGGCTCCACATATTCGTCTTGACTTCGTCCATGAAGATGGCCAAGTGATGCTCCAGCGGGTCGACATTCAGCTCTGGGTTGTCGAAGTCGGGAGGTGTAGGAGAAATGAATTTTGGGCAAGAGGAACGGAACAGCTCCTCAAAGATTGGAAGTGACTCCGGTCCACCACGCTGTAGCTTCAAGAGCTGGTCACCATACTTCTCACGGAGAGCAGTGTGGATAGTATCATCAAGTCTGGTTGGGTGGAAAGCCACGCAGATGGCAATCAGGGCGTACATTTGGTCGTTCTTCTTCGAGATCGAGTCGTACTGAGCGTTCTTCTGGAAGTTCTTGGTTCGAGAAACGTAGATGAGGATGTGGCTGAACATGCGGATGGCATCTGCGTATCGGCGCATCATCATGTAGGAGAAACCAACATAGTAGTAAGTTGTGAAGTGCGCCGCCATGACCCGGGCGAACATAGCCTTCTTATTGAGCTCAATATCATCGAGAGTCTTCAACGCAAGACTGAAATCTCCCAACAAGCAGTGAACCCTCAGCAGACCAATGATAGAGAAGTATCCAAGCATTCGGTACAGAGACTTGGAGCCGTAGTCGCCAGCCACTGCCATAGGCTCCTCGTTGCGTTTCATAGCAGCCAATTGTTCGTTGATCTGAGATCGTTGAATGAGGGAGTATAGGACGTTGAGCACGCTGTAGCAGCCCCAGGTGTTTGGTGCTTCGCGGAGGATGGTAATTTCTTCTTCATTGTTTCCCTGCCGCGCGACACGGTTTCTGTACGAGCAGAACGAGTTGAACTGGTAGATAAATTCGTCAATAACATCCCAAGCCCAGTAGTACTATTGTCAACGTCAGTAAATGGCCATTGTGGGGAGTCTGCGGAGTGCGCACAGAAGGGGGTTCCAAATCGACTGGACCGTCCGAGTTCAAGATGAAGTGGAACAAGCTGCAGTAGTTGTCATAACTAGCAAACTTGACCTCGAGAGGAGCTGAGAAGTCAAGAGGTTGTGCTGCTGCCGCAAGTCTTGACTGGATGTCATCGGTCTGTTGTGCCATGCTCATCGAACTGACTTGTTCCAGCTCTTCCATGCCTTCATACTGAACTTGCTCGCGGTAGTCGGCGGCGAGAGCCTCCTCCTCGATATCAGAGTCCTCGTCCATGGCTCGCGACGGAGCACCGCCGTTTTGAAAGGCGCTCATTGTGTATTCGTGGTGGTGTCAAGGACAGAGGAATGGTTGGAGGGGTTAGGTTCAAAAGTCTCGAAATTTGGCTAACCGAGAGCGCACAATCTTTATCTTTTGTGGTGGCCTTAATAGTATATTCGAGAATGGGCGGACGTGAATGAAAAGCATCACGTCATTACAAATTGAAACCATGTGTAATTTTCTTGAGTTTTAACAGTCTTGTTTTTTTATTTATGATTTCTTGAAAAATTAACAGATATCACGTGATGCATCTCTGGACGTGGACAGTACCTAGCAGGGAACTGTTCAGGTAGCACTTTTTCGGGCTCCATTATCTATAGACCTGTTCTGTTTTGGAAATACCCGAACACGTTTTAGAGTACCTGGCAGTAGAAAAGTTCGCCATGGCTTATTATTCCAGAATTCAGCTCACTCAAACATACTGAATTCTTGGTTCTAATTTTAGTCTTTCTATCATACACAGATAAGTCAAAGCTTGGTAAACAAGTCGAGCTGCCCGGCAGACAAACACGGACTTGCTGTATTCGAAAAGTATCTAACATTACAGAATAAAAACATAATAAGAAAAGTAAGTCATAAAGTTCGTCAAGCATCTATCTCACCCCAAGCATGTTCGAGAAGACAAAATTACACACCAAGTGCCTTTGACCTCATTGTCGGACCTGCGCTGACCCTAACCATATGTCGGCTTTGGCGCAAGACCGATGTTGTCACCCGAAAAAGAAAGGCGAAGGGGGCTGTCCTGCTGGTGAACAGACTGAGAAATTCTCATCCTCTCGGTGCTGTCATTAGGCTTCTCGAAGACAGCTTCTCCAGTTTCTCCCTCGGGCTTATTCCTACTTCTGATGAAAGCAAGAACGATGACAATCATCCACAGCAGCCACATAACAGCAGCGACGACGCCATATGCGATTTCTCCTTTTACTGTATTGCCCGACAATTGAAGACCGAGACCACCGTTGATGATACCGAGTGTAATCACAGCTCTGCCCCAGAAGATACTATTTCATGAGTCAGGTCTAGACTTTTGTGATTGATTCGAAGAATTTGAGCGCCTCGTGTGCCGTAGTTCGCAAGACAAGGGTCGAACGAGGCTTAGAGCCACAATTTCCAGTCCCTACATAGGGATAAGGCAAATAAAATGAAGATAAAACTTACTGAGGGTATGTTGCAGCATTGGGTCGGCCTTCACGCTTATACAGAAGGTGATGCGTGAAACCAGAAATGGGCTGCAAAAGCAGACATCCCACGACTACCAGTCCAATAATCGAATGGTATTGGTCAAGCTGTTTTGACACAACTGCCATCCATACGCCCATACCCATGCTGCTCAGAACAATGATATATGTGAATGTCATCCAGCCAGCGTGGACCCAAACCAGGCCCGGGAAACTCAGAAGACGAATTGCCATGGCGCCAATGGGGAAGAAGAGTACGAATGCAATAGGAGCCAAGATAGCATGAGCCATTCTAACATTGGCATAGTCCGCCGGCATCGAATCGCCACCTACAGAGGATGAGCCCGACGATGATGATCCAGAATTGTTTCCCGATGATGTTGACATTGCTGTGGTGGCCAGGAAAGGGTTGGAACTGCTACCACCACCAGCGTTCTGGAGATTGAACGTCGTTTCTCCGTAGTTACTGTGCTGAGCAAGATTGGCAGAAACATCGTCTGAAGAGATCACAGAACCGGTCTTGTATGCCCAGATCCAATTAGAGTTCGTGTCGGTGAGACTCATGGATCCACCAGTCCATGTATTACAGTTTGAGCCTGAAAGATCAGCGAGGATGTGACTGAGAATATGAGCTAACTTACATCTGACGTTCGCAGTCATTACACCGTTTGAGATTCCTGAGCCTCCTAAGAGCGTTACATCCGTGGTAGTATCTGATTCGGGTTGTCTGTTTCCAGAACCAAGACGTGGTGAGAGTGTAACATTGTCCCCCGCCGAGTTCGCGTAGATCATAAATATATTCGCTCCTGTCATAGATGTTCCCTGGCCCAACCCTATCCAGGATAATGTTGAAGGCCCAGTGATTTGAAAGTATATATCGCCAGAACCGCTAGATGCAGTGGTAGCAGGGACGTTAACTGCATAGCATACGTTGCCAGAGGGACAGTAAGTGACATTTTGGGCAACAACGCCACAAGAAGCTGTTCAAAATTAACATGAAGGATTCAATCAAAGATTGAAACACTTACCCAAAGCCAGGGCTCCGAGCAGAGAAGAAAATTGCATAGCTGTGGACTTGATAATCAAACAATATGAATTGGGCGTAGAGCAGGTCGTTGGACCAGCAGATGGACTATGTAGTATTTCTATCACTCAGGACTAGGCCAAGAAAGCACTGTCCACCGAGGCATGGTCAATATCGATGATCGATGATGCGCTACCTATAGACTGAAGACGGTCGAGAATCGCGCGGCGGCCAAGACTCTTTGGGACATTGACACAAACTTAGGTGTGGTTTTAAAACAAAGTCGATCGGGGAATAAGCCTTCGTTAAAGGTAGCATCCCGAAATCTTACAACGCCGTGGAGGAGGATTGGGTGATAAGAGCTATGCTTGGCTGCAAGGGGAGACCCTTGAATCACCGACTTCCAGACGCCTTGTGTCGCAATGAACAACAACAGGCCGCGTGGTCTCAAACAATTCAAACCATCATCTTGATGACCTCTGCCCAGGAGAAGTTCCTCAGGACGATGCAATGACAATGCGCCTTGCGTTGTGGCACTACCAATATCTTCCTAGCCTTGGGTCGATTTTAAGTTGACAGTGGGGGTCGATACCGCATCCACGCCCCAGGCACGACTTTGTAAGTTGACTTCATGATTATTGGTGTGCTGAAACGCAGATCACAATCAGACTTTGTGTCGGGATTCAGACTTGCTCGATGCTTAATGCCCGATAAAAAGTCTGCGGAATCTGCGATACATGCCGAACCGTTCGATGAGTATGAAGGATGGACCGCCAAGCTTGACGATATCGATGACCGTGGGACTAAGGTAGTGCGGGGCGTACCGGTAGTTCCACGAATCTCCACCCAATCCAGACCATAAAGTGACAACCACTTGTAGGTCTAGTGAACCGAACGTCCACGTCAGGAACCGAGAGAAACATATCAATTGTTAGGAGTGACATTCTCTCCCTGCTCTTCTCTATACGCAATCGTCCGTACCTTTTTACACGGCAGACGCCAGGCGATCGCTTATAAATTGCCCAATGAGAAGCTTCGGGATTGTCAGCCATCAAACAGAGATTGCTACATGTCACGAGATCCATCGATGTCATCTGTGCTTAATGGTCGTCATGGACCGATCATCACCCGTAGATCATGCAGGTGTCAGGTAAAAGCGTTATTTAGCTTTCTCGGAGTTCTCTCCTCACAGAGAGTTCTTTAGTACGTCTATTCTCGTTTTGAAACGCACCACTATCTGTTGAGAACATATTCATTCAGCATCTATAGCTTTTGCATGATGCTGTCTTGGTCTTTTCGACCAATCTTCGACCAATATTATCGATTTCAAGAATCCTCTTTCGCTCAAGTTTTGCGCCTCCGCCTCCGCCTCCGCCTCCGCCTCTGTTCGTATGCGTTGTGTCATATTTTTATCGGTTTGGAACAGTATTGGGGACACCCAACCCTCAAAACGTAATTAATGGATCTTAGACAACGAAATGAGACGTATCAGACATCTTGAATGAGTGGAATTGATGAGCGATCAAGAGACGTCGCTAGAGGGAGGCTCAAAGTGTTGAGAAGTCCGCAAAGCACCTGCCTTCTAGAAGATTGATGAGCATGAAGTGGTGCTTGCATCCTTCTGCAGTTCAATAAACTACATTTTCCGTGTAGTGCTGATTCCTTTGTTGTACAATTCTAGTAACAATACATGAGCTCACCTCGATGCTCGCGGTCTTTCCGATACTCGTCTCACGTGATGGCGTTAAAACCCTTTCTAAGCAAGTATTGAAGTTCACTCGAACACCTAGGGGTGGTCAAGAGGAGTAGGATGAAATAGACTCGTCCGTAAATCGAACTGGCATAACATACTAAAGACAATGGGTTGTCCTGCAGCCGACGTGTTCCAGTAACTTGACAGCATTTACTAAGGGTGATAGAATCATTTGCAGGATTGGTTCTAGTAGAAGTGCATAACACCATACTAATGAAGCCTTCGACCCCGCCTGCCTGGAACCCGCTGCAGATCGTTGAACTAATCACCAAAGCCTGTGGATTCACACTTTCCGGATCCTCAACAGAGCTTATGGGTTATGGCTGAACGGTAGATGCTCAAGTCCAACGGGTTCGGCGTATCCGCTGTTCCGTAATTTTTGGTACGACTTCCCCGTTGACTATCATCGTACTAGGGTTCGGCTATTGACCATCCCGTACAAGTGTAGTCCCAGAAGAAAGTCAACTCAGACCACCGAATGCCTGGATTTTTCCCCGTAGCTTTCTATATATTTTTCAAGACTACACATGAAGAGATACGCAGTAAAGGATGGGGCGAGAACACAAGCCGTTGACTATAACAACTGCACCGGGATGCAAGGCACAGTACATAAATTTGTGCTATAACCAAACGAGGCACGCAGGCGAAGGATGGGGTCTGGAAGGTTTCCCAGGGGTAATATTCAAGAAATAATTGTGCTGATATATCATGAAAATGTCCAACCACTGCTTAAAACCTCGGCACTTTGGAGCAGACTGTTCGCTGGTGTTCCTGCATGTCTTTGTGGTGGGTAATCTCCGTGCTCAGGCAAAGCCCACTTATATCGCACACTGAAGACGGACATTGAACATAGATGTATGGTTTCTTGGAAAGCTCCTTCTCGCTATTCTTCTTATGAAGTATGAGTCCAGCATCAATTGAGAAGAGAAATATAATTCTGTCTAGATGTCTAAAATTTAAAAAGGTGAAGGTTTCAATATAGATGGGATCGCGAACTTGACAAGGTTCTTGAAATAAGGTTAAGGTTGCATTAGCGCCCCTCGACTAGGAAACTCTCCAACATTTTTGACAAGTAGCCGTGCGACGTTTGCTGAAATCACAATTGTGCAATGGACAACATGGACACCATGGCCACTGTCACCCTCGATAAGGTAAGTTACCGATTTGGACAGATTATCCTCTATCTCAACTGTTTCTGATTTCCGAGACATGGGTTCGCTCTGAGAGTGTGCTCACGGCGGATGGAGCTCGTCCTTCCTAACACAGATGGATATGTTTGCTGACACCATGGTTGTACTCTAGGCCTACTTCGAGACTTTGTTACGCAAGTAAGAAATATATCCCTTCAACAATCGCAGATCTTGGTACCCCTAAGAGAAGCTGCGATGGGAAGGCTAATCAACCCTTCTCTGCAAATAGAGCTCAATTCCATGCTGGCGGACTCGATTTTGCTACCCCTCTTGATATTCCAACAGTCACGATCCCCAAATCCGATCATGACAATCTGCTAAGCTCTGCTCGTCAATATGGTACGCAAATCCCCACGGCTGCGATTTGAGAGCGAGGCTAAACATCATAGCCAACCTACGACGCAATCTCTATCGAGGCGGAATTGCCGAAGAAACTCTGGCGGTAAGACTGCCGTCTTTATCTTCTAATGTTATCTATGTGCTAATGCCTTGAATGCAGATCTTGATCAAAGATGATTCCCCTGCAAATGAAAATGGCAACAAACCTACCACGATGGACGAATCAGTGGAGAACAGATCGTTCTTTGCTCAACAATCCACGGCTATGAACTCGAAGCCTGAAACTCAAGACTACACATTCGGACGAAATGCCAACTATACCCCTCGAAGTGACTTCCGGCCTCGAGAGCGCAACTCGAATGGCTTCCATACACATTCGCAGACCAATGATGATTTTGCTTTCATGCCAGATGGACCGGATGGATTCTATGATGACGGTAGTGGGCACAACGATTCTCAACAGCGTCAACAGCGCCAGCAGTACGACAAGTTTGCTAAGAGAACTGTGCTTCTTGCAAATCTTCCGGAATCTACAACTCATTTGGATCTCGTAGAGGCAATCAAAGGTGGTATGTTGCTTGATTTATATCTGCGAAGTCATGACCGGACTGCAAGCGTCTCCTTCTTGGAAGAGACTGCTGCACAAGAGTTCTTCTCTCATGTCAAGCGTCATGATCTCTACATCAAAGGCAAGAGGGTATGTAGGAATTGTTCACACCCACAAACAAATACTGATACTTCTTAGGTCGAGATTCGATGGAATGACAGGCAATTCATTCTCCCAGGACATGTCGCCAATAAAGTCTCAATTGGAGCTACCCGAAACCTCGTCATCTACAATTGCAGTCCAAAGCATACCGAAGACAAGATCCGTGAAGATTTAGAGCATATCCACAATCTTGTGGTCATCAAAGTCTCATTCGCCGGTCAGAATGTCTACATCTCCACCAACTCGGTCCACAATGCCATGTTTGCTCGAACTTGCATGATGAGTCGGTCGTAAGTCAAGATTAGCTGTCTATCTGCTAGGTCACTAACGATGATAGAATCTACAAGGGCTCCAAGATTGAATGGGACAACGATGAGTGTGCTGCACCTCTTGAACGACCATTGCAGAGCCGAAAAGAGAATATCCCACAAAAGAAGAAGGCTGCTCCGCTGATGAATCGTTTCCATCTCCTAAACATGGACGATGACGATAATGATTCTCTCGATGAGGACGACGACGAGAACGACATCAGCGGTGTCACTTTGCCCTCTGCTCTCAAAGCATCTCCCACTAGTATCGCCGCTTGAAGGGTATTATTCGCGGACTATCTCAAAAGCTTGGCCTGAGATAAGAAAGGTTCTACCTCGACTGTGTAGCCATTCGATGTTGTTTACTTATGATTCTATTCTCTTAGGTCCGGCAATGGTCTCAATCTGGCGTTCAAGGGAGTTCATATCATCGGTATGTGTGCAGGTAGTCATTGGCAGATACCCATAACTGTTATTGGTGTTTGCAAGCTCGGTATACCCAAAATTGCGTTTGATGTTTCCTGCTGCTGGCAAAAAAAGGGACGGTAGATGCATACATCACTCGGAGATAGTAGATGATTAGGTCGAGAGACTGTTAAATGAACAGACATATGGTTCTTGTAATTCAATAGTATTGCATACTGAGTGACAATGATGCTTCACGTTCGTGCACGGATCTCCAGTTGGGGTAAGAGCTTGTCGATCCTTACCCCTGAAGACCCACTACCACGGACAAGAAAGTGGGAGCGAGGCTGACGACAGTGACACGGTTTCATCCACATCTCGAATCCTCGGGACTCAGCCGCACAGCTTCCTCCATTCCAATACAATGTGATCGCTGGCCATCAGATTGGGCCTGCCGTTAATTCTCAATGCTACCATCAGACAAATGCGATGATGATGCCTGCGTGGCACCGGGATTTCGCACTCGTTCGACAGGCGCGGCGTCTGCGACCACAATCGCCTTCTCTACGATTCCGTTTGTCATAACGTTCCTCGTCGTTAGTATCATAGCTTTACAGAAACTGTTTCCTGTTGTAGCAAGTCTACAATCATCGAAATACGAAGAGCATTACCTTCCCAGCGATGCGCCTCCTAGTCTGCGACAAAAACATGCAGAGCATAATGCGAAGTCGGGACGGAGAAGGGTAGTTGGAATTACGTTCTCGGCCACAATTGCACTGGCAGCTGTGCTGGTCGAGCTGATCCTCTGCGAGTTGTCGAATACATTGAATCCCGCTGCTAGGACCTTCGCGTTGAAAGTGGTGGTTCCGACATTACTCTTCTCTCTGGTGATTCTGATTCCTTTCCTCGAATTGCAGTCTATCGTTTCTGGTTCTGGGTGGTCGTTTAAGAGACACAATGGCAGGATACCGAAGATGACATGGGCGTTACAAGCTTGCGGATTTACGACATGGCTGTTGGGCTTTTGGTGGCTTGGGAAAGGTGTCCCAGGAACTTACATCCACACAATGGCTTCTCAGCCGGGAAAGGACCTCAACGAAGCATGTTTGGAACGTGTTGGTATAATTGGAATATCTTTGATGGCCTTGTTGTCAGGGTTTGCAGCAGTCTCAGCCCCATGGCAGACATTTGGAGCCAAGCAGAAGCCGGTCACTGAAGCAGATATCAATCGAAAGCAGGCCGGTCTTGATGCTACAAATGATATGCTAGCTGCAAAACGCAGCAGACTCCGAGCTTTACAACGCAAGGTTCAGGATACACCAACAGAAGGCTTTATGACCAAAGTCATTGGCACAATTCGTGGAAGTGCTGATACTCAAGAGTTGAAAGCTCTCGAGCTCGAAATTGCTGGTCTAGAGTCAATGTCCGTCAGCTTGGCAAGCTCTCTCTCCCTACTCCAGACTCGATTTGCCTCCTCCCAGCGTGCGTCTTCTCCTCTAGGCAAAATATTCCTGACGCCGTTCGCATACGCCTTTGCTCTTTATTGTGTCTACCGCATCATAACGGTGTCACTCACCATCTTGCGCCAAGTGCTATTTCCTTCTCCAGATACAGCTTTCACATCTTCGACTACCGATCCAATAAATCGTATTCTCTCACTCCTAGCAAAGCACGTCGACCCAACGCTTGATCAGCTCGCTTGGTCCCGCCAAATCTCCTTTCTCCTCTCCGGAATTATCCTTCTCGCCTCATTCAACTCCGTCTTACAAACGTTCCATATGCTCACCAAACTCTCTCCTTCTCTTCTCTATCAAGCACAGGCAAATCTCGCTCTGATTATCGCCCAGATTTCAGCAACATATGTCATAAGTAGTGCATTGCTGCTAAGAAGTAACCTGCCCACGGAGATGAAGAGTGTGGTTAGTGAAGCACTGGGAAGTCCCCTTGAGCCAGGATTCGTGGAGAGGTGGTTTGATGGATGGTTCCTGATCGCAAGTTTGGGGACTGCCGCGGGAATCTTCATCTGGAAGAGGATAGCTGGACCGGGGGACTGGGATGATTGGGATTTTGACGGAGACATTGAGTTAGGACAGAAGCGTTCATGAATGGGTACGAGTTGCATTATTTCCTGGAATTACATGGAACGGCGATCTATTCGAAGTGTATATCACGAATTGACGCCCATACAATGGCCAAACAAGAAAAGGAATTCTAAGGCTAATATTTGTGTAATAGAAACTTCATCAAAAGGCCATAATGCAACATTCTGAGCACAGTAGGTCCATACATATCATATATAATGAGTCATGTCTACTCATGGCTACTCATATATGCAAGTTTAGGTAGACTAGCCTTGCCTAGTAGTAAATCCTACTGCACGTGATGGCTTCTTCAAAGTTCTCCTGGATTCCTCGAATTTCTCCTGGATTCCATCTGATATTTTAGGTCTTACAGACAAGTATATGTACCTTCTGTCGCTCGTTTCTATTTCTCTTTATGTTTAAGCTCTAGGACCCGGTTCTCTTCACTTCATCGACGCCTTGTGACCTCGTCTGCTTCGAATCACGGGGAAACAAAGGGCATCAAGGTCGAATAACCTCACAATACTTCGCAACGATGAAGATTGAGCCATTCCGCATCAATGTGCCTCAAACTGAAATAGACGCGCTTCGCACGCGACTATCCAGCACCCGCTGGGCTCCTGAGTTGGACAATCAAGACTGGTCTTACGGAGTCAATGGCACCTACTTGCGCGAGTTGGTGGACTATTGGCAGAACAAGTTTGACTGGCGTGCACAAGAAGCACAGATCAACAGCTTCCCACAGTTTCGCACCGAGATCGACGGCGTGCCGATTCATTTCATTCATGTTCGTGGAAAGGGTCCCAATCCCGTTCCCATCATTCTGAATCACGGATGGCCCTGGAGTTTCTGGGACTTCAAGGATGTCATCATGGCACTGGCGGATCCCGCTGCTCATGGCGGTAATCCTGAAGATGCGTTTGATGTCGTTGTCCCTTCATTGCCAGGCTTCACTTTCTCAAGCCCGGTGCCCAGGAATGGTGTAGGGTATGTGGAAACAGCGGATATATGGGTCAAGCTGATGCGGGCATTGGGCTACGAGCGCTTCGTAACCCACGGAGGAGATGCAGGGGGGTTTGTAAGCTCGAGACTGGGACATGCGTACCCGGAATCCATCATGGGTGTCCATCTGAGCTTCCCCATCTTGCCGGGTGTGCCTCACGAAGAAGCTGGTGACCCAGCCGATTTGACTCCAGAAGAGCAGGCTCTGATCAAAGGGCAGGACAGAGGGCCAGGCGCCTTCATTCATGTCATGATCAATGCCTTCGACCCGCAGACGCTCGCCTGGGCAATGCACGACAGCCCAGTAGGCCTGGCAGCATGGATACTCCTTCGTCGCCGTGCGTGGAGTGACTGCCATAGAGACGTGGAGACCAAGTTCGATAAAGACACATTGCTTACACATCTCTCGCTGTACTGGTTCACCAACAGCTTCGTCGGAACCGAGCTGTTCTGTCGAGCATCGGTCTTTCCCCAGCCCATGGCGCTCGTCAACGATATCAAACCTGAGATCAGCGTGCCGACGGCCGTTGCCGTGATGCCGAAGGACTTGGTGTACAAGCCTCGCTCCGTCGTCGCCGCGCATAGTGATCTTCGTCAGTGGACAGTATTCCCCAGCGGGGGACATTTTGCAGCAGCGGAGGAACCAGAACTCATGGTTAAAGACATCCGCTCCTTCGTTCGCCCATTGCGTCAAGGGTGATCATAGTCACCGTGGGCCACTTCATGTTTATCACAGAAGTAGCAGACGAGTCGTTCTTCCGCCTAGGCTTTGATTTATTGTTTGGTAGGATAACTTTGTACACTTTGCATTGCAAAGTATTAGGGGCATAAATGAAATATGGTATGCAAAGCATTCTTTGCACACCAAACGAATAGGTATAAGACAGAGATTTCAGACCCTCTTCCCTCAGACCAATAATAACCACTTTCCCAACCATTTATAAGGTCATGTATTGCACATTGCTACAGAAGAATCTCATCTATCTTACACTTTTCATCTACAGCAGAATTCATTGAATATCCCTCTTACTCATTGATGAGAATTTTTGTCATTGTCTCTCTGACAGAAAATTTGGTTTCTACTTAAGCTAAAAGTACAGCTGCTCATTATCCATCTTGATTGGCTCGTTGCGCTGGTTGTTCGGAAGTCCGAGCCGCTTGTTGTGACTTTCCCCACTGCCTCCTCGTGAGATTTCCGTTGACAGGTGGGCATTTTCCGGATCAAATTTTCTGAAGGAGGATCAAAGAACATATCATCATGAAGTTGTGGGTATTATCTAGCGAGTTCTGGAATTTTGGGTACTGCTCTCTTGGAGGACATCATTGCAACAAGAGTCGGCACTTATTGCCGTGAACTCAATTGGTTATTATGACAGATGTATAGTTCTGCAGTAGCAGATTTCTTCATGGTTGCATCCACATAAGCAAGTTGCTAGCATTTCGATTGGGAAGAAAGTCCGGACCATTGTCTCTCATCAGCATCATGCAAGATTCGGCATTGGTTCATGTCCATTGGAGAAGCAGAATCAAGCCTTGAAGACCAAACATTCGGACTCTTACACTGATTCTTGCTCTATGTGCGATTGTCTACTTAGCATTATCCGTCGTCGTGTTGCGACGTCAATTCTTCTTCATCTCCACAAAACTTCAATGCTAGACTCAAATGTGCAGCAAGATGATTGATATACACAATGACAAGGACCGAGACATTCTTTATCCGGCCCATTTCGCAAAACTGGTGGGCACTGACTGGATGGAAAGTAAATCCTTTCGGTGTTGTTTCACGGACGTAAGTGGTCTCCCGTAAGTTTCGGTGACCATGCTGAGGAAGAAACCCCCCGGCACCCACCCTTCAAAAGTCGGCATCCCCCAAAAATAATCTCATTCTCCTCATCAAACACACACATCAAACAAAAGGTGAGTAGAAAAATCCCCCTTTTTTCCAACTTTCGCCGTTACTGATCCGAACAATTCTAGTGGCGTTCCATTTCCCCCATCTCCGAACCCATCGGTCATCAACAACAGTCTCGCAACAAATCGCAGCGCTCCGACTATCCAAGCCTCAGCCAAGATCCCAACGGTCCGTCCCGCAACAACTTATCTTCCTGGTAATCCCATTACGAAACCCTGTTGTTGCGACACTAGCTTTCTTCGCAACTCGCTTCTCCACGTCCGCGTTCAGCACCCCTCCTTACCGTTGTCAGCTCCCCAGTGATTACTAGCGAGTCTCCCCTCTCGCACCAAGGTTTTTCGAAAACAGACAGACAAATACTTTCTTGGCTTGGTCAGCCTTGATCCTTTGATACTTACCCAAGTACTGAGCAGGCTCTCAAGTTCCCAACCTACCTTCCCCCCACGCAGCTTCACTACTTGGCCTGGTCGGCCTTGATATTGCGACAGCAGCAAGCACTGAGCGCTCCTACGAAAGAACCTCCTCCTCCTCCCTTGCTTTTTGAGTTTATTTGGCCCGGTCGGCCCCTTTGTATTAACTTCACTTCTTAAGGATCATCAAGCCACGCAGGACTTCATATTAAATGTCTGGTGCTACTTTTGACTGTAAGTCTTCCCTTTTCTTACCCCCTCGCTAACTCTATACTTCCAGTGCTATCTTTATATTCTCTATATGATATCTCTCCATCTCCTTCCATCCCCAATTCTTTCTCTCCAATTATTATTGCAAGTCCAACCCAACACTAACACCAATCCAGATGTCTCTCACAACAAGAACGAAAGTGACACCAACCCAGCCGAACACGAGGGCGTCGTCCCCTGGTACAGCGGCTAAGCTCTCCCCATCCCCATCCACCACCCTGGTCCCCAGCCCGGCCTTCTCCTCCGATTTCTCGGGCATCCGCCTTGGTATGCGTCGCTCCATCCTCTCGCGCTCCTCTTCCCGAAAGAGTGAGGGCGAGATTGAGAAGGAGATGGAGTATGCAAGGATGATGGAGCAGAAGTGGTTGGAGAGGGCTAACGATGAGGGGGTTAGTTATGCTTGGTTGTGGGTTGTTTGATTTTGGGTTTGCTATGACTTGATGATGTTTTTTGCTTGGTTTGGGAATTTGGGCTTAGACTTTTTGTGGTTTGGAAAATTTGGGAGATGGGTGGATTGAAGAGATTGGTAGTTATTGCGAGATGGGTTCTCCTCGCCATGATGATTGAAATTTAAGAGCATATTCACTTCAACTTCTCACTTCGATCCTCTCGCCTCAAAAATAGGAAGTGCTGTTCTCTTTTCTCCTTCTCTATTTCCATGTTTATCCATGATGACTTTTAACGGCAGCGTAAGCTTAGAACTTAGACCAATTGCTATAAAGGAAGACAGAGTGTCTGAGAGTAGAGCCATCATGAGAGCCTTGCCAGATGAAAGCGCACCATCATGCATAGCATGGGAGGACGAACAATGTGTGTTGTAGGTATAAGATGCAAGTGTCTCAAGATAGTTATTCATCATTACTAATTATCCGTAAGGACTGTTTTCTAACCCTGACTCGCTCGTCCTCTGTCAGTTTTCTCTCTTGTTCGATTTCTTGCTGCATCCGTCTACGATTGTGAACGCCGGTATTTAAGCCACAACCTCTGCCTCACCCTCCCTCTTGTAGCTACCGTAGCTGGCATAGCTTCCATACCCAGTAGGTGTTGGGCTTGGGGTAGCAGAAGATTTAGATGATTGTGGGTAAGAACCATATGCTATCGAAACATAAGTACACCACATCTCGAATCGTTGGATTTAGGAACACTTACATCCGTACTTTCCATACGATCCGTAGTTTCCGTAGCCTGCAGCAGCTGGCTCTGGCTCGGGAGCAGCTTCAGGGAGAGCTTCACGCTTCTCCTTGTAAGCGCTGTAAGCTGGCCATGTGTGAGTTCATGAGGTCAGAGAGAAGATACGGGAGTACGTACAACCGTAAGAACCATAGCCTGTGGGAGTAGCACTGGCAGTGCTGCTCGTTGAGGTAGTTGTGGTTGACTGTGGGTAGTTTTGGTATTCTAGCATTTGTCAATTGCATGTTTTTCTAACATGAAAAGCCAAAACATACGTCCATAAGCACCGTATGCTCCTGTAAGGCACACTGTTAATATTGCTCTTTGAAAGAAGAGAAAGATTAGTTTTGGAGAGACATACCGTAGTTGCCATAATCAGCAGGAGCGGGAGCAGCAGCAACGGTGACTGCAGAGGCAACAGCCAAGATGGCGAACTGAGAGAAACGCATGATGAAGATGGTAGATGAAATTTAAACTGGAGGTTTGAGAAAGGGGATGGAATAGGTTTAGAAGACTGTTCTGGATGGGATGAGGACTGAATGGCTGTTTTTGAATACTTGAGATGATGCAATATATAAGAGAAATAGAGCTCCAAGTGACGTCCAAAAATGGCATCCAGACCTGGTAGAGGCTGAGGTCGGCGTTTGACTCTGCTTCTCCGCTACCACCTCCAACAACACATCTCAACTGGGACCCAATGCCTACAGCCGAAGTAGTGCTCATCCAACTTGAATGCCAAGCCCGTATTCCAGAGTCTTAGACATGAAAAGACCGTATCCATATTCAACCACACTTCTGGTCGGCAGCAAACGAAAGGAACAGTGAGCTCAGCACCATGTAACGTATCTTGTCAAACGAGCCTTGACTACCGTAGCTTGACGAAGCTTCCAATGAGTGCTGAGTACCGGACCGAGATACATGGTCAAAGTCAAAGTTATTGAGTGTCTTCGTATCTGCAACTAAGCGTACACGAGCATGATAGACAAACGGCTATCGACCTAGTCGATGATGCAATTCTATCTGATGATTGAATGCTTCAATGCATAGAGCCGAGCTTAATGAAACAAAAGTGATATGACTGGACCCTTCGAGAGCTTACCTTAGTCTTACATGCTAAATGGCAAAGTTGACAACTGATGGCGAGATAGACTTTGCACACAGGATCAGTGGCTGTGTGATATTGGTAACCTTACGGTAGCGACGGAGACTTCCTCTCGGTTAACTCTCTGGACCCAGCGTCCCGGGTTCAACCTCCGAATGTCATGGTAACATTGGAAGACTTCGGATCCTGCGTCAAAGCATTAGGACAGCACAGCTTCCGCAATGCCATGTTGTCAAAAAGTTTTCCTTCTTGTCAGACAAGCCAAAAAAGTTTCTATTTTGAGAAATTCCCCGATGAGATGAGATCGAGGGGTCTTTTGACGTGATGCGGGGTAAAGTTTCCTCGTATCGGCAGTGAGCCTTAAGCTGCTGAGCCCTGCATTTAGCCGCATATCAGCCCCATACTATCAACTCGTATTTCGTTTGGGCGACGCCGGAATTTGTGGTTGTTCGGTGCTGTTGAATGCTTGAAGAAAACACGAGATTGGTGCGTCATGCCAAGGATAGATAAAGAAAGACTTGTGAGATTTTGGGATGGAAGGTTTTCTTATACCGAGTTGCCAGGCTATGATGTTGGAAGGATGGTTTAATCTTTCTCGCTTTTTGTTCTCCCTTTCCTGATGTTTGAAGGAGAGAGGTCTTTGGAGTCTTCCGCACACTTCCTCACAACTATCTCTCTTGACTTGCTTGTTTTCGTTGCAGACGAACCATATCAGAATGTCTTCCTACACTCCTCTACAAGACAAGACCGAGAACGACTCACAGCAAGGAGAAGATTACGATCATCTCCTCCCCCAAGAAGAATCTCTTCTCAGAAAGTCTCCTAGAAGGATTCCAACATGGATACTGGTCGTACTTTTGCCAGTTGTTTCGCTACTTTTCATGGGTTTTGGAGCATGGATAGGAAGTCACTGGCTTGTGGACTTCAATGCAAGATGCCTCGAACATGTTCAACATTGGTGTACGCTCTTCCCTTCATTTCCAAAATCATAAACTGACTGTAGGAAGCTCCAATTCAACGAGACGTCGATAACAGCTACCACACCGTCCTCTTCAACGGATCTTTCATGAAGCAAAATATATTTAGACAAGAAGCCGGTCCAGAAGTTGACGCTGCATGGGAATCCATGGGCATAAACTGTACTTCTTGCCCCCAATTTCCTCAACGATACTCTATCTAACAAGCCCCAGACCGCAGCATCACAATCCCTCTCTCCGACGCAGAGAAAACAGGTCTGTCCCCCTCACAAGTCCAAATCAACCCCCGCTACGGCGGCGGCTACCCCGCCAACGTGGAAGGCCTGCACCACCTGCACTGTCTAAACCTCGTCCGCCAATCCCTCTACTACAACATCGACTACTACCGCGCCCAAGGTACCGGCGCGTTTGTCAACGAAGAGCCGATCCTGCGGCACCACGTCTCGCATTGTCTCGATATTGTGAGGCAGCAGTTGATGTGTCAGCCGGATACGGGGATGCTGGGACAGGTGTGGTGGGATAAGGAGGCGCCGAAGGCGTTTGTGGATTTTAATACGAGGCATCAGTGTAAGGATTTCGAGGGGATTAGGAGGTGGGCGGAGGAGAGGCAGATTGGGGAGGTTGTGCCGGGGGATTTTTTGATGCCGCCGAGGAGGAGGGAGGATGTTTTGGATAGTATTCCTTGAGGGGGAGGAGGTGGATGGTTGATTGAGCTTGATGTTTGAGAAGCTGTTGCGAATTGTGGGATGAGATGAAGAGTAGAAGAGTAGAAGAGTAGAAGAGTAGAAGAGTAGAAGAGTAGAAGAGTAGAAGAGTAGAAGAGTAGAAGAGTAGAAGAGTAGAAGAGT